TCCTATCTGACTCTTTGCAACGCCATGGCCTCTAGGCCTCCAGGCTCCTCTGTCCATGGGATTTTTCAGGCGCGAATACCGGAGTGGGTTGCCATTTCCTTCTCCAGGAGATCTTCCTGACGCAGAGATTGAACCAACATTTCCTGTGTCTCCGGCATTGCAGGTGGATCCTTCACCACTGAGCCACTGGGGAAGCCAGTTTAAGATGAGATAAGAGAACTAAAAAAGGGGGCATAGCATGGAGGAGATGGGAGGGGGTGCCGGGGAGGGAGTAACTCAGTTCCAGCCAGGAGCGGCATGTCCTTACCCTGCAGAGGGCAACAAGGCTGACTGGAGGGAACCCAGCTGCATTGGATTTAATGCAGTCTACCCTTCTCCTTTCCATGTGAACTCTGACCAAGTATCAAAACTTTCTGACTCTTAGTTTTTGATCTGAAAATGCCTCCCGCATCTCCTCTTATCCAGCCCCTCCTCTCACGATGCTCCCCAGAGCCTCTCTGCTGGCCTCCCTCTGCCATGTGCCCTTCTTCAGAAAAGTGGAGGCAGAAACTTACAGGCTCACAGGGCCTCCAGCTTCAACCAGCCTCCGCAGGCTTGAATGGTGGGCCTCCCTGGACCATCTGCTCTGTTCTGAGGCGTTGTTAGAAAGTTCTTTCCATAGAGCATCCGGGGATTTACTTGCCTGCTGTCCCGCTGTCTTGCTTCTGACCTCGGAGCAGGCGGTAGGGGTGGTCTCACGCCCTCTTCTGGCTCCATCCGCACGATCCCTGTGGCTGTTGCTCAGTCCCCGGGTTTTGTCTGACTCTTTGTGAACCCAGGGACTGTAGCACGCCAGGCTTCCCTGTCCTTCACTATCTCCCAGAGTTTACTCAAACCCATGTTCGTGGTCTTCCCTGGTGGCTCAGTCGGTAAAGAGTGCCTGCAAAAAAAAAAAAAAAAAAAGAGTCTGCCTGCAATGCAGAGGACCTGTGTTCAATCCCTGGGTCAGGAAGATCCCCTGGAGAAGGAAGTGGCAACCCACTCTAGTTTCTTGCCTGGAACATTCCATGGTCAGAGGAGCCTGGTGAGCTATAGTCCGTGGGGTCACAAAGAGTTGGACATGATTAAGTGACTAACACACACACACATGTTCATTGAGTTGGTGATGCTATCTAACCATCCCATCCTCTGTTGCCCCCTTCTCTTGCCCTCGATCTTTCCCAACATCAGGTTCTTTTCCAAAGAGTCAGTTCTTGACATCAGGCGGCCAAAGTATTAGAGCTTCAGCTTCAGCATCAGCCCTTCCAATGAATATTCAGGGTTGATCTTTAGGATTGACTGGTTTGATCCCCTTGCTGTCCAAGGGACTCTCAAGAGTCTTCTCCAGCACCACAGTTCGAAAGCATCAATTCTTCCGCGCTCAGCCTTCTTTATGGTCCAACTCTCACATCCGTACCTAGCTACTGGAAAGACCATAGCTTTGACTGTAAGACCGGTCAGTTACACAGCAATCACGCGCTCGGCCATTCACCATATGGCCTCTAGGTGGCGCTGCCTGTCTGGCGCGCCTGGGCCGGTACAGCCTCTGCAACCTTTCAGAGCTCAACCACCGCCCTCTGGGCACGGGAGCAACACCCAGGGCCTAAGAAGGCTGGACACTGAACCACACTGAACAACACCCAGGCCTTGGTTTTGGGGAAGCACTGAGTCTCAGTTGGTTGTCCACGGGATTGGTTATTATCATGTGGTCCTTGATAGGCCTGGGTGATCTGGAGATCAGAGAAAGAACTTTTTGCATAATAAGGCATCTGGATGCCTTAAAAAACTGTTTCCTGATTACAAAAGTGAGTGTGTGTACTTGTGAAATTATTTCAGCGCAACACCAAAGTCTACACCCCCGTCCATTGAGGGCCTTCCCCACCCTCTTCAGAGGTAAACATCACAGGTCCACGGCTAGCTGTATATATCTCCAGATTTTCTATTGAGCAAATGGAGTCTTGGAAGATACTGCCTGGATGGTGAAGTCTTTCTCCTGTTTAAGAGCTGGAGCCCGGTGGGTGAGGGTGAAAGTGGTGGGGAGTGACTGGGTCTGGGTGGAACTGTGGGGGAGGAGGGGAGGAAGGCCCATCTCTGAGCAACTTGCAGGGTCCTAGGTTGGAGGGCTTAATGGGGAATTGCCGAAGGGCACGGGCCACCATTCTGGGCAGAGACCAGAGGTCCAATGAAAAGTGGATGTCATGTTTAGCAGATGGGACTGACATGGCAGATGGACAGCAGGGTGGAATGGTGCTAGTTCTGTGTGCATTCCTTCTGCAGACTCTACTCCAGCCAGCAGCAACCCCTCTTTTTTTTTTTTCTTAGACATACGTTTTTTTAAAAAATTATTCATTTTTGGCTGTCTAGGTTGGCAGTTTTTCTCTAGTTGCAGCGAGTGGTGGCCACTCTCTCTCTAGTTGTAGTGTGTGGCTTCTCATTGCGATGGCTTCGGCCTCTAGAGTGTGCTAGCTTCAGCAGTCGAGGCTTCTGGGCTCTAGAGCACAGGCTCCGTAGTTGCGGCTCACGGGCTTAGTTGCTCCTTGGCATGTGGGATCTTCCCGGACCAGGGGTTGAAACAGTGTCTCCAGCTTTGGCAGGTAGATTCTTTACCAATAAGTCACCTGGGAGGTCCAGCCTCTACTTTTTAAAATTAATTTTTTGGAGTATAGTTGATTTACAATGTTGTGTTCATTTCTGCTGTATACAGCAAAGTGAATCAGTTATACATATACCCACTCTTCTCTAACTGCTATTCCCATATAGGTCGTTACAGAGTTCCCTGTGCTAAGCTATAGATTTTCATTGGTTATCGTAAACTAGACAGTAATGTACATGTCAACCCAATCTCAAAATTTACGCCTCTCCCTCTTTCCCCCTTTCCCTTTCTAAACCCAAAGTTTGTTTTCTTTTCTTTGTTTTCTGGCCATGCTGGGTGGCATGCAGGACCTTAGTTCCCTGACCAGGGATTGAATCCATGCCCCCTGCAGTGGAAGTGCAGAATCTTAACCACTGAACTACTGAAAAAATCTAATAAATTTGTTTTGTACATCTGTGACTCAATTTATGTTTTGTAAATAGATTCATTTTCACCATTTTTCTTTTTTTCTTAAGATTCCGCATGTAAGCAATATCATGTATTTGTCTTTGACTTACTTCACACAGGATGACAATTTCTGCTGCTGCTGCTGCTGCTAAGTCGCTTCAGTCGTGTCTGACTCTGTGCGACCCCATAGACGGCAGCCCACTAGGCTCCCCCGTTGCTGGGATTCTCCAGGCAAGAACACTGGAGTGGCAATCTCTAGGTTGATTCAATTTCTGGTCAGGGGACTAGGACCCTGCATGTTGTACGGCATGGCCAAAAAAACCCAAAAAACAAAAAGCAGCTCTCCTGAGTATATATACATGCCTGATTCACTTTGTGGTACACTTGAAACTAACACAACATTGGAAATCAACTATGTTGTTGTTCAGTCATCCACTCATGTCTGACTCTTTGCGACCCCATGGACGGCAGCACGCCAGGACTCTCTGTCCCTCACCGTCTCCTGAAGTTTGCCCAAGTTCATGTCCATTGCATTGGTGATGCCATCCAGCCATCTCATCCTCATCCTCTGATGCCCTCTTCTCTTCCTGCCTTCAATCTTTCCCAGCATCAGGGACTTTTCCAATGAATCAACTGTTGTCATCAGATGACCAAAATACTGGAGTTTCAACTTAAGCATCAGTCCTTCCAATGAGTATTCAGGGTTGATTTCCCTTAAGTTTGACTGGTTTGATCTCCTTGCTGTCTGAGGGACTCTCAGGAGTCTTCTCCAGGATCATAGTTTGAAGGCATCAATTCTTTGGCCCTCTGCCTTTTTTATGGTCCAGCTCTCACAACGATACATGACCAGTGGGAAGACCATAGCCTTGACTATATAGACCTTTGCTGGAAGAGTAATGTCTCTGTGTTTCAGCACACTGTCTAGGTTTGTCATAGCTTTCCTGTCAAGAAGCAAACATCTTCTGATTTCATGGCTACAGTCACCATCCGCAGTGATTTTAGAGCCCAAGAAGAGGAAATCTGTCATTACTTCCACTTTTTCCCTCTCTATTTGCCATGAAGTAGTGAGACCGGATGCCATGATCTTAGTATTTTTATTTTTATTTTTTTTGTGTGTGTGTGCCCTTGCTTTTTTAAAAACAGACTTACAGATTCTCTTCATGTAAAATGTCATCGTTTCTATTGGTAAAGGCGTCATCCTCGGGAAGTTATTTGAGAACATTTGTCCTCACAGGATCAGATCACACAGTTTCTTTCTCCTCCAAAGGACCGGTCCTGACTGCCATCTCCTGCCTGGGCTGACCTGGGATCCACAGCTTCTCAGAGCCTCGGTTTTCCATCTGTGAAATGGGACTTCGTTTCCTTCTGCGCTTGCACGTTTTGATTGTCCTGGGCCCTGGGATAGAACGGTGAACACAGTGGACAGAGCCTCGCCTCTCTGAGCTTGTGGGTCTGTGGTGGAGGCATACAGCTCAGGGTTTCCAGAACCATTCGACCTGGGGAAGGGCTGTGGCTTCCCTCTGCTCCCCTGGTTGATCTGCAGATCAAGTGGGAAGCAGGCCAAACTCTGGCCTGAGCACATCGCTGCTGGCGCGGGACCTGTGGGGAGTGAGGGCCGGTCCAGTCTGCTCCAGCGATGAGCCGGAGGCACCCCCAGATGCAAGGAGCACAAGTGTGTGTGTGTTTATCATTGGATTTCGAAGCTGGTCCTCGGGGTGCATTTATACCGAAGCCGGTGTCCCCGTGGCCAATGCATCTGGACATCTCTCCTGGCCTTCCTTGCTAGCAACCCATTCTTCTTCGGAGTGTTTTTTAACAGCTGGATGCTTGCCTTGCCAATTTAGAATACACGGGTCCTGTCATAAAGGCATCGATAACCCGTTGCAAGGATGACGTGACCAGCGCAGCTGATTCTCTTGGTTAACTTGAGCATGGAGAAGGGATGCTGATCCATAGAGATGGGATGCTGGTCCATGGGGATGGGAGGCTGGTCTGTGGAGACAGGACGCTGGTTCATGGAGACGGGATGCTGGTCCGTGGAGATGGGATGCTGGTCTGTGGAGATGGGATACTGGTCTATGGAGATGGGATCCTGGTCTGTGGAGATGGGATGCTCGTCGGTGGAGATGGGATGCTGGTCCTTGGAGGTGGGATGCTGGTCGGTGGAGGTGGGATGCTGGTCGGTGGAGGTGGGATGCTGGTCTGTGGAGATGGGATGCTCGTCTGTGGAGATGGGATGCTGGTCGGTGGAGGTGGGATGCTGGTCGGTGGAGGTGGGATGCTGGTCCGTCGATTGGGGTGGTCCAGGCCAGGGCTGGTGCTCCTGCAGGTCCTGTGGCCATGTCTCCTCTGGGCAGCGGTGTCCACATGAAGGACTCTGTGTTTGGCTCCGGGGCAGGGACCGTGAGGATGGCTGCTGGTTCTCGGGACCTGTCAGCCCCTCTGCCCTTCTGGCGTCGGTGGGTCCTCTGTGGCCATGTCTCTCTGGTCTCCATCTCACCAAAGAGAACAAGAGCTGTGCTCCGATTTGGTGATGCTCAGCACCTGAGTGGGAACTCCCCGCTCCCCGCCCCACGCTGTTAGTGAACACGGGGGCCCGCCCTGAGTGGGCAGACTCTAACAGGGGCCTTTGATCCCCGGTCCCCAGCCACTGCCGTGTGTGGCGGGGTTCTGGCTTGCTTCTGACCCTAGACTCTAGCCAAGGCAACGCGAGGTATGTGCTTCCGTGGTTCCCTGGCCTAGGATTGTAGCATCGGTCTGGCCAGAGTTTCTCTCACACTATGGTCATACTGAGGTGGTGGAAGCCGGTAGAAGCACACTGATGCAGGTGGCCACACAGAGGGTCCTCACACGGCCAGGACCGTGGGTGTTTCCACAACCCGAGGACAGCCTTCTCCAATCGGAGGCTCTCGGCTTTGCAGCCGCAGCTGCTGAATTCATGCCAACAATCCCGTGAGTAACAGAACAGATCCCTCCCCAGTCAAACTGTCTGATGAGAACCCCGGTCTCGTGGGTGCCTTGCCTGCCATCTGCTGAGACCCAAGCAGAAAGCCAGTGAAGCCAGGTCTAGATGGTGAGATAATGAAGATGCACATTTTTAAGTTGCCAGTTTTACGGGGATGTGGTATTGGAGCAGTAGAAGACTAATGGGCCTCTGCCCTCCAGAAGACCACTGTCTCAGATTTATCCTTCCTGCCCCATCCTGCCCCCTCACACACCGCTGCCCTGCCTCACTTCAGACCTCGTCTTGCCTCTGGACGTTGCGTGGCCCCCTGCCGTGTCCCCGCGAGGGTGTCTGTGGGAAGCAGGGCTGGTCCCAGCAGCCCCGTGTGGCGCTTCAGAAGGTCACAGGCACGGTCCAGTCCCAGCATCTCCTCAGACTCTCTCCTGTGCCTCCTGCCCGCAGCCCCACGTTCAGGCCGCACCGACTGACCTGGCCACCCTTAGACATCCTGAGCTTGTTCCACCTCGGTGACTTTGCACCTGCCATTCTCCCCTTCTGGAATGTGTTTCCATCTCTTCTTAGCCCAGAAAACCTCATATGCATTCTTTAAAACCCAGGCCCAATGTCACCTCTGTGTGAGACTTTCCAGGGACTCCCGAAACCGAGAGAATGTAAGCTCCGCTTGGCCGACTGTGCTCTCCTGTGTTCACTGACCATCGCCTTGGGATTTAGTCTGTGTCCCCCGGTTCCTCCGACAGAGTCTGGATGGTGATTCAGACTTGTTGTTCCATAACAGCTGTGATGTTGAGTGTACATTTCTAGAACGAATAGCTGACTACTTGCCCCATAACTGGCTGACCCCTTCAATACACGAACCTACAGTTCTGAAATTATATCATGGGCATCTTACGCCTCCTCGATTTCCAGGGAGCTGGGGATGTGGGTTGGATGGGATGGGGCAAAGAGAGTGAAAAAGCGAAAGTGAAGTCGCTCAGTCGTGTCCGACTCTTTGCGACCCCATGAACTGTAGCCTACCAGGATCCTCCGTCCATGGGATTTTCCAGGCAAGAGTACTGGAGTGGGTTGCCATTTCCTTCTCCGATCTTAGTATTTTTAATATTGAGTTTTAAGTCGGCTCTTTCACTCTCCTCCTTCACCCTCATCAAGAGGTTCTTCACTTCCTCTTTGCTTTCTGCCATTAGAGTGGTATCAACTATACTTAATAATAATAACAATAAAAAGCCCCTTTAGTTTCTTATTCCCCTGTTCTCTCCTTAGGTGCTATTATTATGGAGGGAGCTCAGCCCACCCTGCCATTAGTAGTCTTTTAGCCTCCTCTACCCGAGGTAACCTGAAGGCTTGGGGTCTGGAGCAAGTCCTTTTGGAACTCTCAGTTTTGATGCTATGGTAATAACGGCCTTAGTGAAAGATCACTTACTAGGGGCCAGGTACCCTTTGTTCTGAGAACAACAGTTCTCAAAGGGGTTCAGAAACTCGGAGGCCGCAGAGACCCTTCCAGGGGGGTCCGTCAGACTGAACTGTTTTATTTTTTTAAAATAAATATCTGACACTACTTTAAAATATTATTTTTAGCCTGTGGGATCTTAGTTCCTTGACCAGGGATAGAAGCCACCCCCCCTGAATCGGAAGTAGACCATCTTAACCACTGGACCACCGGGGAAGTCCCCGAACTGTTAAAAATATGTTTTCTTTGGACTATTTTTAATATTAACGTTAAGATGCCCTTTGCCTCTGTCACTTTTATTCTCTCACATGTGTATGGTGGAGTTTCCAGGGGAGATTTGCTGTTGCAACAGGTGGGATGCAGAATCAGATGTGAGAATCCAGCTGCCTTCTGCTCACTGGATATGGAAGAGATGCAATATTGGAAAACAATGTCTCTCTCTTTTTATGGAATATTTTTGTTTTGGAAAAGGTGGTTATTTTTCATTAAAAATGTTATTTGTTACCATGAGTAGATGGATTGTGATTTAGAAACTAACAAACAGTTTTTAAAATTAGCAGTTTTATTTATTTTTTGTTTTAATTTACAAATGGTAAATATCAGTATCTATAACCCATATAAACAGATGTATATGTATATATATACACACATTATATATATATACATTATATATATACACACACAATATATATATATACATTATATATATATACACACATTATATATATGTATATATATGGTTTTTTTGGCCATGCCACACATTTTATATATATATATGTATATTATATTGTACATACATATATATATGTACATACATATATATATATGTACTTTTTTTTTCTTTTGGTGTTGTGGCATGTGGGATCTTAGTCCCCTGAACAGTTCTATGGCCCCTGCATTGGAAGCTTGGAATCTTAACCACTTGACCACCAGGGAAGTTCCCTCAAGTATATTATTTATTTTTAAATTTATTTATATTTATTTATTTATTTATTTTTCCCAATTATTTTTATTAGTTCCCTCAAGTATATTTTTTAAAGAATGGAAAGGGGTACTGAGACCAAAATGTTTGAAAACTGTGAATGTAGAAGAGTGGTCCAATCCAGCCCTCTGCCTGTTTTTATAAATAAAGTTTTATTGGAACATAGGCACACCACACTTTTATGTAAGGCTGCTTTCCTGGTGCAGTGACAGAGCTGAAGAGTTGAGAGAGAGACCATCTGGGCTACAAAGCTGAAAATATTTACTCTTCGATCCTTTAAGAGAAAGTTTGCTGGACTGATGTAGAATAATGCATTTAGCCTTCATGAACAGCTCTATTACTGTTCCCCTTTTACAGATGGGAAAATAGAGGTACAGACAGGTTAAGTAATTTTCCTTAGGTCACACAGTCAGTGAGGCTGGAGTTGTTCCTTGAAGACCATCTACCTCTCCTTCTCTGCAAATTCTACGTGATTCTCTGAAGCCTTTTCTTGGGAGAACCAGGAGTTGCATCTTCAGACCAAAGGCCTTTCATGTCAACCTGAACAAGAGATGTGTGTGTGCTCAGTCACTACGTTTCCGACTCTTTTGCAACCCCATGGACTATAGCCCACCAGACTCCTCTGTCTATGGGATTTTCTAGGCAAGAATACTGGTGTGGGTTGCCATTTCCTCCTCCAGGGGATCTTCCTGACTCAGGGATTGAACCTGCATCTCCTGCATTGCCAGGTGGATTCTTTACTACTCAACTACCTGGGAAGCCCCTGAACAATGGATATAACTGGCCTTTGGCTCACCTAAATCAACACAGCTTCTCTGACCTCCTGATCTTATTAACGATGGTTTTTGGCTGTCGAGCATATTCACAGAAGCATTCACAGAATAGGCAGGGAGGTAAGATCCTGGGGATGGAAGGACCTCTGCCATCCTTCATCATGCAGCCAATTTCTAGAAGGCTGGAGCGGGAGGCTGCCAGCAGGTGCACTGTGGGCTGAAGGACAGACCTACTGGATGGGGCTGAGGGCGGAGGGAGGACAGGCTATCGGTCCCTTGGTAAGAACCCCACCCCCACCTCCGATCTGCTGCCCTCACCTTGAACTCGCGTGGCCCTCTTCTGCTGCCTACAGGCTGCTCTGAACCTTGACCTCTAAGTTCTAGGACTCTCCAATGGCTGCGGGAATTCAGGGGCATCTCAGGAAAGTCTATGAAATGGGATACAGCTTGGGGGGGAACCCTTCAGAAGCAACTTCTTGGGTGCCGGTGGTGAGTTGGGTGGGAGTGCCAGAGGCCTCGGGTGGGGCTCACCTCCCACTGGACTTGGGGGTCCTGAGCTAGGCTTCCAGGTACCTCCTGCAGGGTGTTTCCAATAGGAATTTTGCTAATATTTGAGGCGTCACACATTTTCCTTGGGGTCTCACTGGCCGGATCATGCAGGAATACTATCCAGCAGACTGTGGAGCCGTGGGGAGGTGGGGTGGGGGTGGTCTGAGGGTGGAGGCATGGGGTGGTTGGGGGGGGGACTCTACTGCCCTGCTGTCCCCCATCCAGGACAACCAGGTAAAGACCCAGCCAGTGTCTCTGGCTTTAACTTTCCTGCAAAGAGTCCTGGTTGAAGAGCTACCGCTTTCTCATCCTTAACCACTTTCCAAGTGCCTCCTACCAAGGTTCCCCCAAAGAGACCTGGGGAGTACTTTGCAGAAGCTATAAAGACCACTCCAATACAGAAGCCCTTTGATTCAACTTTTTTTTATTTTTTTTTTCTTTTTGAATGTCATGCAATAATTCACAGTCCCAAGCCCACAGTTTTCAAACAAGGTAGGAAAAAGGAAAAAAGAAGCAAAGGAAATCGGTGGTGGTGTTTTTTTTTCTTTTTTCTTTTGTTATTTCAAGCAGGACCAAATGTCAGAAAAAAATGCTTCTTTTCTCAATCATTAATTTTTTTGTCCTTTTTAAAATTGTTTATTTTTTTTTAAATTGATTTCTGCAGGCAGTAATAGTAGGGTTTGGTATAACCAGCAAGCACTCCTGTGTGTGTCTGAGAACGTGTGTGGGGTATGAGTGTGTCTGGTGGAGGTCTGTGTGGGACGCTGGGTTTCCTCTTGGCTTCCGGCTTCTAGCCACACACACGGGCCACCAGCACGCGTTCACCAGGGAAAGGAAAGATTTCAATTGAGATGATAAAACTCATCAATAGAAGCAATTTTTTTTCTCCCCGTTTTTCTTTTAAAAATGTTTTTTTTTTTTTGGAAATTTCCATTTTCCCCAAGGTTCTCCAAAAATGGCTGAGTTAATTCGAATCCCTTGGCTGTGTGGTTTGTCTGCCCCCGAGGGCCCCCCGCCGTCGTCGTGGGGGATCGGGGCTGGGTGGGGGGCGCCGTCGCTGCCCAGGAGGGTCTTTCCGGGACACCCTGGTGTGTCCCGGCCCTGGGGACTCCCTCCAGAGTCCGGGGTCGTCCGGCTGGTCCTCTCCTGGGCCCTCCCGGGCCTCCCCGCCCCCGTGTGCTGGGCAGGTGGCAGCGAGGTGGCCCCGCGGCCGGTGCGGCTCCTCCCCGAGGGGGGCGTGCGCGTGGGGTGCGTGGGGGGGCCGGGCGGGCGCCACCTCGCCCGGGCTTAGCACCAGTCATCGTCGTCGGTCTCGCTGTAGGCTTCGTGCAGGCCTTTCCGGGAGCCCGGCCCGCGGGGCCTGGCCAGTCCGTGGGCCGGGTAGTAGCCGTTCGGGAGTCGCCGGCCGTGCCTGGAAGGCGAGGCGCACGCCGGGCCCGCGGCCCGGGGAGTCCTGGGCGAGCACGCGTGGCGCGCGGGGGGCGGTGCGTCGTAGGCGGCGGCCCGGGGCTCTTCCTCCTCCCCGCCGCCGCCGCCGCCCAGGCCGTCGGGCTCGTCGTAGTCGGAGCCCCGGTAGTAACCATGGTGGTGCCGGGGGCCCGGGGGGCCCTCGGCCGCGTGCGCGCCGGACGCCGGCCATCGCGCCCCGCCGTGGCGACACGGCGCCCGGGGGGATTCGCTCCGGGCCGGGCCCGGGACCCGCCGCTCCATCGCGGGCGAGCGGCTGCTGCCGTGGCTTCCCGTGGGCGGCCGCTCTCCGGCCAGGGGCTCGGCCACGGGGCCCGGGTACCTCCGCGGGCCGCTGGGGGCCGTTCGGCCCGGCCGCGCCGCGGGCTGCTGCTGCTGCTGCTGGGGACCCGAGCCGCCGGCCTTACGGATCACGGGGGAATAGGACACGTGCGGCCGGGGAGTGGAGGGGGTCTGGGGGAGCTGGCGGCGTCCCCGCCGCGGAGTGCTGGTACCAGATGTTGAGGGGGCTGGGCTTCCACTTACGGAACTACTGCCCTACACGAAAATTGAAACAAAGGAAATCAAAAAAAAAGATACAACAAAATCAACCAGAAGGAGACGGGAGGAGACACAGAGGACGGGAGGGTGGGGAGCGAAGGAAAATCCGGAGGACCGGGGAGGAGGAGGGTGGGAGGGACACACAGGACGTTCAAATGGAAAAAAAGGAAAAAAGCAACAGCCACAGGTGGGAGGAGGGGGGAGGAGGGGGAGGAGGGGGGGAAGGAGGAGGAGGAGTGAGAGAGACAAGGAGGGTGGGGGGAAGTCGAAAACCAACACAACAAAGTGAAAAGAGAAATGAGAAATGGAGTTTTGTAAGTTTCGGGGTTTAAAAATAGCAGAAGTTTCAAAAGTTACTCACAGGCGTCCAGAGGACAGAAATCATAATTGAAACAAAAAACGGAAGCCGGGTTAAAGGAAAGCAAAAGGCAGAAGGTAGCCAGGGTGGGCGTGAGTCGTAAAGACCACTGCTGGCCCGAAACTCAAACGTGATCCACAACCAAAGAGGAAGCAGCTGCGGGCGGCGGGGAGCGGGGAGGCAGGCGGGCGGGGGTGGGGGGGCTGGGGTGCAGAGTGGGGAGCCAGAGGGGCAGGGGGCAGTGCCCACCCCTGCCCGAGCCCAACCCCCTGGCTTCGGGAGCCCAGTGGGGGGCAGGTCAGAGATCACAGCGGGAGTCGGGAACCCCGCCCAGAGGAGCTGTGGGGCTGTGGCCCGCCCTCCCCCATCCTCTCCCGTCCGGTCCACAGTGCCTCTGCCACACCCACCTGCCGGTGGGCCATGTGCTCTCGGCCCTCACTGGGTGAGCGGGACCAGCGCTGGTCTCGGGCCCGGGTCCGGCCATGGTCCGGCCGCTCCTGGGCGTAGCGCTCCTTGTCGGGGGGCGGGGGATGATGGTGGTGATGGTGGTGGTGGTGTTGCCGATGCTTCCGGTCCTTGGGTCGGCCCCGCTCCTGGTCCCTTTCCTTTGATGGCAGGTCCCCAGACTGGGTGGTCATGCTCAGGTCTGTCCCCAAGCCTGGGGCCGCGTGGGGTCAGACAAGACAGAGGCTGTGAGGAGAGGGTGGCATGGGACGTGCACGCGGGAGCCTTCCAAGTGGGACTGCGGGCCCTGTGGGCACCTTCCCTTGGGCCCAGGATGGCCTGGTGTGTGTGTTGGGGGGGAGCTGGCCACCAGGTTGTGAGCAGCAGCTGGTGCATCTCGGTCCCCCTTGGTCCTGTCCAGGCCTTTCTGTCTTTTCTTATTCAGTCTTCCCCTGCTCCGCCTTCTCCCCCTAGATCCCCTGCTCCGTCCCTGGGCCCTGCGGGGCGGCCCACCTGTGTCCACGTCCGTGTAGCGGCCCAAGGAGCGCTCGGAGGTGCGGTGGCCGCGGTCTCTGCGCCTCGGGTGGTGCCGCTGGTTCTCCTCGGGCGGCACCCTCTCCAGGGAGTAGTCGTCCAGGCGCCGGGCCTTGGGGCCCAGCACAGAGGCTGAGCGCTTCATGGGGCTGGTGTCTGAGATGGTCTGGGGTGGGGGGGAACAGGCCGGCGGGCCGGGGTCAGTGGCTGGGATGCAGCGGTCCCGGTCTGCCCCATCCACCATCAGTGATGGGGCTGTGACCATCCGGGGGTGGGGTCTGTGGGGGGAGCCTCCAGGACTCCTCTCTCCCCTCCCCAGCTCCTCCTGGCTTCCGCCAGGAGGCCCCGTCCTCTCCACCTCCTGCTGGGACAGGCAGGCCGGCTGAAGGGCAGAGCTTCTCCATCCGGAGTACAGACCTGGGAGCCCTGGGCCCTGGGCAGCCCGGCCTGCTCTCCAAAGCGGGTGAGGAGCCTCAGCCCCTCCTTGCTGTCAGGCCTATCGGCCCAGGGCCAGGCACCCAGCACACAGTCCTCCTTGGCCAACTGGGACCGGACTTTCCTGCCCACCTGAGTCCAGCTTCTTTGGGACGCCTTTGAGGGGCTGGCCTGGTATTTGAGACCCCCGGGGGGACCTGCTCTCCTCGTCCTTGGCCTGCAGCTTGGGGACCTGTGTGTTTGCTGCACCCTTGGGTGGAACTGGGTTCCCTGCGGCTCGGGGAGGAGAGAAGGAAGACAGAGCAGACTTGCCCAGGGCCTGGCCCAGTGACACTGCCTGGGACTGGACTTTTAAGGGACACGGGGCTGTGGGACCTGAGGTTCATGGGTGGTGTCATGGGAAAGAGCCCCCAAGAAGGAGTGAGCCAGGCAGGGCTGCAGGTCAGGCTTCTTGGAACGATGGACACCCGCCCGCCAGGCTTGGGGGGCTCTGAAGAGAGGGTGGGAGGCGAGGGGGGCAGGGCGGGGTCACCCCTCCAGGGCACACGTGGGCCACACAGAGACAACACATGAGGATGGGGCTCCACGGGGTGGGGGGCAGGGGGTGCGGTCTGCAAAGAAAGGGTGGGGTCCGAGGACCCGGAGAGATGACAGGACTCCCACGAGGGGGGGTGGGCGGGAAGAGGGGGCCGGAGCCCAGCTGGGCGGCGGGCGGGCGCGGTACATACACTGAGGTTATTCCCACGTGGCCGGCCCCTTCTCCTCTGTCACAGCCCCACGGGATGGTGCACACAGAAAAAACAGAAAGAAGGAAATAAATATAAAAGCCGAGAGGGAGAGGGGAAGGTGTGTGGGAGATGGAGGAGAATGCCAGGGGTGGGGAGAGAGAAGAACCTGAGGTGGGAAGGGAAGGGGGAGGCAGAGAGAGGTTAGCGGCCCGGTGCGAGGGCGACCCCAGGCCCGGCTGGTCTTCCTCCCCTGGGGACGGAGCACACAGGTGGCAAAGGCACGAGACGACAGATGGGGCGACGTGGCCGCAGGCGCCTGGCCCTGGACTCTGCCTCATGCAATGCGCCCCAGCCCTGGCTCGGCTGACACTCGAAGCTTTGGGGGCAGGGTGGGATGGCCGTCAGCTGGTTGTGCCCCCCTCCTCCTGGGGCCCAGAAGCTCAGTCCTGGTGGGGCTTTGGGGGGGCCCCTTGGGATGGGACTGGACAGTCACATGCAGGCTGGGTGCCTCCCACCTGAGTTCCCAGCAGCCAGAGGCCACGCCCCTGGGCGACCCTGGCCCCGGCCAGGCACAGCACAGCCCCCCCGCCCCCCGTGCAGATGCCACGGCGCAGCACACGGGCAACCTGCCGCAGTCAGACATGCCACCCTGCCTCTCAGGTTGGGTGGGCAGCCCAGCCATGCTTCTGGCCCCTCTGTCCTGGTGGGCCGGGGGCAGTGGGATCCCGCTCCCCCCCAAAACCAAGCCCTGCAGCTGGGTAAAGCAGCCACACACAGACACGCGTCAGGCACACACACCTGCTTCTCCCCAGCGGCTCTCACAGAGACCAGACAGAGGAATGACTCCCAGGCCCCACCCCAGACATGCTACCAGATCCCGGGACCTGCCAAGTTCCCCAGAGCATGTACGATGTATAAGAACACCCATCCCTGTGTGCATGCGCCTGTGTGCGCATGCGTGCGTGCGTGCATGTATATTCTTCATTGCATCTCTCACCGGGGCCTGACACATCCCCTCCCATCCTCCCTCCACATCCCCAATATGCATCCTCCACATCCTCCAGCCTCAGCATCCCTAAACGGAGCAGAGACAAACCACGTGGTGGTGGCCACGGTGCCCTGCCCCAGAGGAACCTCGTTCTCTCCCAGTCCTCCGTCAGGGAGAAACTAAGAGGATCAGGGCCTCTGGGGGTTCCAGAGGTGTGGACCCTTGCCTGTAGCAGCCAGGAGTGCAGGAGTCCCACCCAGCCCTGGGTCCCTGGGCTGCACAGGGAAGCCGGGACTCCAGCGGCCAAGTCCAGTCCCCAGGGTGGTGGGTGAAAGCTCTCACCTGGTTCTCGGCGGGCAGGCGGGGCATGGAGGCGGCCCGGGCCTGGCCTTCCATGGGGAGGTAGTGCTCACTGTCGGAGTAGCCGTCTCTGCCCATCTCTCGCATCTCCACAGACTGCGGGGCAGATGGCGAGGCCGGGTGAGCCCTGGGGCCACCTGGCCAGGGGACCCCGGGGTGGAGGGTTGGCCGGGGAGCCAAGGGGGCGGTGGGGCCATGAAGGTACCTGAGAGTTGGGCTGGCTATTGGGCACATCGGTGGGGGGGCCCCGCTCCGGGCTCCATGTGCCCGTCTTCTGGAACATCTCCTGGGCCCGCTGGGTCACCCAGGACGGGCTCTCTTTCATGCCACTTTCGTGAGCCGTCCTGTGTGGGGCACAGGGACCAGGGTGACGGTGGGCACTGTGGTGGCTTTTGCACCTGGCACCCAGCACCCCAGTCCCCTGCCTTCTGGCCAAGAGGGACACTCACAAGCCTCCTCCTGGGTCCAGCTGGGTGGAGGGGAGGGCGTTCTGGCCAGGCCCCCCCTCCTGTGTTGGAGATGGGGGCTCCATGCGCTGGAACATGAGAGGTGTCCGGTTCTGGGGAGGCAGAGAGCAGCATGTGTACATAAGGTGGCCGGGGGGTGGGGAGAGCAGGGACAGAGGGAAGAGGGTGTCCCAGGCTGAGGCTTTGGTTTCAAGACTGCAGTGGGGAGGCTATGGAGGGTATGCTTAGCCCACCCCTGGGGTGAAATCCTAGAAGCCATTCTTGAAACCCACCCCCACCTTAAGACACACACACACATTCAAGTCTGATCCATCAGTGAGTCCTCTAGACCCTTCCAAGTCCATCCATAACCAGGTCACTTCTCACCGCTGCATGACCCCCATCCTGGTTTTCATGTTTTGGCCAGGACCACTGCCTCCTCCCAGGTTCCCAGCTCCAGCCCTTACCCTCCATGGCCACCAGAGAGCACCAGTGAACACCTGCAAGAGATCGCTTCCCACCTCTCCTGAGGCACCCTTGTGGCTCCCACTTCACGCTGAGCAAAAGTCAAAGGCCCACAAATCCCGAATAATCTGTCCTGTCACCTCCCCACTCTCGTCTCCTTCCCCTGCCCCTCTTGCACACTCTGTTCTGCCATATTGACTTCCCTGCTATTTCTCAAACTCAAACTCATGGTCCTGCCTCAGGGCCTTTGCACTGGCTGTTCCCTCTGCCAGAAACACTCTGCCCCTAGGTATCTGCTTGGCTCTCTCTCCTCTTCCTTCACGTCTTTCCTCTGATGTCACTTCCTCAGCAATGCCTCCCAAACCACCCCTTTCAAATCACATTCCCTTGCCCACCCCCTGTTTTTTCTCATGACACTTTTTTCTGCAGTGCTATATAATTTCATCATCTATCATTGCTAGCCTTCTGCCAACTGGAAAGTCTGCTCTGCAGGGATTCTGGTCTGTTTTGCTCACAGACGCATACCCAGAGCTGAGAAAGGTGCCTGGCACACCATAGGTGTCCAAAAAAAAAAAAAAGTTTATTTGTTCTGCTTATTGGCTTATTTGGCTGCACTGGGTCTTAGTTGCAGTACATGGGATCCAGTTTCCTGAGCAGGGATCGAACCTGGGACCCTTGCATTGGGAGCGTGGAACCCTAGCCACTGGACCACCAGGGAAGTCCCTGTGCAGTAAGTATTGGTGGAGCAAATGAGTTACTCCAGGTTATGTCTCCTTGGCACTGCCCTCCTTCTTCAGTGACCTGTCCTGGAGCCTGACGTCATCCCACTGTTCTGATTGGTCCTCACGGTGACAAGGGACACACTCTCTCCCAGCCTGGGTGGCCCCAGAGTGATGGATGTCGGAAGCGGCGGCTGTCAGGGCTGGAGCCATACCTGCTCCTCGCGCATGGCCTGCAGCTTCTTGGCCTTGCTCTGCCGGTAATATTCCATGATCATCATGGCCGCGTAGATCTTCCCCACCGTCAGGTCCGTGGCTGGGGGCAGAGGATGAGCTCACCATGGGTGAGGGCCCCTGTATGCACCAGCCCCGCTGTCCCGAGGCCTCCTCTTTCCTCCCCCCCCTCTGTCCCAGGCTGGGCCTGGCTCTTACACTTGTGGGGGGTGACCAGCAGGTCCAGCGTCTTCTGGGACAGATTGGGCCAGATGGCCATCATCTCCTTCCGCAACTCAGCATCCATTTGTTGTTTGTCAGCTCCGCCTGCAAGTGGGAACAGAGAGGCATCAGCTGGCTTCTGGGGAAGCTGCAAAGCCATAGGCTCCTGCTGACCCAGGCTCTGGGGTCCTGGTCCCCAGCAGGGCCGGGGCCTTTGAAAGACTGTGTGGGAGGCAGTCCAGCATCCAGAGGGACTGACCTGGCCCCTACTTACCAGCTGTGTGACATGCGTGTTAGTCTACCATGCTGTGCTTCAGTCTGCCCATCTTTGAAATGGGGAAGATGGCAATAGTACCTGCCTCAGTGAGTTGTCTGAAGATCAAAGTAGTTGGATGTGCAGCATTAGAACTACGTCTGCTGTAGGGAGCCTGGGGTAAGCCTTAGGGAATAGTCCCGATAGAGGAGGTTTGTCCCTCAACCAAATCCCCCTCCTATGAATGCTGACCTTGGAACTAGCTGACCCCTGGCCCCTTACCCCAGCCATCATGATTCTTTGTCCCCCCCTGCCTGGGTGCACGGGAGTGTAGCCCTTCCTGCCCTCCCTGGGATTGGCTGGAGCCATGAGATGAGTTCTTGCCACTGAGGCGTGAGCAGAGTGAGGTGCCACTTTGGGCATTTAATGGCCAGTGCAGAACCCTCCTGAGTTCTCATTCCCTCTGTCACAGCAACTGGTAACACGGGACAGTGGTTGTCCACTCGGGCCTGGTCCCTAAGTGACTAATGAACAGCAGACCCTGCTGAGCCTGGAAGAAGTTCCCACATAATGCAGGTGGGAAGTGAATCTTTGTTGGTTCAAGACCTTGGGGCTGTTTGTCATGGCGGCACATTCTCCTTCATCCTGGCTGATACATCAGCCTGGACCCTGTTTCGACTCTTGTTTCACAGCCCCCAACACAAGGCACAGGGGTGCTGTCCTAACACTCGCCAGCAGTTAGGGACATTGATGCTAGAGAAAGGGTCTGAGGGCTTTCTGCTGGGCTAGGTAGTCGCCCTGTGGTTGCTGGATTATGGGAGGAGGTGCAGGAGATCTGGGGGAAGGGCAGGGGCCGGCCAGCAGCCAGCTGAGCAGCATTGCAGTGTTTTAACAGCCACCCACGGGGGCCTGCTGGCTGAAAACCTGCCCCCCTCCAGGCAGCCCCAAGAACCCCCTCTGCCTCCACTCCCGGTCCACCCCTGGTCGCCCGCCTGCCTTCACGGCCCCTCCTTCTCCCACTCCCGTTTCCGGATCCAGCCGAGGACTGTCTTTGGACTGCCTTGGACTCCTGTGCAGTTCCTCCTCAGCAGATGTGGGTCAAAGCACAGACATCTGCCAGGCACTCCATGCCTTCACTCATCTTCCCCTGTGTGACTCCAGAGACAGGTGTCTTTGCGTGGAGAAGAATTCTTTCAGAAGGGTCTTTTGTCAAGTCAAGCACAGACCCTGTCCCACAGGGAGGATTTGGAGGCAGCAGGGAGCTGAACGGCCCGGACCCGTGTAGCGGCCTCTGCACAAGTCCTCCCACACCCACCAGAGGGCGCTCGCGAACACCCGAGGGCCGTCGCCTCTGCCCAGGTCCACCTCCCGTAGCCCTCCCACAGCCACCAGAGGGCGCCCAAGAACACCCGCGTCAGTCACGTGTCTCAGAGCCCTTCAAAGCTCTCCGCTCACCCAGGGTGGTCTCCCCAAGTCCACAAGCCCCTGAACCACCTGCCCTCATCTCCTCTCCTTTCCCCTTTGCTCACTCTGTTCCAGCCACACCAACCTCCTCAATGCCCCGCAACCACGCCAAGCATTGTCCTGCCTCAAGTTCTTCGCATAGGCTGTTTCCTCTGCCGGGATGGTCCTTTCTACAGGTATCGGTGTGGTTCCTTCCCTCATCCGCTTCAGGTCCCTGCCCAAATCCTTTATCAAAGAGGTCTTCTAGCTGCCACCCAACCTAAAACAGCCCCCCTCTTCTATGCCTTTTTCCGGCTTTATTTCTCCACTATGTAGCTCACCACTTTTGTGTCTGCAGGGTCTAAAGGTGCAGAGATCACGGGCCAAGCTGTGTGAGGGTGGGGCTGATGGGTGGGCCTGGACTGAGGTTGTGGGAGAATCTTCAAATAATCATCTGTTTTGTAGCTGGCCTTTCAACACCCTTGACACCAACCTGTAACAGTTTTTCTTTCCTCTAGGAAAGCAGTTGGAATGAATAGCTACATCTCCCATCCACTGTAGCTAAGTGAGGTGCCTGGGGCCTCTTTGGCTCCTTTTCAGAGACATGGGAAGGGAAAGAAGAGAATGTGACATTCCTGTGAAAAGTCACTTTTGCCCAACAGCTTACATATTTCCTGTTTTGGGTGGAGAAAAGGCAGGCACTTATTGTTATGGACTGAATTGTGTCCTCCCAGAATTCACATTGAAGCTCGAATGCCCAATGTAATGGCATTTGGAGATGGGCCCTTCAAGGAAGTGACTAAAGTTATGTGAGGTTATAAGGGTGGTCCCTAAGAGAGACAGACAGCAGGGGTGCATATGCACAGAGGAAAGGCCATTGAGGACACAGCAAGAATGCGGCCGTTTGCAAGCCGAGAGCTCTCTGAGGAGAATCTTAACCTGCTGACACCTTGATCTTGGATGTCCAGTCTCTAGAACTGTGAGAGTAAATTTCTGTTGTTTATGTGCTGTCTCAGGTATTTTGTTATGGAAGCCTGAGCTGACTTGGATTCCTGTTCTTGGTGAATGGTTTAGGCAGGGTCAAGGTTTCTCACGCTGTCAGCGCTGTCAGACACTTGAGGCTGGACCATTCTTGGTTGTGGGGCAGTCCTGTGCATTGCAGGACTTCATGCATCCTTGGTCTCTACCCACTAGTTACCAGCAGCACTCCCTGACCCTAGTCCTGACCACCAAGCCTGTCCCCAGACATTGCCAGGTGTCCCCGGGTAGACACAACGCCTCCGGCTGAGAATCACCACCTTAGACGCCTGCTTCACAGGGAAATCTCTCATTCGGCATTGTTGTTCACATTTAAATGCAGTAGATACCCTGCCTAAGAATCTTTAAGTTGAGAACTTTCAAAGATGTGAACATGCGTTCCATCAATGTCAGGCCAGGCATGAGTTAAATTGCAGCGTCCCTCCATGTCCTACTGCTGACGATCCTTCAGCTCTACCATCTCCCACCTCATCTCCCTCCGCCGGTCAGTAACTCCGCTTGCCTGTTCACTCAATTCCAGCCCCTGTGTTCCAGCTGTTATGCTATACTCTGTACTTTTCAAGGTACTATACTGTTAGATTGAAAATGTTTTCTTTCCTGTTTGTTTTTATATGTTATTTGTGTGAAAAGTATTATAAACCTATTACAGTACAGTACTATGTAGGCGATTATGTTCATTTGGTACCTAGGCTAGTCTTTTGGACTTAGGAACATACTGGACTCATGAATGCTCTTGGAACAGAACTCATTCATATGTAGGGGACCTACCATGAAGGGAAAATCCTTAGAGGATTTCAAGGTGGCTCTCGGGGTCATGGGATCCACTCAAGCCTGAATCCCAGGTTTACTCCTCCTTCAGGTACAGAGTTGTTAATACTGGGGCTCCCAGGGCTTCCCTGGTGGTTCGGATGGTAAAGAATCCTCCTGCGATGCAGGAGACTTGGGTTCCATCCCTGGGTTGGGAAGATCCCCTGGAGAAGGAAATGGCAACCCACTCCAGTATTCTTGTCTGGAGAATTCTATGGACTGGGGCACCTCACAGCCTACAGTCCATGGGCTTTCAAAGAGTCGGACATGACTAAGCAATTGACACTTTCACTTTCAAAGACAGAAGGTACCCCTGTATTTGGGCATCAGTCCCCCAGAAACCAGTGGTGTCCCAGCGTCTTCCCCTCCCCCATATTACTCTGCACACCTCTGGTGAGCCTTCTCTGTTGCAGGGTCTGTCCCATACACGTGGCAACATTCAAGAGCTTCTCTTGGGACTCCCCTGGTGGTCCAGTGGTCAAGACTCTATGCTCCCAAAGCAGGGGGCTTGGGTTCAATCCCTGGCTGGGGAACTAAGATCCCATATGTCACATGGCCAATAAATAAATAAAATAAAACATTAAAAAAAAAAAGCCTCCCTGGCATGCCAGGTACCATCAGGGCCAGCCCACTTCCAGCTTCCACAACCAAAACTGTCCTCAGCCTTCCCTGGGGTGGACTGCTGGCACCCAGATAGGAAGAAGGTTTCTTCTCTGTACGGTATTGAAGGCAACAGGCGAAGGAGGTGGTAAAATAAGACGGGAGTTCCTGCTGCCATCTCTGTGTTAATTTGGTCTGTTAGAACTGACAACAATTTCTATTAGTTCATCAAAATCTTCCACTTCTGCTATATGCTCCTTAATATGAAAAGTTGTAAAGAGTGAATAAAGCGTCATTTTTCAGGCTAAAAAAAACCAAAACAAAACCAAAACTGTCTTCAGACATTGCCAATGATCTCTGGAGGCAGGATCATGCCTGGTTGAGAACCCCTGACTTAGAGTTTAAACCCCTGACCAGGATCCCCAACCCCCGACTCTGCCCTTCCTTTCCTTTCCATAACACTTCTGGCCTTTGAACACGTTACATATTCTACTTATTTATAGGGGCCTATTTGTTTGTTGCCTGTCTCCCCACAGCCCCATGAGGGCTGGAGGTTCATCTGTCCTTCCCTGGTACATCCCACTTGCTGAGGATAGGACACACAGCCTGTGCTCAATGGAGCTCTCCTCCAGGGAGCTGGTGGTAACACAGGCAGGTCAGATTAATGGTGAGCAGGGCCCTGTGGGACTCCCAGGCGTGAAGGCCGTTTCCCTCCCCCTTGTCTTCTAGGCAAGACTCCAGCCTCCATGACCTTTCCTGAATTCCAAAGGGTGGATCCCAACAGTTGCTAATCAAGGGAGCAGCAGCCAGGAAACCACCTGAGGCAAGATTAAAGGGGCTGGAGAATTTCATCAAGATTAGGAGAGGGCTCCCCTTGTAGCTAAGTTGGTAAAGAATCTGCCTTCAATGCAGGAGACCTGGGTTTGATCCCTGGGTTTGGAAGATCTCCTGGAGAAGGAAATGGCAACCCACTCCAGTATTCCTGCCTGGAGAATCCCATGGACAGAGGAGGCTGGCAGGCTACAGTCCATGGGGTCACAAGAGTCAGACATGACTTAGCGTCTAAACCACCACCACCACCACTTGAGACCCTGCACACACTCTAATGTTGTCAGCAATCCCACCCTTTCAAAACTTTGCAGAAATGTTGTTCAGTTGCTAGGCCATGTCCAACTCTTTGCAACCCCATGAACTGCAGCACGCTAGGCTTTCCTGTCTTTCCCTATCTCCTGGAGTTTGCTCAAACACATGTCCATTGAGTTGGTGATGCCATCTAACCATCTCATCCTCTGTCACCCCCTTATTCTCCTGCCCTCAATATTTCCAAGCATCAGAGTCTTTTCCAATGAGTTGGCTCTTCTCGTCAGGTGGCCAAAGTATTGGAGCTTCAGCATCAGTCCTTCCAATGAATATTCAGGGTTGATTTCCTTTAGGATTGACTGGTTTGCTCTCCTAGCAGTCCAAGGGACTCTCAAGAGTCTTCTCCAGCACCACAATTTGAAACATCAGTTCTTTGGCACACAGCCTTCTTTATGGTCCAACTCTCACATCCATATGTGACTAATGGAAAACCCATAGCTTTGACTAGATAAACCTTTGTTGGCAAAGTGACATCTCTGCTTTTTAATACACTATGTTTATCACAGCTTTTATTCCAAGGAGCAAGCATCTTTTAATTTTGTGGCTGCAGTCACCATCCATAGGTAATTTATCCTAGCAATGTGATTTATGGTGGGGGTCTTGAGCCATGTGGTATCAGCGTGACCTCTAGAGGGGCTAGAAGCTGAGCAACTGAGGTCAGCCAGGCTTACATGACTAGTTCTCAATAAATATGCTAGACTCAAAGTTCAGGTGGGCTTGGGTGGTTGACAATACTTCATACATGTTGGCACACATCATTGCTGGGAGATGTAAGCACTGTGCATGTGACTCCATTGGGAGGGAGTGGAAGCTCCCTCTTGGTCTCGTCCAGACCCTCTCCAAAGCCTTTTGCCTTTGCAGATTTTAATCTGTATCCTTTTGCTGTAATAAACCACAACTGTGAGTAAAACAATTCTTCTCAGTTCTGAGTTCTATCAAATCACTGAATCTTGCCTTTTTCTTTTTTTGAACCTTCGTTTTGGGCTATCCTGGGACCTCTGAACACAGGTTCGCCAGAGGAAAACAGCAACTGGGACACAAAGGTATTATGTAGGGGCTTCCCAGATGGTGCTAGTGGTAAAGAACCTGCCTGCTCATGCAGGAGACATAACAGATGCAGGTTCAATCCCTGGGTAAGGAAGATCCCCTGGAGGAGGGAACAGCAACCCACTCAAGTATTCTTGCTTGGAGAATCCCATGGACAGAGGAGCCTGGCGGGTCCATAGGGTTGCAGAGTCGGACCCAACTTTGCATGCATGCATGTACCAAGAGTGGGTGCACTGTTAGATCCATTTTACAGGTGCAGGAACGGTAGAAGGCAGAATTCTAAAGCTTACCCTTCTCTCCCAGCAAGATTCTGCCTATTCAATCAAATGATAGTCTAGGGACTGCTATAAAAGGACTTTGCAAATGTAATTAAAGTCCCAAGTCAGTTGACTACAAGCTTCAGAGCTGATCTAGGTAGATCTGACCTAATCAGGTGAGCCCTCTAAAAGCAGAGCATTTTCTTGGCAGCAGAGAAGTCAGACAGACTTGGAGCGCATAAAGGATTAGATGCATCCCCAGGAGCTAGGCATAAACTCTGGCTAGAAGCCAGAAATGAAATGGGGACCTCTGTCCTAGAGCCACAGGCAACTTAATTTTGCTAACACTTGAATAAGCCTTGGAGTAAATTTTCCCCCAGAGCTTCCAAAGATGAGCCCAGCCTGGCCACCTTGATTTTGGGCTTATGAGACTGTGGAGGAGAGCGCAGTTGAGTCTATCTGGACTTCGACCTACATACCTATATGCTAATAAATAGGTGTGTTTTAAGCTGTTAAATTTGTGGTCATTTGTTACATGGCATTGCTAGCTCATGTATTACATGGGCTGAGGCTCAGAACAGGTGCGGTCTTCTGCCAAAGTTTACAACTGAGGACAGGGCAGATAGGTGGGCAAGGTGAGTCCACTTTAAAACACGATTATAAGAAAGCAGCTGAAAAAAAAAAAAGAAAGAAAGCAGCTGTCCATGCTTCTGCTTCCTCACCTCCCTGGGTTGGGACCTGGACCAGTTTCAACCATGTGTGGGGACCTGGACCAGTTTCTGTCTCACTGGACCAGTTAGTTGCTTGGTCGTAGTCTGACTGCGATTCCATGGACTGTAGCCGGCCCGGGTCCTCTGTCCATGGAATTCTCCAGGCAGGTATACTGGAGTGGTTTGCTATTCCCTTCTCCAGGGAATCTTCCTGACCCAGGGATCAAACCCAGGTCTCCTGTATTGAAGGCGAATTCAGTTTCAACCATGCTGATAAGCACACAGTCTGGGGTAGGCAGCGGCACACACAGACAGGCCCCGGGTCCAGACTAGATGCGTGCGCCGAGATGCCTGGCAAGTCTGAACCGCCTTCCTCTCACCTGCTGCATGAGAAAGAAATTAACATGGTGTGTCAGACCGGGGCCTGACCCCTGACCCTTCACCTTCTCCACTTATGCTGTTCTCTGAGCCTCAGCCGCTCTCCTGAATCTTTCACTCGATGTGGGGGCACCTCCCGCTCTTTCCTTGGATCTGCATGTTTCCTGGCTCTGACCGTGTCTGTCCGCAACGTGGGCCCTCCCTCGCCCAACCTCCACCAGGCCCTGTCTCACTGGAGGCCGCTGGTCTCCCTCTTGAATGTCTTCCTTCCGAGCAACTTCCGGCCTTGGTGCCTCCTCCCCCTCTTCTCCTCAGGGCCCTGGAGAGAACGTGCGTCTGCAGTGCGGCCTTCCTTCCTGGTGACCTCTCAGGGGCTTCAGCTGGGTGGAGCCCTGACCTCTCTCTTCATCCCCACTGAGATTTCCACCCCTCTGCTGGACAATGGACCCAGTCATCCAGCTACTCTCCCAACTTCCTTCTCTTTGGTGACCCATGTGCCTCTGTCCCTGCCCTGCTGTCTCATGAGCTGCCAAGTCACACCCAGTCTGCTGTTAGGCCTCTGAAACCCACTCTGGGCCGTCTACTTCAGAGCTGCCCTGGTCAAAGTGATCGGTGGTGACCTGGCACAAAATCCATTGATCACTCATGGTCCTCAGTCTTCAGAGCTGCCCTGGTCAAAGTGATCGGTGGTGACCTGGCACAAAATCCATTGACCACGCATGGTCCTCAGACTTCAGAGCTGCCCTGGCCAAAGTGATTGGCAGTGACCTGGCACAAAATCCATCGGTGGCTCTTGGTCCTCACTCTTGGTCAGTCTTGGTCCTGGGAAGTGCTTAAACACTGGAGATGCCTTTTAGGAGCCAGAGTTGTCCTGCTCTCCACCCACCTCCCTCGCCTCTCCTTTTCACTCCTCGGCCACCTTTAATGCTGGGGTGGCCCATTAGGCTCAGTCTTTGGGGGTCTCTCGGTTCACTCATCCCCTTGGAGAGCTCCTCCAGTCTCCTGGCGTAACACCTGTCAGTGTTTGATGGCTCCTGACTACATCTCCAGCCCAGCCAGGAGGATTCACCATCTTACTTCCTTTAGAACCTTGTGGTGGGGGGGATGCCAGAAGTGTAAGTTGGAGGGCCCCTTCTAGCCCCCATGTCCACGAGTCACTGTCGACTCCAATCTTTTGCCCTCCCTTGGCGCCAAACCTGCTCCTCCCATCTCTTCTCTCTCAGGCAACTGGGGCTGGGTTCGTCCTTTAGTTGCTGGGGCCCCACCCCTTGGGGTTGGCCTTTATGCACTCTTTCCTTACACTCCACATCCATCCATCAGCAATCTGGTTGTCTTGACTCCCAGGACATATCCAGAATGTGAATACTTCATATGCTCTCCTTCCAAGCCCCTATCCTGTGTCCCCCCGATTTATGTCAGGGCTCCTCCTAGCCCATGGTCTATCGTGGTGGCTCAGACAGTCAAGAATCTGCCTGCGATGCAGGCGGCCCAGGTTGGATCCCTGGGTGGGGAAGATCGCCCAGAGAAGGGCATGGCTACCGAATCCAGTTTTCTTGCCTGGAGAATCCCACGGACAGAGGAGCCTGGTGGGCTACAGTCCATGGGGTGGCAAAGATTTGGACACGACTGAATGACTGACCCTTTCACCTTCTCGTAGCTGAGGCCTGTCCACTGTGGCCAGAGGGAGCTGAGCCGGCCTCTGCTCACGAGACAGCATGGCGCCCCCATGCGGAAAGTGCAAGTCAGCCCAACACAGCTCAGGGTGGGGCTGCGGAAGGGATCTGCACCTGCTGGTCCCTCTGCCTGCAGGGCTTTCTCCCCAGGTATCCACGTGACTCCCTCACAGCTTCCTTACGGAGGTCTCCCCACTGCTGGAAGCGTCAGTTGCGTCCCCCAGGCTTAGAGCGGTGTCACGCACACGGATATTTGCCGAAGCAGGTGAATTTGCTGAGTCCTCTGAGGCTCTGGCTCCATCCACCCTCCCCTCAGTTCCCATTCGTGCCCTTACCCTTGGCGATTTTTATGTCCAGGGCCGTGCGGATCAGAGCCATGAGTGTAGAGTTGAAGTGAACGGTGTTGTCATCAGCGACGGGCAGATCCATCCGCAGGAGCCTCTGCACAAAACCAAAGGCAAGGGCAATCATTCCCAGGGACCCCTCCGCCATCCCGTAAGCCAGACCCACCCTACCCGGGGAGCCCCAGGAAGAACTCTGAAGGCAGCGGCTAGGGTGCCCCCCACCCCTCAGGTTACGGGTCCCAGTGTTCCATTTCCTGACTGCCCCTGGTGACCCATAGGGGGCGCACTGGGGACTGGCCTATGCTGCCCGTTCCTCACCCACCTACTGGACCCTAGAAGTGGCATTTCCAGGGTTGGCCCGGATCCCTGCCCTGCCCCAGAGTTCTTCTGGACAGCTCCGTTCCATTCTGACCCCAAAGAAGAACAGCGCAAGCCAGATCGCAGCAGACATGCAGCAGCCAGGCAGAGGGGTCCATGGCCACAGCCGCTGGGAGGCCGCCGGCTCCCCACCCCCACCCCCCTGGCTCGGCCCAGACCAGACCAGATGGGCACAGACCACATCATTCCTCCGAGAAGCGGCAGGCAGGCGGCTCCCCGACTACCGACGGGGCGGGCCCCTCTCAGACATGCACTGAGGCCGTGACACAGAACAGCGGACAGGGGCGCATGCAGACGGAATCTCGAGACTCATTCATAGCTCCGTGGAAAGTGTATCTCAGGGGCATGTCCGGGTCTTGGCTTTTTGTGCGATGGCATGGGGAAGGGGTGAGAGGGTGTTCCCATGGCCCAGGGAAGAAAAATTCCCTGTATCCCAGGCAGGGGCTCTGTCCCCCATGCTAGGTGGCATGGGAGAGGGTGCTGGGCTGGCGTGCACCAGCCCAGGATGAGGTGGCATGGAGCTGAAGATTGACGTCCACCAGAGCAGACACGGGGAAGCAGAGAGCTGGAGATGGGGATGGGGATGGCAAACTCAGGGCAGAATACAAAGGATGGGTTGGGGCAGGGTGGCGAGGGAGGCAGCAGACAGAGAAACACAGACTGGGCCACTGTGCACAGTTGTGCAGGTTGTGCACTGCACAAAGGGCTCCCCATCTCAGAAATCAGGGATTTGTGTTTAAATGACACCTTCCCAGCTGACAGCGGAAACGTATCGTGCCGTCCCCACATGGGTGGATCCCAATATTTCCCCCACAGAGTGTTCTGTGGGAAGGATGCTTGTTTCAAATTGGCACAGAGGCGCTCATGAACCCGTGGTGGCCCTGCACAGAGACCAAGGAGGAAAAGGCACTCTCCCGCTCTCTTGTACATGCTCCCACACACACCGACACGCAGCCAAGCAGAGATCAAGAGATGGACAAAAGGAAAACTAGAAACAGGACAGGCGCAGGGAGGGGCCGATGGGGGCACCGCACGGCCTCGCCTGGGAAGGAGGGGTGCACAGAGGGAAGAAGGAGGAATGGGCATGTGGGGAGGCGGTTCCATGACCCAGGAGGAAGTGAGGTGCACAGAAGAGGAGGAAGGATTCTCAGACACAGAGGGGCCAAGGTGGGATGGGAGAATGGAATGACGGGACCATGCTTTCTGGAGGGGTTGACTGTCAGTCATCCCCTGAACTTCGTGCGGATGAGCTATGGGGGACAGAGCATCTGTCCTTGGGTGCCACGGGAGATTCCGGGACAGGGGTCTAGAGGGGTGGCCCGGCCCAGCCGCCTGGCGGCTCCTTCAGCCAGCATGCACCGCCCCCCAGGTCGGCCATGGTGCCTGCCCGCCCCAGGCCCCCGCCAAGGCAGCGTGCATGGCCTGCATCAGGGTGCCACGGTCCAGGGGTCCAGCTGCGGCCCGCCTGCCCACTCTGGAACAATGGAGAGGCATGTTGGGGTGTCTTGGGGGGAGATGGGTGGCTTAGGGACAGAAGACTGGGGAAGCAACTCCAGCGGGCAAGGAAGAGGGGAGAGGCTCTGGGTTGCTCCCCGGAAGGTCTCAGATCCCCCAAGGCCCTAGGTCAGAGATCAGCTTCAGGTGTGCGTAGGGGACCATGAGACCTGGGGGCTTGAGATAGAAAAGATGGGGTCCAAGCCCCTCTCTGCAAGGTGCCTGCCCAGGTCTGGGCAATGGGGGCCACTCTGGGCTCAGCGGCAATCCCACCTCTCAAAGTGTTTGTGTCCAATTTGGTCCCTGGGGGACCAGGTGCGAGGGGACTTGGGGGCTCCCCTCCCTCTCCCCACCCCGGCGTGTCGGCCATAAGAGAGTCTCAAAACACCAAGACACACTGATCAGAAAGGACGGACACAGTAAGTTGCTTAGAATCAAGGGATGGCCATGATCCATTTACTTGAGGAGGAGAAGGGGAAAAAAGAAAAAAGAAAAAGAAAAAAAAGAAGAGTAAGGCTGGAAAAAGAGACTCGGCTGGCTGTTCCTGGTCAGCACTGAAAAATCCCCAGTGCCTGGACGTCGGTGGTTGGCAAGGGTTAAACTACCTTGTAAGCCACTCTGGCCGGACACTTCTTCCCCAGACCCAGGGGCGGAGACATGTGTCTCAGCATCTGATACATGTCCGGGTAAGGCATGCGGCCCCTGGCAGCACCAGAAACAAAAAACGGAGGTGGGAACAGAGAACCAAAGGAAGGGTGGGTGGAGGGAGGGGAAGAAAAGGAAGTGGGAAAAACCAAAAGAAAAAAAAAAATCACACGAGCCGAAAAAATAGAGAGAGAAAGATGCAGAGAACGATAAAAGAAGTGTTTCAAATAAATAAAAAAGAGGAGAAAAAAATGGGAGAGGTAATTAAAAAATATTATTTCACTGCTTATGAGCAGGGAGAGAGAGAGAAAAGAGAAAAGTCAGATTCACTTTTGACTCTGAGCTCTAGTTCTGGTAGAATGTGGACAGAATGGGGAGGCGGGGGGGGGCTTCTCACTCAGAAAGGTCTGGAGCAATTCTTTGGTTTGGTGTCATTTAAAAAACTGGGTCAAGTTCTCTGGTTTGGCTGAGGCTGGTCTCTGAGGGGGCCTAGATGGGGAAGAGGGGCCACGACAGTGGGAGAAGGGCTGGGGCTTCGGGAGGCGAAGGGTGGAGAGGGAGAGAGTGGAGGAGATGGTGGGGGGGGGGAGGCGGTCAATGCAAAGTTACGGTCCCCTCGGATGTGTCTGATTTTGGGGTGCCGTTGAGACCCCGGGATGGGCAGCTTCAGCTAAGAGCAAGCAGAAATGGCTGAAGGGAACGGAGAGATAAACGTTCCATGCTTCATCAAGTCTACGTGACTGCATTCTGTTGGCTAAGAGAGTTTTCTAGTTTAATGCAAAAGAGAGAGATGGCTCTGTTTTTTAGATTATATATATATATATATATATGAAATATATATATTGAAGAACCCCAAGCCACACTCATTCCATGGATGCTAGCAGGTTTTAGTGGAAATCAAACCTTGCAAGCAACCCTATGAGGACATTTCTTGCCTAAGCCGAGAGGGGGAGATATTACGCGCAATAAACTGTACATATCCTTATAATGAATCCGACCGCTGAAAGGAGAAGAGAGGGGATTAGTGGAGGCATGGGGTCAAGCTGCATCACATTGGCTCCCCGTGCTCATAAGTGAGGTCATGATGCCAGAGACTGGGAACCCCCTGGCTTGAAGGAGTCAGGGAGACATAGGATACATGAAGGTCCCTGAGACGTTCCCAGACACTTGCAGACCCTAGGGGTGCGGGGTGGGCAGAGAGTTTTGTGTGGAGTGGGCTGGGAACTCTGGGCTGGGAGAACCTCCCCCAGGGTTTTCTGAATCTCCCTCCTCCACAATCTACATGGGCTACACTGGGGACTGGGGGGTTCGTGGCATAGAGGACAGGGGGACAGCATCCAACTGCTGTGACCTAAAATCAAAAGAGGAAGAGTTAGGAACCAGCTTAAAGTCAAGCCCCAGCCCCGTGGCTCACCCTGGCCTCTTGGTCTCGTGGCAGACTTGTCTGGGGCTGTAAGAATGGCAAGGATTCATCCCTCCCTGTCTGCCTCATGAGGCCTCTCCTGCAGTGCTCAGGCTGCGGAGGGCCTCTATTTAATGCTTTCTTAGCCCCCAAGCTCAGCGTGAACTAGAATCTTCAGTCTGTGGTTGCTGGGCCCTGAGCATCAGGATGGCACATCTGAGTGTCCAGCAAGGGCTTGGTGCTGAGAAGGTACTGAATACACTTGAGCAGGGTGGAGATCACGCTCAGAAACCATCACCTGTCAACTGGGAGGGCACACTGCCCTGCTCATGGAGGTGGGAGAGCATACTCCCCTCATGGTCACGAACACACAGGGACCACCGAGGCTCTGTGTCTTCTCCCCTGGCCTCGTGTGACCTCATGTTCCAGGGTCCTGGAATCCCAATGGGAGCTGATCTTGTAGCTAATTCTGTTTCCCAAAGGAACTAAACCAGCCCTTCTCCCCATACTCCCAGGAGAATTGAGGCTGAGAGGTCTCTGGCTTCCTCCCTGGGGCCTGGAAAACTTGTTCTCACCATCTGGAGGCCTCAAAGTCAGGAACAGGAGAGACTCACAGGAGATGAACTCATGGTGGAGTCTCTCCCTCATTTCCCAGAAAGCCTCGGGTATGGGCAGCGGTGGTACCCAAATCATTTCACCCAGGATATGCAAGGGTACTGATTCTCATCTCTTTTCCTTTGATTGATCCTACTGAAATCCCTGCTAGCTTCCCAGGGAGACAACAGCCTAAGGTCTGGAGCCTGATCTAGACTATGCTCCAGTACCAGAGAAAAGTGGGTGATGTGGCTGGAGGATTTGGGGTGACTGCTTACCACGCTGCAGGGTCATACTCGGCCCAGACACGCACGTACTCATCCAGGTGGTGGGGACCCAGGATGGAGGAATCTCGGGTGAGGTACTCAAAGTTGTCCATGATGACAGCAACAAAAAGATTCAGCATCTGTGGGGACCCCAGGAGCCAAGAGGGGGTCGGGGAGAGCGAGACACATCCAAACACATATACACAGAGGCCCAGAGGGAGAGAGGGAGGGAGATAAAAATGGGAAAAGGAAGTCAGAGAAAGAGATGGGGGGAGACAGAGGAAAGACACGTGCTCACAGAGGAGCCCGGAAACAGAGATATGGAGAAATGGAGATGGGGAGAGAGACAGACAGAGACAGAGGCCAAGATTGATACAGTTGGAGAGAGAGGTGGAGAGGTTATGTGACATAGGAGCCAACACCAAGGGGACCACCATGCCCCCAAATCCTCCCACACCCGACCCCCAACAAGACCAAAATGAACACTCCATGGATCAGGACCTTCTCATGTTTCCATCCCCAACTAAAGGCATTACTCCGCAAATATGTGTTGGATGGATGGATGGATGGATGAATCTTCCTGCCTTCGCCTACATCTTGTAGCAGCCTGTCACACGCTCTTCTAGCCTTTAGTACATGGGGAGCTTGCATCAGTCTTGCCTCCAGCCCTTTGTAAATGCTGCTCCCTCAGTGGACATCATTCCTCTCCTTCTGAGTAATAACATCTGGGGAGCCCTCCCCGCCTTTATCCTTATATGCTGTTGTTGGATGTGGCTGGCTTCATAGGTGGTGGTCACATAATCCAGGCTTGTGATTGGTTAGTGAGGGGCACGTGACCCAGAGTAGCAAATGAGAGACTTCCTTGGGATTTCTGCTGGCACTCTGGCAGCCACCTTCCCTCCACAGGGAGAAAGTTTGAGAATAAAGCCAGGGTGGAGGAAAACAGCAAAGAGGGCAGGATCTGCTATTGCCCGGACCCAGCCTCATCCGGACTTTTCAGTGGTAGAAATTAGTGAACTGTGTATTTCACTTACATCAGTTTCAGTTGAATTCCTGTTACTTGCAGCGAATTTTAAAGATTTTTTTTTTTTGTTTTGATGTGGACCATTTTAAAGTCTTTAGTGAATTTGTTACAACATTGCTTCTGTTTTATGTTTTGGATTTTTGGCTGCAAGGCATGAGGGATTGTAGCTCCCCGACCAGGGATTGAACCTGCATCCCCTGCATTGCAGAGGTGAAGTCTTAGCCACTGAACTGCCAGGAAAGTCCCTATATGCAACCGATTTGATCAATATGTAGTCTAAGTCCTGCTCACCATCCCTGAGTGGCCCTCAGGGGGAGAAATCTTTCTTCTCTCACTCTGTCTTCCCTATCAAACCACAAATCAGATTATACTGCTACTGTCTGCTGACTGGTCTGCCCAGCACCCCTGCAAACTGTGAGAAACATGTTCTCTCCTTATATCCCCAGTACCTAGCATAAGGCCTAGCACATAGTAGGTATTAAACAAATGTGCAGATGTAAACATAGTAGGTGCTTACTAAATAAGCTGTATTTCTAGGTGTCCCTACCTTCAGTTCATCATTGCATGATACTGATTGAGCACCTACTGTGTGTCAGTCACGGTCCTAGGTGTTGGGGTGGCAGCAGTGAACAAAACAAAAATTCCTGCCTCTTAGGGGCTGATGGTCAATTGTAGTAGATGTCTTCTAGGGTGCCTGCCTTTCCCAGATGGGCTGTATTATGAATGTGTCTCCATATGAACCCACAGCTGCTAAGACAATGGTGGCTATTTCACCAGGAGCTAGGATGGCCCATTCAGACTCTCTTTTGGGAATCTGACACTGGGCAGTGGTTCCTCTGCGCTTCCCTGGAGGCTCAGTGGTAAAGAAACCGCCTGCCAATGCTGAGACATGGGTTTGAATCCTGGGTCGGGAAGATCCCCTGGAGAAGGCAATGGCAACCCATTCCAGTATTCTTGTCTGGGAAATCCCATGGACAGAGGAGCCTGGTGGGCTACAGTCCCTGGCGTTGCAAAAGAGTTGGATACAACTTGGCAACAAAACAGCAACAACAACAACAACAACAACAGTGGACCCTCCAGGTCAATGGCTGCTGACACTGGACTCAGGGTGGGTGGGGGGTTGCTTTGAGACTTAGGCTGCAAGTATCTCAATGTGAGACTGCTGGTCTGAAGAGAGTGGATGTGTTGGGCTTTTGCTGAGAGATACTGGTGCTTGGGCTGAGGTCAGAAAACAATAGCTCCCATACTCCTTGGGCAGCTTACATCCTGCCAGCAGGAGCCACGGGTGGGAGGGAGGCCAACCTGGGGAGGAGAGACTAGGAGGAAAGGAGAGGACTCCTGCTTCCCACGTGGCTCTGTGTTGCGGACTGAACTGTGTCCCCATGAGATACAATCAAATCCTGGCCCCCAGTTCCTGAGAATGTGACTTTATTTGGTAAAAATGGTCTTTGTACTCTCATCGTCAGTTTAAGATGAGATCACACTGGATCAAGGTGGGCTAAATTCCATGTGACTGCTGTCCTCATAAGGGGGAAATCTGGACACAGACACACATGAAGAGACCATGTGCGGGCAAAGGCAGTGACTGGAGCGATGCTTCCACAAGTCAAGGGACACCTGTGGCCCTCAGAAGCTGCAAGAGGCCAGGAAGGAGCCTCTCCTAACCGCTCTGGAGGGATCATGGCCCTGCCAACGCCACGGTCAGACTTCTAGCCTCCAGAACTGTGGCAGGATAAATTTGTGTTGTTTTCAGCCATCAAGTTTGTGGTTCTTTGTGACAGCAGCCACAGAACACCGTCTTCAGTTGTCCAGGGGCAGCACACAGCTAGGCTGCCAGCACTCCTTCAAGGGTGCCAGGGCAGGGGTGCCAGGGTAGCTGAGTCGGCTTTCAACACCCTCTTTTCCTTTTAATACCCCAGCCCTGGCCTTCCTGCTGCGGCTAACCCCTGGTGATTTCAGTGTTGTCTGTTTGCCCTTTCAACCCTGTGTAGCCAATCCCTGTATTAAATCCCCTCTGCCTGAAATACCTAGATAGTTTCAGTTCTTCTCACTGTGGGCTCAAACCATTCAAGGAAGAGTGGAAAAAACAAAAAAAGATTTGCTGAGATGAGACCCCAGAGAGAGTGAGAGAGAAAGAGAGAACAGGATGGAGGTTCCTTGTATATATTTTTTTCATTCCTGGTTCCTTTTTGCAGTCTTACAGTGAGTTATATTCTCAGGTCTGAGGAGATTCCTCCTTTTAACAAACTCATCTTTTACTGGTGAAAACCTTTCAAATTTTTTTTTTTGCAAAGCCCTACAGCCTCCAGAGAGTGTTCCTGTGGCTGACTTTTTCCTGCCTCTTGATCATAGAGAGGAAGGAACACACCTTTCAGAGGGCAGGCGGGAGTCTCCTACAGCTCAACTAGATGGGACTTGGGGCCAGCTCTGAGCTCCATTAGTTTTTCTCTCGGCATGCACGGCAGGTCTCAAAAGGGGGAGATTCTGCTCCCTTCTTCGGGGGATACTTGATAATGTCTGGAGACATCTTTGGTTGTCATAACTGGGAGAGTGCTGGGGCATGTGATCCTGCCACCTACTGGATCAAGGCCAGGGATGCTAGCATGCACAGAACAACCTTCATCAGAGAATGATCCAGCTCCCCAATGTCACGAGTGTCATGGGTGAGAAACTCTGACTGGTCCAGAGAAGTCTTGGAGGTAAAAAGTGTGTGACAGCCACATTCCAGAGAATTCACACCCTTGGGAGGGATCCAGGTCTCGGAAGCTTTCCTATACATGTCCACGGACTCACCAGAAATGAGCAGAGGAAGATGAAGGAAACGAAGTAAAAATAAGCAAATTCATTGCCGCACTCGTGAGTCAGGATGCCAGAGTTCTTATCACAGGGTTTCCCGCTGAGGCAGGAAAGCATGATGTTGTGCCAAGCCTCCCCAGTGGCACTCCTGAGGGGAAAGAGGGGGCATCAGGGACCTGGATATGCAGCCCTGGACAACCAACACCTACTCCCAGGGAGGCAGAGTGCTAAGGTTAATCATTTAAGCTCTGGAGCTGGACTGATGTGGGTTTGAGTCCCAGGTAAATCACTTTTTTTCCTCTTTGAGCCTAGAGAGGAGGGGATTCTCATCCTTGGCTGTGCATTAAAGCCCAAGGGGAATGCTTTTTATTTTTATTTATTTATTTATTTTTAAAATATGGAACACTTCACGAATTTGCGTGTCATCCTTGCGCAGGGGCCATGCTAGTCTTCTCTGTATGGTTCCAATTTTAGTATATGTGCTGCTGAAGCGAGCACAGGAATGCTTTTTAAAAATGCTGATGCCAATGCCCCCCACTCCCACAGACTTGATATTAAAGTGATCTGGCTTGGAGATACAGGTATGTTTTTAAAACTTCCCCCTCTCTAGGTGACTGTCATTTCTAATTTCTTTCTCCCTAGGTAACTCTGCTCCAGGTGCATTGGGTCCTCCAACCTGACAGCTATGCGTCTGCCTCAGGACCTTTGCACGTATCATAACCTCCACCTGAACTGCCCTTCCCCAGATATCCACATGGCTCCCTCCCTCAACTATTTCGCTCAAATATCATCTCCCTCAAGGGAGGCAAGACCTATTATCCCTCCATTTCTTTCTTTTGATTGTTATTAAATGAGAAAATAATTGTGACAAAATATACATAATTATAATTTTAAACATTTAAGTGTATAATTCAATGGTAATAAGCACATTCAGCTGAACGTGGAAGAACTGGTGCTTTCGAACTGTGTGGTGTTGGAGAAGACTCTCGAGAGTCCCTTGGATAGCAAGGAGATCAAACCAGTCCATCCTAAAGGAAATCAGTCCTGAATATTCATTGGAAGGATTGAGGTAGAAGCTGAAGCTCCAATACTATGGCCACATGATGTGAAGAACTGACTCACTGGAAAAGACCCTGATGCTGGGAAAGATTGAAGGCAGGAGGAGAAGGGGGCAACAGAGGATGAGATGGTTGGATGGCATCACCCACTCGATGGACATGAGTTTGAGTAAGCTTCGGGAGTTGGGGATGGACAGGGAAGCCCGGCATGCTGCAGTCCATGGGGTCGCAAAGAGTCAGACAGGACTGAGTGAACTGAACTGAAGCACATTTAGAATGGCAACCATTAGCACTATCCATCTTCAGAACCATTTTATCATCCCAAACTGAAAACTTGTATCCCATTAAACACTAACTACACCTTCTCTTCTCCCCCAGCCCCTGACAATACTGATATTGAATAGTTTTTTTCCCTAAGAATTTGCCCATTTGGGGTACCTCATCTCATATAAGTGCAATCATGCATTACTTGTTCTTCATGCCTCCATTTCCCTCTTAATCTTGAATTTTTATCTCCTAATATCCTTTATAATTCAGTTCAGTTCACTCGCTCAGTGGTGTCTGACTCTTTGTGATCCCATGGACTGTAGCACACCAGGCTTCCCTGTCCATCACCAACTCTCAGAGCTTGCTCAAACTCATGTCCATCGAGTCGGTGATGCCATTCAACCATCTCATCCTCTGTCTTCCCCTTCTCCTGCCTTCTATAATTAGATCACTGATTGTCTGCCTCCCCTGTGGAAATATAAGCATCCAGAGAGCAGAGAATATTGTCTCTGCTTTGTTCTCAGTATTTACAGCAGTAAATACAACAGCAGTAAATACAATAAGTGCTCAATAAACCTCTGATGAATGAATGAAGGAACCCTAAATGCAATCAGAATTAAGAATCAAGCCTCAGCGGTCTATTCAGAGTCTATAAGACTGTTTCCTCATCTGTCAGGTGCAGTTGCCAAGAATCCCTTGACAGGATGCTCAAGAAGATTCTACGAGATAATCCCTGAAAAATCCCTTCATGCTTGCATCCCAGGGCTTTCAGTTCCTGCCCTGTTAGGGTCCTTGGGACGCTCCACACCTACCCCAAACCTCACTGAACAGAAGGTGGAGGGCACGCCCCCACCGGAAGAGAAAGACGGGGACGCGCCCACCACCGGAAGAGAAGGATAAAAGCGTGCCCCTGCCTCACCGGAAGAGAAGCATGAGGGCCTGGAAGAAGGTCCGGAAGTTATTGTGCTCAGTGATTTGGAATTCATCTTCATCACTGTCCTCGTCCTCCACGTCGATGCCAATGTTGCCAAACACCTGGGGAATTAGATAGTGATGACTAGGAGTGGCCACGAGTGCCAGAAGCTTCAGGAAAACTCCACTCAACCTACAGAGATGCCTCTCTGAAATGGGCTCTCCTAACCCACCCCTACCTAAGCGGGGTGGCCCTCATTGGGAGTGCTCTGGGAGCATTAGAGGGCTGGCACTCACCTGCATCCCAATGATGGCGTAGATGAAAAAAAGCATGGCAATCAGTAGACAGACATAGGGCAGGGCCTGGTGGGAAGGAAGGCAATGAAGAATAGTGCTGGGTGCCCCTTACCCATGCTGTTTCCCTCACTGGTCCCAGTGCTCAACCCCTGCAGGTTGGGTGGCCGCATGCTGCCAGTGGTGCCAGGGATGGTGGGCATCTTTGGTGGCTCTGGGAGATTCCCTTTGGAGCCCTCAAGACATACCGGGGGCAGGAAGTTAGAAAAGAGTCCTGCATGTAACACATTCCCAGTAAGGTATATGATATTAATAAAGACATTTCCACATGATTTCTACATTCAACCAGAGCAGGCAGTGGGGTGGGGGTGGGGGAGAGATCCTGATTTTTCTTCTTAGCCCTGGCAGGGGCAGGGGCTGGGGCTCACCTTGAAGGACTGCACAAAGGTCCAAAGAAGAATTCGGATGGTGTAACCCTGACGGAGCAGTTTGATGAGCCGGGCGGCTCGGAAGAGGCGGAGGAAGCTCAAGTTGATGAAGTTATTCTGGGGAGATGGAGAAAGAGGGGTGACCATTCACACCCCCCCAGGGGCTCAGAGCTGTCACCACTCACAGAGGCCCCTACATGAAGCCAACCAACAGGAAAAAGCAAGCCAGACCCCAAATAAGGAGGGAGAGGAGAGAAAGCACTACTAATGCAATGGTGCGGAGGAAAAAAACTCGAAAAAATGAAGTAGGGGATGGGGAGGAGAAAGGGTGAGAGGGAGGAAAAGGCATCAACTCAAAAGCATAGACCCTCCCAGCCAGCCCCACCCGCAAAGGGGAAAGGAAAGAAAAAGGAAGGAAGAGAAAGGAATGGGGGTGGGTGGGGTGGGGTAAGAAATAACAAAAGAACAAGGAAAGAAAATATATCCGAATCATCCAATCAGGAAAAAAATCGAGATGGTTTTTGTTTCTCCCAACAACCAAATGCACTGAGACGATAGGACACAAGCGGGTCAAGTTGCCGAATCCATCACACGTGTACGATGCACAAACACCGGGGCAGGGCGGGGCAGCCAGCACGCTCAGGCCTGGTGGACGTGTGCGGGTTCCGAGCGCATGTTATGCTCCGGGCCAGAAATGCATCTGTTGTAGGACTCACCGGGCACCCTGCCCTGCCGAGCTGCCCACCCGCTCCTGCCCGCCCTGACCTCACCCCACGGCCAAGAGGAGCAGCGGCTTGAGCCAATCGGAGAAGCGGAAGAGCATCTTTTCTTACCCCCTTGGCGAGCGGGAATGGGGAGGACGGGAGGGAGCTGGGGCTGTTCGGCTGCAGGGCGAGTCCTCGCTGCCCGCTGAGTCGGAGAAGATGCATTTGGGGCCCTTTCCCCCCTCTCAGGGATGGCTTCTCAGCTTCTGGGACTGGGTGGAGTAGCACGGGACCAGGCCTGCGGGAAGCAGGAAGTACGCAGCGCCCGTGGGTGGGTGAGCTCGCCATCAGCCCAAGTCCACCGAGGGGCCGGTGCTGGGGGCCGGGAGGTGAGGCTGTCCCTGCCCCCAGGACCTCCCTGGGTGGACCCTGCCTCTGCTCAAAGGCCCCCGGTCTAGTCACTGCCTCTAGTTCCTCCCTCCCGAGCCAGAACCCCAGGTGGTGTGGGGGTGGGGGTGGGGAGACAGGGCTGCTGGGTCTGGGTGACTAGGTGGTTCCCACGTGACTATCCAGGGGCTTGCCTGCTGGGGCTTCAGGGGGCGCTGTTGGGGTACCAGAGACTGGAAGTCACGCATGGACCAAATTTGGCCAAGGAAACTATTTTGTTGGGCCCAAGGAGTTTTCTTTTAGAAATTAAAAATAATTGCCCATTTAAGTCAGATTTTTTTGCCCTCAAATCTGCCTTTTGGGCCACCCTGAGGCTGCCTCTGCTGGTAGCAGTTACTTGAGGCTCAGATGTGGCTGCCTGCCTTGAAGCAGGCCACGTGTCCTCCAGTTCGCCAGGGTTCCTGCATCCTAGAAATGGAACTGGTTTCCTGGCTTCTGGTATCGGCTTGGGGACCAGAGGCATTTGTGGTATGAGGCATTTCAGGCAGGCCCGGAAACCACCACTGATCAGTGGGATGGAAGCAGAGGGGCCACCAGGGGACTTGGAGAAGCTCTAGATAAGGCCATGTAGCAGGGTTACAACTGGCCTAGCCCTCACCCCACAAATGGCACAGGGGTGGTCATTCAGGTTGCCCCTCCCAGTCACAGCGACCTTTTTGGCCTCAGAAGTTTGGACAGTGAATTATATGGGCGATCTACCTAGTGCTTCTTGGGGGTTTCCCAGACACTGGATCTAGCTAACTCTGGCCTGGGAGATGAGAGGCAGGAATGGGAGGGGTGGTTCAAGGAATTTCTGAAGATGGCAAGAGGCCTCTGGGTTTGCCAGAAAAGTCTGGGATGCTCTCTGAGACGTATCAGTTGACCCTTAGGTAGACATTTAGGATGGAGGAGGGGTGTGGGGCTCCTACCCTGACCACACTGGGCCCCACCACAATGAGAATGTCTCGAGTGCCTCAAATAAATCCCCCCAACCCAGCTTGACTGAGAGTCACCCTTCATGCCCTGTGAACCTGACTCCCAGCCCTGCTCAGCCACCCATTTGGGACCAGGGCCAATGGCCCAGGTGTCCCCAGTCCCCTCCCACCCACCCCCAGAGTAGGAGCCATCCCTTCATGGGGCGGGGCATAACATGTGGATTCATGCAAAGGCAGACGGGCTGGAAGCAGCCTCTGGAGGCTGGGGGCAGAGCAGGGGCTGGAAGCTGCCACCATGCAGGAGAAGCAAGGGCATTTTGACGGGGGACGCGTGCAGAGAGCGTGCTGCCCTTCTCTGAGCCAGGGAGAGAGGAGACACACGGGGGAGGGAGGAGGTAGAGGTGAAAGAGGTCTGGGTGACAGGGCGGGGGAAGTTTCTAGTCTGCCCTCATCCATCCTTCCATCTCTCCCTGGGTCTACATAGAGTCCTTCAGGTACTTGCAGAACTTCTGACTTCCTTCTTCCTAGTTTCCATCTTTCTGTCCACAGCCTCGAAGGAACAGTCCTCTCCTCCAACCCTGCCTAGTGCTTCCTGGTTCTAGGCTGAAGGGGAGGGATGCGGGCCCTGGAAGGTTTGCTGTGGGCAGGGGATGTGAGTGCTTAGAAGGATGTGGAAACCACTGACCTCAGGGCTCAAGAGAAATCCTGCCACTTGAAGACCCCATCTCCAGCTCAGATCTTGCTTCTGGACTCCAGATCCCATAACCACCTGCCTACCTGACTTCTTCTGGGGTGCCCGTCAAGCCTAATGTGCCCCGACTTGTGCTCTTCCCATTACCTGACCCTCTCTGGCATTCCCTAACTTCCGTCTCATGGTTCAAGCCAGACTCAAATCCTCCGGGTGTCTCTGTCTACCCCCAGCCCAGACCCGACCCATCTCCAGGTCCTGGAGAGGCCCCTGCTCAGATGGCCAGTCCTCCCGTCGTTCCCTCCCTCTTCCGATGTCATCTCTCCCTGGGATTCCTGGTGCTCACTTCCAGCCCAGACCCCTGCCTTCCTACTTCCTGTTCTGCAGCTGCAGCGTCTGGTGTAACCACACTTCCTATCACACCTCCTCTGCTCCAGATCCTCCCAGACCCCCACAACTAGGCCCAGAGTCCTGTCCCCTTCTGACCTCTTCAGTTCTTCTAGGTCGGGCTTCTTCTACCCTTTGCTCCAGCCACAGCCTCTCACTTGAAGACCTGTCCCCTGCATTCTCTGATCTGCCCCAGGACCTTTGTATGTGCTATTCTGGGCCTCCAATGTCCTTTTCTCCCCCTCTCCACCTTGTTAACACTGCTTATACTTCAGCGTGCAACACAGTTAAATTTCAAGTGTGTTCAGGGCTTATTTGACCAAAGCCTACCCTCCTCCCCCACCACCACCTGACTGTAGGCGATGTGGCAGGGGAGGAGGCAGTGATGGTGTCTGCCTCTATCCAACCCCCCATCTGTGGCACTGAATTGGGGCTCATTAAGTGTCTAGTGGGTGAGTGCTTATGTATGGCTAGCTAGCAGGGGAGAGGAGATCCTGGTGCAAAGATGCCATTGAAGGGAATCCTTCAAAGGGGCTCAGGGGAGGGTGGGGGGGGGTGCAGAGGCAGGTGGGATTTCTTCTCTCTCTCTCTCTTTTTAAAATACTTATTTTCATTTATTTATTTGGCTGCACCAGGTCTTAGTTGCAGCCTGTGGGATCTTTCAGTTGTGGCATGTGGGATCTTAGTTCCCTGACCAGGGATCAAACCCAGGCCCCCTGCACTGGGGGCACGGAATCTTAGCCACTGGACTACCAGGGAAGTCCCCGGGTGGGATTTAACAGAGGGAGGAGTGTGCAGGTGTGTAGGAAGCAGAATAAGTGAGGTGAGGGAGAGATGGGGACGGAGCATCCGGGGTGGGGGTGCGGGTGTGTGCGTGTGTGGTGTGGGTGTGTTGGGTGCGGGAGGATCAAGACAGGAAGGCTGCAAGAGCAAAAGAGAAAGGGAAAGAGAGAGAGAGAGACAGAGACAGCGGCAAAGGGCTACAGGGAGAAAGAGAGGAGGAGAGACAGAGGCTGCACAGCCAAGAGCAGAGAGCACATGTGTGCGGGGACTGTGTCTGGGTGGGGGAGAGGGACAGGATCCCCTGCATCTCAGGGCTCCAGGAGAGGGCGTCAGCTGGCTGGTCCATCTGGAAGCAGCCAGACCTGAGTCCTGGCTTTTCCGTGTCCCCTTAACCTGAGTCTCTTTGCCCACACAGTGCAGGTCCCTCAGACCTCCTCCATCAGACTTGGAGATGTACATCACCGGTCCTCAAGCCCGAAGGGCTCATGGGCTTGGAATGGGGTGAGGGACTGGTGGAGACTTCTTGGGGCCCCAGGGCTCCATGGAGCTGAACTGGGACAGGAGTGGTGAGAGTGGCTAAGGGCTCTGAGTACAGGGCTGTGTATAAGGAATGGGGTGGGAGACCCAGCCAGCCAGCCTGTCCTAGGGGAGGCGCTGCCTGGGGGCAAACCCGTCCTTTTCTTTGCAGAAGACACAAACCAACCTCAACAGAAAACCCCAACTCAGAAACCCAATAAAAACCAGAGAAAGAGACTGTGGGAATGAGGGGCGGAGGGAGGAATGAGGGAGTCAGGAAGGTTTGGAGAGACTGACAGACAGACCCAGTGGGGACAGGAAGGTGCATCAGGCCATCCAAGTTTAAAAAGCCCAGGGCGTGACGTGCAATGCTGATGCGAGAAGATGCGTTCACAGTTAATGTAAGGCATTTAGACTTCAGAAAGAAGTAAGACCAACCGGATTCTAGATGCAGATGTTGAAGATGGAGGGGGAGCGGGCGGGCGGGGGCAGTTGGGGAGGCGTGTTCAGCGTTTTTTAGGTTGATTTGTAACCAGTGCCAAAAAACCAATGGGTTTCGGTTCCCCGGGCGGGGAGTGGGGGTGGTGGTGGTGGGTTGGGAGATAGTCATTGGTGTATGAACACACAGACCACGTCATGGATGAACAAATGAATTTCATAGTGCATTTTGATTGGATGAGTTTTTCAGACGGCGTTGTGCCAATATACAGTTTAAAGAGCAGGCATGAAAAGAGACAAGACAAGAAACACAGTCATTATCCATCGCACGCAGGGCAAACCCACGTCACCCCAGCCACTTGGGGGTGCAGCTGAGGCCCAGTGGGCCTCACACCCTCTCCCCCTCCCCCGAAACCCTGGGGACTTGCCCTCCCAAAGGTCTGGCTCCCCCTGCCTCAGCCTGGCTGAACTCTGGGCTTACCTGGGAGGCAGAAAGGGGCCGCTGAGGGCTCTTTGCTCAGTAGGGTGACCACCCCCCACCCCTGCCCCATCCCCACCCTGCCTCCAGGTTGGGAGTTTATCCTCCTAAAAGTAAAAGGGTCCAAATGCCCACCCTCTATCTTTCCCACCAAGTGATTAGAATTCAGGGCTGGGGTGCTGCCTAACAGACCTCAGTCCCAAGTTCATTCCCAGTAATAATAGCAAGAACAATAATAATAACTGCCATTCGTGAACTAATTCCTGGCTGGTTCTGTGCCAAGCATTTTACGTCAAGCACTCTGATTTGTTCAAAGTTGCCCTCTCCTCTGCTAGAGTGTCAGCCCACTGGGGGGAGGCAATCTTGTCTGTTTTGCTCTGTCCTCAGCACCTCTACCAGTGACTGGCATACAGCAGGCACTTAATGTGCACTCCTATGAATGCATGGATGAATGCGAGGCTTGCAAGGGTCTGGTGAGGTTGGTCATGAAGGTTAGTCCCAAATTCAGGATAAGAAGAGGTAATACAAGTTACCCAAAGTCAAGCAGCTTGTAGGGAGGGTTGTTTGACTATAATAGTCCTGACATCCCTGAATTGGATACCATGCCCCATCCTTCCTTCCCACATCTTGTAGTCAGGAGAACAAGCCACTGGGGTCCAATCCTACAGATCTTTTACTGGTAACTAGAGCTTCAATCAACTTCCTCTACCTGCCCGACTAGGGTGGTGGGTCACCTCTTCTAAGCTCTTGATCCAGAGAGATTTTGGTTCAAGGCTGTCTTGTCTTTGGGTGGGTGGCAAGATAATGTTGATTGTCAGGAGGAGCCCAGACCTCTTAAAAACCCAAGACAGACAATGAGGTCTAAGCTCTGGCTTTCTGCCAGGGAGAGGACAGTGGCCAGACGGAGGTACCCCAATGGGGATAGCCCCCAGCTGGGCATGACCTCTCTAGAGGAAGATGTCAGGGGTGAGACGAGGGAAGGGGGAACTTTTGGTTCACTGGAGCTGAAGGCAAAGAATTGTGGCCAGAATACCACTTGGGTGGGGGTGTTAGGGGATGAGTCAGGGAATGCTCCCTCTTTGGTGGAGCTTCCCAGTTCTACAAGGCTCACAGGATAGAAAAGGGGCCCAGATGATCCCTTTCTGCCAGGGGCTCAGTTAGAGACGCCCCAGGGAACACCAGTGTGCCCTCAGGAGTCACCAGGCCTGGCTGCATGCCCTTAGGTGTGTCCCTCATTTTCCTGAGCATTGAGCATCTGTTTCCTCATCTGTGAAATGGGGCAACACCCTCTTCCTTGGGCCTCACCCCACCCAGGTCTACTCTTTGTTCTTCTCTGCCTGTTCTGAGCATCACCCTGGCTTTCTGGCCTCCTCGCTCCTTTCTGGCTGGGTTTGGCCAATGGAAGCGGCTGGCAGGAGACAGAGGGTGGGAGGAGAGAAAGGCAAGGGTATTTCTCTCCTGATGCTCTATGCCTGCTTCGTCCCTCTGTGTCCACAGTTTCCACCAGGTAGCCCCTCTGACTTCAGCACCTGGGCAGGTAACAGCTCCCCACGGTGACTGGGCTCCCTCCTGCTCCGTGAATGGTCTCTGCTTTCAGATTCCTTCAGTTCAACTCACTAAAGCGATTCTTTTATATGTTCAGCCCCCCAACCTGAACCATGAGTTAATCCACGTAAAACACTTGGCACAGTGCCTGGCACACAGTGAGTGCGATTCTTGTTACCTACTATTTATTTTTGTTGTCATTATGACAAGGTTGATACCACCCCTGGCCCTTGGCTCTGACATTCTTTGCCCTTTTGCTTCCTCTGTGAGGATCTCCTACCCTCCCCCCAGCCTCCCAAGGGCCCTCAAGCCTGGGCTCACTGGCAAACAGCCAAGGAGGGGGTCTGAGACAGGAGATATGGGAGCCTGAATCTTCCAGACAAGGGGGAAAGACTATGTGGCCCACAGCCCACCAACCACACTGACATCCAGAGACCCCCACATTGGGAACCTGCCAGGCCTGGGGATACAGGAAGACACATGTCCTGGGGACCCTCCTAAAGACCTGGGAAAGGTATCCCCCCATTAACCTGAGGGCCATGGCTCTCTCCTGCCCATGAGCCAGAAGATGGTTAGTTCAAGCAGGATAGACTTGAAGCTGGTTCCCTTTGGGCCCCCAACACTGTGTGCTGTTTGGAGGGCAGGGCTCAGCCTTGAGATCCTTTAAGTGTCTCTGTTTTCTCAATGAGCTTATCCACAGTATCTATTCATACATCAGTGGCCAAGATGCAAGGAATTCACACTGCAGAGCTGGGGGCTTTGGACACCCCCGTCTCCCCACATAGCCCTCCTGAGGGGCTGCCTTGATTCTGGGGCCCCCCGCTTCTCCCTCTTTGGTCAAGGTCAAGCACTGGCTTGAGCCAGCTGTGGCTGTCGGGACCCTCTGCTTCTGTGTGACCTCCTCCTCACCTCGCCCAGCCCAGCCAAGAACTGCCCGGAGAGAAGCCGGCAGGAAACTTACCCCAAACTCGGTCACGAGGATGTCGGTGATGCTGCCCAGAACAGTCACAAAGTCGAAGATGTTCCAGGCATCGCGAAAATAATTCTAGAATGGGGACCCACAAGATAGAGATGCCAACGCAGGGCTCCAGGGCTGGCCCCTATGTCCAGCCCAGGAGGCCCATTAGAGGCACAGCTGCAGACCAGTCTGAGTACCCGGAACAGTTACAGTCAATCCAATAGCAAAATATATCTTGCTGCTCAGATATCATGTGCTCTGAGTGCCCCCCCCTCCCTGAGACCCCCTCTGCCTCCCTGTGGCTTGCTTGATCCCAGAGGGGACCCCTCCAGGTGCTGTTTCAGCCTCACTGGTGGGGGCGGGGAACAGGGCTGCCCTTCTGGGCTGTGCCTTGATTCTCCAAGAGTTCCAAGGGTCCCCTGAGATCTTGGATGCATCATTATTGACGTCACTGGGATCTCTGCAAAGACCATCAGATTATCACCCATTTTACACAAGGCAACCGAGGCTCAGAGAGCAAAGTTGCTCACCTCAGGCATCACAGAGGTGAAGAGACAGGATTTGAACCCAAATCTGGGCAAGTCCAGGGTCTGTGGACAGGACCGCACTGAATCAGGACTGTGCTTATAGCAAACTGGCTAAGGCAATGGCCTCTGGGTTCACATCCCAGCTATACTGTCATCTAGCTGTGTGGCTGTGGGTCAATGACTTAACATCTCTGTGCCTCCATTTCTTAATTGGAAGAAGGAAGACAGTAACGAGGGTACAGAAGCCTTCTGGACACACATGAGGCTACATTTCCTGGTCACCTTGCGGATCTAGTTACACACAAGCCTGTGAAACTAGTTATAGCCAATGGGCTGTGAACAAGAGGCAGCATGAGTCCCCTCTGGGCGAGCACAGTACTCGCCAGAACTCTCTTCACCCTGGTCCTGGGGACCAGTAATGTTTCAGGTGACAGCTGCTCCGTGACCCTGGATCTCTGAATTACTAAAGGCAAACAGCCCCACCCCCAACTGCTGCTGGGTGTCAACAAACCCTTTGTTGATTGGAGCAATTGAAATGTGGGGGTTGTTTGTTACTGCAGCTTAATTTGATCTCTCCTGACTGATACATCCCTGGGCTGGATTCTGGTGCAACTGGGACACACCAGTATAGTATGTTGTTGTTAAAACACTGAAATGTTTCACATAGTTTGAGCTTACAATGAGTAAGCACCTCTGCCTGGATCTAAGGGTGTGGCTCAAATAGCTCTTCTCTCAAGGTTCAGTGGGACCCATGCTAAACACAGGCTTTCCCAGCATTCTCACAAAAGCAGAGGGGGGGGGTCAGAGCTTGGACCCCATCCTAAGCAGTCAGCTTCTCCCCTAAGCATCTCACACGGCAGCAGCCCCTCTGCCTCACAGAGACGGACCCGGGCTTTGGAGCCGTGCTTCTCAGGATCAAATTCTTCTAGCACATATGAATCTAATGTCCTTGGAGTTGGACTGCTTTGGCCTCAAGTCCTCTTATGGAACATAAGGGTATGACAACAATCTGATAATGCATGTGAGTCACTGAGTGTGAGGTCTGGTATATAGTAGGGCTTCCCAGGTGGTTCAGTGGTAAAAAATCTGCCTGCCAATGCAGGAGACTCAGGAGATGCTGGTTTGATCTCTGGGTTGGGAAGGTCTCCTGGAGGAGGAAATGGCAACCCATGCCAGTATTCTTGCCTGGAAAATCCCATGGACAGAGGAGCCTGGTGGGCTAGTCCATGGGGTTGCAGAGTCAGACATGACTGAGCATGCATACATGCATGGATGTTTTCAATAGATGGATGCTGTTTTAGGACTGACAGGAATTCAGGTTCCACTGGCACTTTTGGGTATTTATATAGCTGCTGCTAGGGTCCTACCCAGATGTCCTCATATTTGACTGTGAAACCTTGTCATTCTGCCCAGGGGTGTTCTGTAGCAGCATACTTGTTGGGATAATTAACAGCTTCTCTGGGAGCAGCTCTTCATTATGGCTTATGAGACCTGGAGGATAAATACGCCAGCTCCCTCATCATGGGTGAGATGACCAGAGTATGTGATCTCTGCTGCCTCTCAGAGGTCCTCCATGGAACTGCACTCCATTTGCCAGCATTGCTCAGCTGCTCAACAACACACCCTGCGCTGGCTGCCCTCTCATCTCTGTCTCACTCCCTCTCTCCCCTATAAGGCTTCCTGGGGTCACCTTCCAGATAAATCCCTTGCACTCAATTCTTGTCTCAGGCTCTGCTTATGGGGGGCCACAAATTCAACTTTCTAGGTGGCTGGCCACATGCTTCAAGCCCTGGACTAGAAGGTTCCCTTCTATCATTTAAATTCCACATGGGGAACTTGGGGCTTCACCTAAAACTGAAGAGGGAGGCTCAGTGCAGAACTGTGCAGGATTATCAGGGGTGGAGGATATGGGGTTCCAGGCCCTAGCAAATTGCATCACTTCGCCACCAGAACATTGGCTAGGAAAAAAAAAAAATCACAAGACACAACTGCATTGGGCAGCTGGGTCCATGCTCATTCTCCCCTCAGCTCTGGCTGGGTGTGTGGTCCTCTCATTTTGTAGATGTAGACACAGGAGCAAAGAGGCCAAATGCTTTGCTTTTGGTCACACTTCTAGAAAGGAGCTGAGGCAGCATTCATACTCAAGTATGGGTACTCCAGGACTTCCCAGGGGGCTCAGTGATAAAGAACCACCTGCCGATGCAGGAGATGCAGGTTCAATCCCTGAGTCAGGAAGATCCCCTGGAGGAGGGCATGGAAACCCACTCCAGTATTTTCGCCTGGAGAATCCCAAGGACAGAGGAGCCTGGAGGGCTGCAGTCTATGGGGTCACAAAAGAGTAGGACATGACTGAGTGACTCAACAACTACGTGGGTGCTCCAGAGACTGACTTCTTCCCTGTACATGTTATGTGACCTGTTCTGTGTCACACAGCCCACAGGGGGCAGACTGGAACTCTTGAGTTGGTGCAGTTGCCCTGACTGTGGAGTTCCTACCCCCTGCCTGGCTGGTCCGCAGTGCAGGACCCAGTCAACGGTCCAGACTGTACGCTGGGTTCCCCCGAGTGTCCTCATGAAAAATACAGATTCAGGAGCTCCCAGCCCACTTGGTGAATCAGGACAACTCAAGGTGGGTCTCGGGCATCATTCAACTTTAAGTGCTTCTGTTGGGTTGCAGGATTGGAAATCACTGCTTTGGAGGAGAAAGGAGTGATGAGCTTTACTGTAACCCTTCCTGGCATTTATTGAGTGCTCAATTCCCTGGTGGCTCAGCGGTAAAGAACCTGCCTGCAATGCAGGAGCCTTCGGAGACTTGGGTTTGATCCCTGGATTAGGAAGATCCCCTGGGGGAGGAAATGACAACCCACTCCAGTATTCTTGCCTGGAGAATCCCACGGATGGAGGAGCCTGGTAGGCTACAGTCCACAGGGTCTGCATAAAGAGTCGGACATGACTGAAGCAACTTGGCACTCAAAACATGCCAGGCTTCCCCCTCAGTCTCCAGACTCACATTATTTGCACTTGGGGTTTGAAGAGCTCTTCTGAGGGAGACAGAGGATGGGCTTTTCTTGTGATGGAGGAGAGAGAGGGGAGGTGACACAGCCTGAATACAATCAGACTCGAGGTCTGTCTTGTGCCAAAGCAGACACTTTTTACCACCTCAGGAAGCTGAGGTGAGAACCCAGCCTCCATCTGCTAACACCATGAGCCGCAGGTCATTCTTAGAGAGGTGGGCTAGGCATATTCTCAAGTGCTTGACAGGCAGGCCTCCATATCCTCAGGTTTCACATCTGTGGATTCAACCAACTGCCAATCAAATGGGTTGAGTCCTCGGATGCAGAACCTATAGATATGGAGGGCTGACTTACCTGCAACCTCTTGGATGCAGTATGAGAACACCTGATTTGTATCAGTGGCACAGATCATATTGGTAACCCTGGGGGGTCTGCTGTCTACTTTTAAGACAGAAGGAAACTCTAAAGTCCAATTAGTGGCTGGTGAAAAATACAGGTGTAATTTTTTCACATCTCATTTCATGGGTCCCCTCACTCACAACCCCTATTCACAGATCCCGTTGGGGGTAAATAGACTTCAGGTTAAGGCCACTTGCATTGTTAGTGGGTCATGAATTACATTATAAAACGGAGGGGGCAGTACTTTCCTGGCAGGACAGTGGTTAAGACTCTGTGCTTCCACTGCAGGGGGCGCTTTCCTGGTTGGGGAACTAAGATCCCATATGCTGTGGGACCGGCAAATAAAAAAAGGGGGTGGGGTGGGAACATGGAATCAAGAAAATAGACAACCGCAGCGTATAGGGTATATTCTAACGTGAGATATGGATTCTGAGAAAATTTCATTTCGGTTGTCTGTACTTCTGTGTGGGCTTCCCAGGTGATGCCAGCGGTAAACAACCCACCTGCTAGTGCAGGAGACACAAGAGATGTGGGTTCCACCCCTGGGTTGGGAAGATCCCCTGGAGGAGGGCATGACAACCCACTCCAGTATCTTGCCTGGAGAATCCCACCGACAGAAGAGCCTGGCAGGCTACTTTTCAGTGGTTGCAAAGAGTCGGACATGACTGAAGCGACTTAGGATGCATGCATGCATGCATGTACTTCTGTGTATTGGGCTCCATTGCAAAGTGTATTTCTTACTGCAGATTGTGGCTAGAACAGTTTGAATGCTATGGACTTAGCTTGTCTGGATCTCTGTTTCTTTATCTCCAAAATAATAATAACCCTCTCATCACATCATTTAATAATATGCACAGTTTGGTGTTACTTGGTAAGTATGAGAACACCTAAGTGAATAGGATCTGTGTGCATTGGAGGGATGCTCAAGTCACCGCTGGGGCTGGGGGCAGAGGGGCCAGGTGGGGAGACCACCACCACCGCCCAGTACCCCTCCGGGCTTTCCCTTGACCCACAGCTCTAGCCCCAGGGCCGGACTTACCAGAATCCCAAAAGCCATGACTTTAAGCAGACATTCCAGTGAGAAGAGGGAGGTGAAGACGATGTTGAATACTCTCAGGGCATTTTCATAAGCAACAGAGGCCCCATAGAACTAGATGAGAAAGTAGGAAGAGAGGCGGGGTCAGTGGGCGTGGTATTGGGGTCAGTGGGCGTGGTATTTGGGACAGTGGGCGTGGTATTGGGGTCAGTGGGCGTGGTATTGGGGACAGTGGGCGTGGTATTGGGGTCAGTGGGCGTGGTATTTGGGACAGTGGGCGTGGTATTGGGGAGCACATGCAGGGGTGCAGGGTGGCTGCATGGCTGTCTTTTCCTCAGGGCAGGCAGGGCTTGGACACTTGGCTTCCCTCTTGATGTCCTGTGGAGCCAGCCTGAGCTCCGGCCCAGCTCTTCACTGGCTTGACTCATCTTTTCACATCAAAGCAAAAATTCCTTTCTTGAGCCCTGTCGTAACAGCCAAGATCCCAGGACAGCCTGGCTGGATGGGGCTCCTTGTGATGCACGAGGATGTCTACAGCATCCTCTTTGTAATTTTAAAAACTTTTACTTATTCATTTATGGCTGCGCTGGGTCTGTGTTGCTGCTTGGACTTTTTCTAGTTGTGGCGTGTGGGTGTCTCATTGTGGTGGCCTCTCTTGTTGCAAAACATGGACTCCAGGGTACGTGGGCTCAGTGGTTGTGGCTTGAGGGCTTAGCTGCCCCGTGGCATATGGAATCTATGGTGGCTCAGATGGTAAAGAATCCGCCTGTGATGCTGGAAACTGGGGTTTGATCCCTGGGTTGGGAAGATTCCCTGGAGAAGGGAATGGCAACCCACTCCAGTATTCTTGCCTGGAGAATTCCACGGACAGAAGAGCCTGGAGGGCTACAGTCCATGGGGTAACAAGAGTCAGACAGGACTGAGAGACTTTCACTTTCATGCAGAATCCATAACCTTTACATCTAACTACCAGGTTGCATGTAAAGGCACCCCTGGTGGCTCAGATGGCGAATCTGCCTTTAATGTGGGAGACCTGGGTTTGATCCCTGTGTTGGGAAGATTCCCTGGAGTAGGAATTGGTAACCTGCTCCAGTATTCTTGCCTGGAGAATTTCATGAACTGAGGAGCCTGGCAGGCTACAGTCCATGGGGTCACAAAGAGTTAGACATGACCAAGCAACTAACACTTTCACTTTCTTTTCACTTTCACCAGGATACAGGAAATGCGGCAGACGGAGGAAACCAATGCACCCAGAGATGAGACAGTTTTCATTTAATTCATCTGGTTTCCTCAGAAACTTAATAGTGGGGGCGGGCATGGAATGGTTGGGGGGGAGGGGCAGAAGACAGAAATTTAACAGACAAAAAATTGGAGACCATGTGTAGCCACTTAGATCTTGGCTCAACAACTCACTGTAAAAGACATTTTGGGGACAACTCAATATGGATCTTCTGGTGTTAACACTAATCTTGTCAAGCATAAGAACATGTGGGAAAATGTTCTGATTTTTTAGAAATGCATACTGAAGAATTTAAGGGTGAAATAGCATGCTATCATTTAAAATACTTAAAAAAATAGATGAAACAGAATCTGCATTTTAACAAGATGTCCAGATGATCTGGAAGCAGGCTGAGAAGGGCTGTGCTATTCTATCTTTCTCTCTTCTGTTTGTTTACAACTGTTCACGATCTTAACAATGGAAAGATAAAAGCACTTGCTTGTAGAGATGAGTTTTCAGGTGGACACAGGCACTGCTTTTTTGCCTATTCAGAAAAAATCAACCCTGGTGGTGCAGTGGATGGGAGTCCCCCTGCCAATGCAGGGGACATGGGTTCGATCGCTGGTCTGGGAAGATTCCACATGCTGAGAAGCCACTAAGCCCATTTGCCACGACTACTGAGCCCACGCACGAGAGCCTGCAAGCCGTAAGTACTGAAGCCCATATACCTAGAGCCTGTGCTCCGCAACAAGAGAAGCCACCTCGATGGGAAGCCTGCGCGCCGCAGTGAAGAGTAGCCCCCACTTGCTGCCACTAGAGAAAGCCTGTGCGCAGCAATGAAGACCCAGCAGTCAGAAATAGAAAACACAAGTTAAGAAAAATCAACAGCTAAATTTATAGAGTGTTTTTAAGAATCTAGAAATGTGTTAATGTCTTCACAGGAATTTTCTCATTCAACCCTAATCCCCACCAGATGTATGGAAGGTGCTATTTTTTAAATAATTCTCATTTCATTGACAGGGAAACCAGGGGCTTTGGAGATGACCAGTGCATCTCATGCCACTGGCCACTAGCTCAAGATTCAGTGGTGAATTAAGTGGCAGAGCTGGGCTCAAATTCAGACCTCTGGTCTCCAAAGCACAGGGTCAAAGGTTCTGATTTATCACTCTGAAGAGGCTCCTTGACTCTACGGGGTACAAGGTCCTTACCTGCCCTTTCCTCCTCATTTCATTCATCACACATTTATCAAGGGGCTCTGTTCCCTTAGAGTCAGGGCTTCTCTGAACCCCTGGAGTTTAGTGGTGATCAGGACTTGTCTCGGCCCCTCGGAGCCCACAGGTGGGTGGCAGATTGTCGGAAAACCCAATACTGACATTGTGACATGTGAGTAACAGATAGGATGGGACTTCCCTGGTAGTCCAGAGGCTAAGACTCCGAGCTCCCAGAGTAGTGGGTGCCAGGTTCCATCCCTGGTCAGGGAACTAGATCTCACATGCAAAATTAAGAGTTACTGTGCTGCAACTAAAGATCCCATATGCTGCGACTAAGGTGTGGCACAGCCAAACAAATCAAACAAACAAACAAACAAACAAAACAAATAGGATGCTTGCTAAGACTTCATATGGTCCTGGGAGGCCAGGGAAGGCTTACCAGAGGAAGGGCTCTGCAGGGGCAGCCGGAAGGGGCTGGCCAGATGGAGTGCTGGGAATCGTGTGATAGGTGGTGGGAACAGCAAGAACAAGGGCTTGGTGGTAACAGAGTGCGGTCTGTCTGGGAAACTTTTAGTGGGTTCCATCTTGCTAGGGGAGGATGGGTGTGTGGGGCAGGGGAGCAGGGGGAGTGGTTAAGCCGCACTCGGGGAGGAGGGCTCACCTTCATCATGAGCACGATGGTGTTGAGGGCGATCATGGCCATGATGGTGTACTCGAAAGGTGGGGACACCACGAACTGCCACATGCGGTACTGGAAACTCTGCTTGTTCTGCGGCATGTGCCGGGTCAGGGGTTTGGCGCTGATGGCGAAGTCGATGCAGGCCCTCTGTAGGAGAGAGCCCGGTGGTGTGAGGGCTGGATGCAGGAGAGAGGTGGCTGGACACCCAGCACCCCTCAACTCACTCAACACAGCTCTCCAGCACACTTGCCGAGATGTCCACCTCTCTTACCCTCTCCCATTTCCCATAAACTCATCATGAATGCTTTCTTCTCCTGACAGCTACTGCTCCTTAAGTTACCATCGGCCAAAACTTATGCTGATACTGCCCCCACTATCTCATCAAATCCCCTCCGCAAACACAATCAGTGGGTACTATCAGTAGCCCCACTTTGCAGATGAGGAAAATAAAGGCTCAGAGAGGTTAAGCCACTTGCCTAAGGTGGCACAGCTACCAAGTGGGCGAATCTCAAATTTCAACCAGGGTCTAAATGGTTAAAAGCCTTTCTTTCATTCTTTCTTTTCTTAAAAAATTGTTATTGAAGTATAATTGATTTACAACATTGTATTAATTTCTGTTGCACAGCCAAGTGACTCAGTTATACATATATATATTCTTTTTATGGGCTTCCCTGGTGGCTTGGTCAGAAAAGAATCTGCCTGCAATTCAGGAGGCCCTGGTTCAATCCCTGGGCCAGGAAGATCCCCTGGAGAAGGAAATGGCAACACACTTCAGCATCCGTGCCTGAGAAATCCTGTGGACAGAGAAGCCTGGCTGGCAACAGTCTCTGGGGTCACAAGAGTTGGACACGATTTATCCATTAAACCACCATCAACATTCTTTTCATATTTTCTTCCATTATGGTTTATCACAGGATGTTGAATATACATCCTGTGCTATACAATAGGACTTCATTGTTTATCCATTCTATATAGTTTGCATCTGCTAATTCCAAACTCTCAATCCTTCCCTCCACTCCCCCACCCCCTACACAATGACAAGTCTGTTCTCTATGTCTGTGAATCTGTTTCTGTTTTGTAGATAGGTTCATTTGTGTTGTATTTTAGATTTCACTTACAAGTGATATCATATGGCATTTGTCTTTCTCTTTCTGGCTGATTTCACTTGGTATGATAATCTCTAGGTCCATCCATGTTGTGAAGCCTAACCATTCCTTCTTACCAAATGTTTAGCTTCTCTTTCTCTTTGAGGGAGGCAGACAGGGAAGAATAATGATTATTTAGTCTTAAGGGTCAATGGAGCAGAGGAAGAATGCATTCTAGGTCCTCTTCCTAGCTTGGATGATTCTAGAAGGGCAAACAGTCATGCTTATACTCTCTGGTGGACTAGATTTTCATTCATTAATATTCACCACCCCTCTCTGAGAGAGGCTGCACTTCTTTGCCCCACTGAAATCAGATATGGACATGTGACTAGCTCTGGCTAATGAAATGTGAAATGTGATGTGTGTTTTGCTGTTCTTTTTTAATCTGAAGTTTCTCAGAGGGGAACCAGAACAAAGATGACAGGGAGCCTGGATATGTTGCTGTTCTTTTTTAATCTGAAGTTTCTCAGAGGGGAACCAGAACAAAGATGACAGGGAGCCTGGATATGCAGTCCAATCCATTTGTGCATATCTGGCACTGAGATTTTTAGGGATGCTTGTTAGTGCATCATAACCTAGTCCAAACTGACTGATACATACACAACTCCTCTTTCCTCTGGGAACCTCATGAAGGGCTACCCTTCCTGCAGAGTGGATTCTGCTTGGAGAATGCTGCTGTACCCTCCCCAGATGCCCCCAGAAGCTTGTTCCTCTGTATGTGTGTGTGTGTGTGTGTGTGTGTGTGTGTGTGTATGAGTGGTGGGATGTCAGTTTTTAATGCAACTGGAAAGTGGTACCTCATTTTTCTCCAGGCTGTATTCCTCCATCATCTTGTCCCCCTGCTCCTGGAAGGTGATGATGATCAAGGCCACAAAGATATTGACAAAGAAGAAGGGGAACACCACAAAGTAGACAACATAGAAGATGGACATCTCCATGCGGTACCCAGGGCTGGGGCCCTGGTTCTCAAAGGTGGCATCCACGGAGTGCTTGAGGACCCTGTGAGGACCAGGGTGGGGAGAGGGGCAGAGTGAGACGGGGAGCAGGAACGGAGGACAATATCAAGAGGAAACAGAAAAGAAATGAATAGTCACTGCTTCTGACGGCAGTCACAGTGGTCACTTTATGAAGCCATAATCTTCCCAACACTTTTTGTCTCTGGGGAGTGTTGACAACAATGTCAGTTACCTCTGCTGCCCTGTATTGAGAGCTTATTATGTGCGAGAAAAGATATTCAATGTTTTATTTACTTTTCCAGTAACCCTCTCAGGGAGGTTATTACAGGCTCCATTTTGCACACAAGGAAACTGAGGTCCAGCAATTGAAAGGGACTTGCTGTAGATCACCCACTGAGAGGGGGTCATGTTGGGATTTGAAAACGGGTTTGTAGTCATGTATGGGAATGGGTAGGGGGTCATGGAGGCAGGGGTGTGTGTGTGTGTGTGTGTGTGTGTGTGTGTGTGTATGTGTGTGTGTGTCTGTGTGTATTTAAGCACAGGTGGTGGTGGGAACTGAGGAGGTGCAGTGAGAATGCATATGGGAATGAGTGTACACATGGCTGCTCTGTACAGTTGCACAGGTCATGCACTGCTCAAGGGCTCTGCATCTAAGTGGCACTGTTCACATTGTAGACATAACAGATTTGTGTGTTAATGATGACAATTTTTTGTCAGGGAGCCATAGTGCTTTCTTTGAGTGAGATCATTAAGTATATTATTGCAATGCTTTTCTGACAGATGGAAGTGAAGTCTGTTGAGAAAGGGGTATCTAAAAATTTGCTCAAAGGTGTCTAATGGGCAAGCACTGGTCCCACGTGTGTGGGTACTGTGTGTGGGTGAGTAGAGAGGCACGTGTTGGTTAGGGTGTTTGGTGAGCAAGGGAAGCAGGTGAGGAAGCTGAAGACACAAGCTGGAATCTTTCCAAACCTTCAACTTGCATTCAGCAGAGACCTCTGGGAGGAGGACCAGGACTAGGGTGAGGAGATTGAGGCACTTGCTGAGATACAAATTCAGGGAGTGTCAGACCCCTCAGTAATCGAGATAAATAGCATTTTACCCCAATGTCTAGTATTTTCTGCAGTTTTTTTTTTAAAAGATTTTATTTTTGTTTGATGTGGACCATTTTTAAAAGCCTTTATTCAATTTGTTACAATATTGCTTCTGTTTTATGTTTTTTTAAGTTTTTGGCCTTGAGACATGTGAGATTTTAGCTCCCCAAGCAGGGATCAAACCCGCACCCCTTGCATTGAAAGGCAAAATCTTAACGACTGGACCACCAGGGAAGTCTGAACTGCCAGGGAAGTCCCATTCCTGCAATATTTTAGAAAGTCAAAAGAAATGCCCAAAAGCCCATGATGAACAAAATACCAAGCATTTTAATTCTGGGGACTTCCCTGGTGGTCCCAGTGGTTAAGATTCCACACTTCCAATTCAGGGGGTGTGGGTTTGATCCCTGATTGGGGAACTGAGATCCCACATGCTGTGTGCAGCATGGTCAAAAAAAAAAAAAAACCTAAAAAAAATTAAATTTTGGGTTTCAATTTTAATTTTGGCATGAGTTAGTCTCACCTATATCACCCCAGCTCTAACCCTGTCTGGGAAGGATTGGTTCTGACTTGGAGAATGTCGCATCCACAGCCCAGTCTTGGAGGTTTAAGGGGATGTGACCACCTGTGTACCTACATGCAGCCTTTCTGCAAATTAGAAACAGTGCTTGTTCTGGGAGCATGAAGGCCCATACACTCAAGGGTTTGGTGAGCTGAGAGATGGCTGGATTTCCACCCTTCGAAGCCCAACCACACGTGGGGGCTGCTCTAGTGCATCTTGCATCCTGTATTGTCCCCACTTCCGGAAGCCAGGAGTGAACCTCCCCTTCCCCCAGACGTTTCTCAGCACTGGACTCTCAGAGCCTTTTCTCTCCTGCACCCTGGGCCCCCCGCCCCTCTGAGCTCCTCCTGTGGGGCTCTCTGCCTGGTCCACTTACTGTGGCCAGCCTTCTCCCGTGGACACGGTGAAGAGGGTCAGCAGCGCCCACAGCACGTTGTCATAATGGAACTCATACTTCTTCCACTCTCGATCCCTTGCCTTCACCTCATTCTTCTCATAGAGGAGGTACTTGCCGCTGCCACGGAAAATGGGGACCGTTAGTAAATGGAGGGGTTTCTCCAGTGGCTCAGTGGGAAAGAATCTGCCTACCAATGCAGGAGACCTCCGTTCCTTCCCTGGGTCGGGAAGATCCCCTGGAGGAGGGCAAGGCAACCCACTCCAGTATTCTTGCCTGGGAAATCCCATGGACAGAGGAGCCTGGTGGGCTACAGTCCATGGGGTTGCAAAAGAGTCGGAGATGACTTAGTGACTGAACAGCAACAAATAAACAGAGGGAAACCTGTCTTTGGCTCCAGAGAGACAGACGAGGAGGAGGAGCAGGAGGAGAAGGAGGAGGAGGAGCAGGAGGAGGAGGAGGAGGGGACCACCAGCCCACACTGCCTTCCACAGCCTGCAAAACAGCAACACCCGTCTCTCCCTGGAGTGTGTGGGCATCCACTGGGAGACAGATCCATGGATGCCACAGCCTGAGTCCAGGGGGAGAGGACTCAGATACTCACATTGTTTTCTAACTTGAACACTTCTACTCCCAATGGTGGGAGCATCAGGCTTGCGGGGTGGTTAAGAGAAAGGAAGGAGAAAGGCACATTTTGGGGTTCACCAGACCAAGGTAGGCAGCTGCTGCTCCTTCTCAGGGTAGGATACAAAGGTTAGCCCCAGACTCTTAGCCTAACGCCTGGAATCTTTCCAATTTCAGCCAACAAAAAAACAGCCGGGAGTCCTTTGCCACGTGGTAAAATGGGCATCCCTGGTGGCTCAGGGGTAGAGAATCTGCCTGCAAAGCAGGAGCTGGGACATGTGGGTTTGATCCCTGGGTTGGGAAGATCCCTTGGAGGAGGGCATGGCAAACCACTCCTGTATTTTTGCGTGGAGAATCCCATAGACAGAGGAGCCCGGTGGGCTACAGTTCATAGCGTCACAAAGAGTTGGACATGACTTAGCATGCATGCGTGCATGACCCTTTATACTGGTGACAAAAGCAATAATGACTGAGGCTTTGGTTAGTGAGAGGCTCAGCACTTTCCTGGACCGAGTCTAGAACTTCCCATCAGGAAGATGACCCAAAGATGGGGGGATTGCAGGTCCACAACTTCTGAGCTACAATTCTAAAATCCAGAAAACTCTGAAAACCTAACATTTTTTCCCTAATGGCAGTTGGCAAATTCCAGCCTGCAGATCAAATCTAGACTTGTCTCTGGGTGGCCTGTATGCTAAGCAGTGGTTGTTTACATTTTTAAATGTTTTTTAGTCTCTAAGTCACTAAAACATTGTTTTTAGTTGCCGATTCTTTTGTGACCCCATGGGTTGTAGCCCGCCAGATTCCTCTATCCATGGGATTCTCCAGGCAAGAATACTGGAGTGGGGTAGTCATTCCCTTCAGGGGATCTTCCTTACTCAGGGATCGAACCTGCATGTCCTGAATTGCAGGTGGATTCTTTATCTCTGAGCCACCAGGGAAGCCCTGAATGGTTGAGACCAAATCAAAAGAATTTATTCATGACAAATAAAAATGAAAATAAATTAAGTTTCCAGAAGGAAAGTTTGATTGGCACACAGCCATTCTGATTCCTTTACTTATTGTCTGCAGCTGCTTTTGAGTTTCATTAGTTGTCATGGAAAGTGTATGCAAAGTCAAAGATAGGTACTATCTGGTCCTTGACAAAGTCTGCCCATCTCTGATCTAATGTGTTTGGCAACAAAACCTGACCCAACTGGATATGAGGCTTTGTACTTGTTACTTATCCCATTTGGTGCAAATAGTTGCATGTTTCCCAGCAGAAGTATTGCATTTGATCACAAGGCTGTTTTAATCAACTGAAGGTGTCAGGTGCTATGTGGGACATGTGCCTCGCAATTTTTCTAAAAATCTCAACATATTCTGAATTTTGAAACACATCTGCCTGTAAACGTTTCCCACAAGGAATTAGATGCGTATTGCTATCCCCAACTTGACAAAGGTGGCGACTCATAAGTTGAGCAACTAGCTTATGGCTCACGCTGAAGGTATGGGGCAGGGACTCATATTCTTTTTATTTTTATTTTTTTAGGGACTCATATTATACAACTGATTTTCTACTTGCAGACCCAGGCTGGTTGTAATGGGGCTGCCCTCAATACCCAACCCCTCAGTTTCCAGGTCCAAGATGAAATGGAACAGGACCCTATGGTCCTCCCCTTCCTACCATGTCCTCAGCCTGCCTTTGTCTGTGGAAAAATTTTAGCCAAAGAATAAGTTTAATCAGAGGAGTGGGAAAATACAGAAGCAAAGGAAAACAGTCAAAGAAGACTGCATAATAATAGTTCAGTCCTTAAGCAGAGTCAAGGGCCTTTAACTCTTTCTCGGGGACTACAGATAATATCCCGAGCCATGTCCTGTGAGCTGTCTTATAGATACTGACATCCCCCCAGGTGGAAGACGTTTAGCTACATGATGACCAGACTAGCCATGACATAAGCTGCCACGGTTCTGAGAATGGACCTCAAGGAAATACAAACAAACCGACCCTGGAACTGAAGGTTAACTGTACTTAAAACAATTATGATGCTGCTGACCAATTAAGTGACCGATTTGAAGATGACCGTCACAGCTGGCTGTGCTGTTTCTACATGTTGCTCCCTCCTCCCATCTATAAAAGTTCTTAACCACTGATTGTCAGCAGAGAAGTAGTAGTTGGCCTGTGGACAGGACTCACTACCGCCGTCCCCCACCCCCCCCCACAGTTGCTTTCCTAAACCAACTTTGCATTTTTTATTGGCTTTTGTGCAGCGAGCAGCCAGATCCCCACTTGTGGTTACAAAGAGACTGGTGCCTCTGATCGCCTCCCACCCACCAGCCCCGATGGGGACGCCTACAAAAGGCAAGACTCACCGGCAATCTTTCTCAAACTCCTTGGACTCATCTGTGCAGTGGAAAAACTTGCCCTTGAAGAGCTGAACGGCCACCACAGCGAAGATAAACATGAAGAGCATGTAGACGATGAGGATGTTGAAGACATTCTTGAGAGAGTTCACCACGCAGTCAAACACGGCCTGGTGGGTTGGGCGGGAGAGCCGGTGTGAGGAGGCTGGGAGCTGGCCCAGCCTCCACCTTCAGCAGCTCATAATATCAAAGTACATGATTCCCATTTCACAGAGAAGGACGCGGGCCACGGCCACGCAGTTCTGGGAAGTAAATGTGGGGGCTGCACCCAGTTTTGAGTTTTTATGCATCCCAAGCCCCCAATTCTAACCCCTGGGAAATGGGGGCCACTTCTCCGAGCTTCTCCAAGGTAAGCTCATGGTTCTTCAGGGCAAGAGGAGAGATCGTCGGTGGAGAGGTCATTTCCTGTCCATTCTGTGTGTCCCTGCCTCACGGGCACTCTTCTTTCCCAGCATCTGGAGTTGTGCGCTCTCCTCCTTTTTTTTTGCCCACCGATCACTAGGGGGCGCTCTGGTCTGCGAGTTGACTTCACGTGCCCTGGAGATTCTGCCTTGGGTAAGATGAAATCTTTCCATCATCCTGCCAACCCCCGCCCTCCGCCCCATTCTGCTATGAATCACAGTGGGTCCTAAATACAAGTAACGATCAAGGGTCATCAAACCTAGTGGAATCGCATGTGAGCTTTACTGGCTTTCCCCGGGGGACAGAGTGCATAGCTTTCATGGGGGTTTCAAAGGGGGCTGTGACCCAGAAAATCGGAAAGAGCCACTGAACCGACTACTGCTGGATTCCGCGTATTTCAATGCAAGCCGGTTTTCAAGTCCAGAAGGTTGCCACATTTCCTCTGAATAATTCATCAACAAAAAGGTGGTGTCGAATCATTATTTCCCAAACTATGGGGGAGGAGCCCATCACCAGTAATATCAGACAATACTTTTAGGTCCTTACAAGAGCCACAAACCAAGGTACACTGATCGCGTGGTAGCAAAGTTATTCTAATTCTTTCAAGCCTTTTGAGTGAAGGAGAAAGTCTTCCTTAGTTGTTGCTGTGTTAATAACATTTATACTTTTCCTTTTTATGCTTAGGTTTTTTTTTTTTGTTGTTGTTGTTGTTTGTTTTTGGCCCACCAAAACAGGACACGCAGAATCTTAATTCTCCAACCAGGGGTGGAACCTCGGGTCCCCTATGTTGGGAGTGTGGCGTCATTACCACTGGACCACCAGGGGAGTCCCTGCACTTTTCCTTGTTTGAGCAAGAAAGAAGGAGCATCCAGACTCAAAATCTTTGTCAGGCAACTCTTCTGGGCTAGATTTTGAGGACAGTTATCTTATTTTTTTAAAACAGATATTTAGTTTTACCTTCTATGAACAGTGGATTCTGGTTTTCCAACTTGAGAAACTTGACAAGCATGTCCTTTTAAAATAAATCCACTTAGGTACAAAAAATAAAGTGACTTGACTTAAACATTAAGAAGGATAATACAGGTCCAATATGAATTGAAACGGGGTGTTTGAATGACTAAGCTTCATATCCTTTCTTCTTTCCTTTTCTTAAATTTGAAATGACAAGTTTTGGGGAAATGCTGCTTCATGCTGTTTTGGAACAGGAGATACTGGAGCCTAGACTAGGCAGGTGAAAAGTTTAAGGTCATGTGGGACCAGAAACCTAGTTTCCTGCTTCCCAGATTCGGGTTATGCCCTGTTTTATCCACATGATGTCTTCAAGGGAATTAGGAAAAGGGATCTCAATGTTGCATGAGACATTTCACCTAATGGAAAATTACCATAATACACAGATTTTGTTCCATTAACTCACTTTACTGCCATCTACTGGAAAGTTGTAGTAATAAGTACATCCAACATAAAAAGTAGCAGCATCCCTTTCAATGCAGTGCTCTTGAGCACTGCTCAACTGTACATGGCAACCCTGGTAGATCTCCCGAATACCCCGATCTCACCTTGAGTTTTGGCAACCGCTTGATGGTTTTAAGAGGTCGTAGCACCCGGAGGACTCGGAGGGATTTAATCGTGTTGATGTCCTTTCCTTTGCTATTGCCACTGTGGAGGGATGTTAGGATGGGGAGAAGGGAAGAGAGGGAGCCAAGGTCAGGCTGGGTGGTGGGTGGCCTGCAGCTGCACATGACCCCAGCCTCCCAGGCTTAGGAATCTGGGGTAAACCTGGCATAACCTTGTCTTGCTGAAGAGCATCAGTTCCCCTGCTACAACTGGGCTCAAGGGTTAGTGAGCAGATGGCCTTCTGTGGTTCTTGGGTTTGTTGAGGGCCCTCCACTGCTGGGCTGGGCCTGAGCAACTGCATGCGGGGAGCCCTTAGATCCAGCATGAAGGAGCTGGCCCCTACCCTAACCTCATGTGCTCTCCTCAGAGCTGGTCTTACTGAGCTTTTAGAAAATGGGGTGCCCTCACCCCCACATTTCCAACAGGATCCATAAAGTCCTTAAAGTGGTGTTTACACAAGAACTCTCTTCCCCCCCACCCCCCGCCCCAATATCCCCTGAACCCATGCAGCAAAAAGAACTAGAACATCAGATGCTGCTGTTGAATCACTGCCTCATTCTTTCAGGGTCTCTTAGCTCATCTTTGTCAAATTGCTGCATAAAAGTCCAGCCCAGGGTCTACTGGGCATGAGTCCTAGCATTGTAGATGCCATGACACCCTTAGCCAACCATAATTCAAACCACCCCCCACCCCGCGATGGGCACTGGGTGTGGCCATCAGAGACCTGTGATTAGTGGAACTCACCACCCACCCAGCTGCCCAAGCCAGAAACCCAAGTCCTGTTCATCCTCATCCCCAACAGGTCGCCCTCCTACACATGGCCACCATCCTAGGTCAGACCCCCATGATCCACCTCCCAACCCCCGCTCCCCCCCACACACTCTATGTCTCTCTCTTCTTCCACCTTTTCTGCACACAGTGACCAAAACTATCATGTCACTCTCCTGCTCCAAACTCCTCTGGAGCATCTGAATTCCTAGCAGTCAGAGCCACCTCTTAACTTGGCATTCAAGGCCCGTAAACATCTAACCCCACTTACCTTTCCCTCTGCATCCCTACTGATCATGACACACCCCAAACCCCAGCCACACGCTCTGGCTTCTGTTCCTGCGGCTAGAACTGCCCTTCCTTCACTGCTCTGTTCACAGAGCTATGCAGCCCTCAAAGCCCAAGGTAAACGTCCCTTCACGCAATGGCCTCTGCTGACTGCCTCTGGGTTCTGCCAAACCCCAGTGCTCATTCAGAATAGCTTTTGTTTCTGTCATTGGCTCTGGCTTTAGACAGCGTGTGTGTGTGTGTGTGTGTGCTCACTTGCTCAGTCGTGTTCAACTCTTTGTGACCCCATGGACTGTAGCCCGCCAGGCTCCTCTGTCCATGGCATTTTCCAGATAAGACTACTGGAGTGGGGTTGCCATTTCCTTCTCCAGGGGATCTTCCCAACCCAGGGATGGAATCTGCATCTCCCGCACTGGCAGGCAGATTCTTTCCCACTGAGCCATCTGGGAAGCCCTGGCTTTAGGCAGAACATTCCGCCAAGGCAGAACTGTGTTCATTTTCCCTTTAATCTTGGTTCTTGTCTCCGCCCCCAGCACATGCCTGGTGTGTAGTTTCAGGACACATGTGAATGGATCCAGATTGGAGTTCTTTGGGGACCAGTTGAGCAAACATCTCCCTACAGTTACCTCTTGGGTCATGAATGGAGCTGCCCCAGAGACACCCTCCATGGTGTGCCTGTCTATTCAGGTGCAAAATCATTTTTAATGACTTTTTTTTTTTTTAAAGGGTTCCTTTCTCTCACTTTTCAGAGAAAAAGAGAATTGGACTTTAACCTGTCAGGCACAGCCATGCTCCAGGATTCAGCAGTCTGAGCACGGTTTTTTCTTTATCTAAACCGAAGTCATCTTTATGATCTCAAAGCTGTGTCCCAAAATACGAGACACACCAGGAGAGTCGCTGAGATGCTTTTAGGCAGAACACAGACACAAGTAACAGGATCACACAGGGAAACAGCTGTGTTTTCTTCAAGTTATCTTTCAGGCTTTCTGCTTTGGTCAGAAAGAAATCTCTGGTAAGTGTTCATATGTGTCTAATGCCTCCCTGGAGGTGGTGGTGTAATCACTAAGATATGTCCGACTCTTTGCAACCCCAGGGACTGTAGCCGGCCAGGCTCCTCTGTCCGTGGGATTTCCCAGGCAAGAATACTGGAGTGGGTTGCCATTTCCTCCTCCAGGAGACCTTCCTGGCTCAGGGACCAAACCCGAGTCTCCTGCCTTGGCACACGGATTCTTTATCTCTGGGCCACCAGGGATTCCCTTAATGTCTCCTTAGCACTCACTAATTTCCCTGTTAACAGAGCACCTAGCTTGAATGCAACAACTTGCAATGCAGCTGTTTCCCTTTTGTTGAATTCACTTTTGCAGTTTCCATTCCTATCTGAGGTCAACGATACTGGTTGTACGGAGATGACATAAGGTCTTCTAGCAAACTGCAATGAAACTTAGGCTCTATGTTGGTGGGAAAAAAGTCAAGCAAGGGGACATCTAGGTTGTATGCAGAACTTGCTAACATTTTTTCTTCTTTTCTTAAAATTTATTTCTAATTGGAGGATAACTGCTTTACAATGTTATGTTGGTTTCTGCTGTACATCAGCATTGAATTTGGCTAAAATCTTGATGCAGCAAACTGCTGACATTTGGGAACACGCCTCCTGGGGCACATCTACCCATCTAAAAAGGACTCTGTGGCCATTGTGGGGATGTCTCTCTCCCAGGAGGCACATCTCCCTTGGGAGAGGCTGAAATAATCCTCTTTGTTGAGACACCAAGGAGAGTGTTCCCGGCAGTTTGGTTCCTGAGCATGCAGGAATGGCTTGATCAAGGCGTTCTCACAGAAAACAACCAGATTTTCAAATCACTTCGTTGAGACGGTAGATGTTTCTGGAGGAGGAGAGTTACTCCTCTTAAAGCAAGCAAGCCCTCATTGTTTGGAAGGTCCACGCTTCTCCCACCTGGGAAGTTAGACACTCACTCCTCCCCTGATAACCACCCATCCGGCTGGTCTGCCCTACTGAAATCAGATCACGGGGCGGGCGCCCTCCATGCCCGCTACATTCTCTGCCAAGAACTGGGCTAAACGGTGGGTCATGGTGAGAGGCAGTGGCCAAGACCCCCCCAGGCTCAGGCTCCCTGGGGAGTAGGCTGAGGGGCTCTGGTCACCGCAAGCGACAGGATGGTGGCAATGACAGGAAGCTACGGAAACAGGCCCAGGGCCGTCGTGGCTGCATCAGGGCGTAGAGAACAAGACAGAACGAGAGAGAGAGAGAGAGAGAGAGAGAGAGGCACTTTACCGTGTGCTGCTCCTGGTGAGGTGGCGTCGGAGGGAGAGACAGGTCGTAAGCGGCCTCAGAAGAAAGAACACGGAACACGCACATACACGCACGCACACCTGAGCGCGCCCTCGCCCCGCCCGGGCACCAGGGGGCGCCGCCTCAGGCTCGTGGCTCCGGATGGCGTCCGTCCTTCCATCTGGAAGACCTCCGTTCCGACCCCTGCCCTTGGCAGGCTCCCAGCACTGCCAAACAGCACCGAGGAAGCCAAATTTTCAAGTCGCAGGACAGCCAGAAAGTTATCGACTACCGAAGGCGGATTTGCCACTGAAGGTCACTGCCAAGAGCTGGAGAAAAAACCCTTTTCTCCAGGGTTTCTGGGACCGGAAGGCCTTAGCATGTCTTTCCTCCCTGCTCCCCACCGGCCACTCTGTGCTGCGTGTGGGATCTTAGTTCCTCGATCAGGGACCGAACCTGCAACTCGTTGCATTGGAAGCGCGGAGTCTTAACCATCGGACCGCCAAGGAAGTCCTTTGAAATGTCTTGAAGGGGATGACCTTTGGAATTGGGGAGACCTGGGTTTGAATCCCAGCACTGCCTTTAATTTTTTGTGTGTTTGTTTTTGAACTAATTTTCTAATAGATTTCACCTGGGATGAATGGGCACTTGATGAGTGTTGGAATAAAGCACACAGGTAAACAGGAAGTACCTATTCACAAAGCAAGAGGAAAGAATCCAGCTGCTTTGAGTTGCCCTGAATTATTGTCCTCACCTGTGAAACAGCCCTTGGGGATTCTGAGGTTGGACACACAGTTATGGCCCTGACTTTACCCCCTAAGTTATAAAGAAGAGAGAAGGCCGCTAGGAGTTCCAATTTGGGATGAAGTTAAGGGGCGACTCTCAAGAGTCTTTTGGGAAAATGTGGGCCCAGGGAAACCTCTCTGTTCCTGGCAATGGCCCCTTGCACAACTCATCTTGGGAATCAAGGCTCAGTCTTATCACGGCCCTCCAACCATGACTGGAGATCAAGCTGTGAGAAACTTGACCGCCATTATTAATACAACAGTGGAACTGCCACACAGATACTCTTCAGAATTTCCCACCTGCCCCTGCCTCTGAAATGAGTGATATTTCTAAAAATATAATGGTTTAATGCCTACAACTATTCCCACTGGATTTTTCCTCCTCCTGCTACCTTTTCATGTTACCTCAGTGGTTCTCAAAGCTCAGTGTATCTAGGAATTAGTGCATAGACAGAATTGTATAGATTCTCCTTTTTTGGATTATTGAGGAAGGTTTTTTTAAAATTTATTTTTTAACTTTTATTTTTTTTAATTTTTTTAAAAAATTTTTTAACTTTTAAAAACATTAATCCATGGCTTGTGGGATTATAGTTCCCTGACCAAGGATAGAACCCATGCCCCCTGCAGTGGAAGCTTGGAATCTTAACCACTGGACCATCAGGGAAGTCCCTGGAGAAATCTTCCAATAACAGTGATTTCTGCTCAACCTGATGGATGACATAAGGTGTAATATGTGAGTCTTCTGAATGTCACTGTGTCTGCCTGCGAGAGGGTGGTACCATTACACCCATTTTTCAGATGAGGCAGCTGAGACTTGGAGAGGGAAAGTGATTTATGCAGGGTCACACAGCCAGCAAGTGATAGACTGATATTCAAACCCAGGTTTGTGTATCTTGCACTCTAATCTTCTATTTTTTTCCATTTCCTCATACACACACAAAAGAATGCCTTCAAAGGTAGGGCCTGTTTTGAGGAGGCTAATTTAAAAAAATGGCTTCCTTCTTTGGCTTCCTTGCAGCTGGGCTCCTGAGCATGCAGGAGTGGCTTGACCAGGGTGCTCTGCCCGCTGTGCTGGCCTGCTTTGCGGGAGGAGTAGCAGCGCCAGATGGACTCTTGGCAGTGAGGGCAGGATCACGATCCGCCAGCTGCTGAGAGGTGTCAGCTGGCCACCCCGATGCATGGGCACAGAGCGTGATGTCATGTGTGGTGACTCATGAAATGGTGTGTTAATGGTGGTCGCATGGACATAGCACACAGTCAGTAGATGGAGCAGGACACCCACACCCACACCCACACACACACACACATATATTTGGGGGAGATGCAGGAGGGCTAGAAACCGACACGAGAGCTTCGACACATCCTTTGGAAGACCACAGGGATCATCTTCCCATATCCCAGACGGGGCCACAATCAGCACTGCAGAATCCTTGCCTCCACCCCAACAGGCCAGAACAGCAAGATTCCTTTTGACAAAGAAGGGAATAGTCTCATGCCCTCGTCCCCTGGACTTCTAGGCCTTGCTGGAGACTCAAGGAACCCAGCCAGGCCAGGCTGTCAGGTCTCATCCTCCTGATCTGTGAAAGCGTCCACATTCAGGGCTGAGAGTTAGGCGGCAACCTTGAATATGACAGTTGAACTCAACCTTAGTGATCCTGCCTGCGTGCTTAGTCGCTCAGTCATGTCCAACTCTTTGTGAACCCACAAACTGTAGCCTGCCAGGCTCCTCTGCCCGTGGGATTCTCCAGGCAAGAATGCTGCAGTGGGTTGCGATTTCCTCCTCCAGGACATCTTCCCAACCCAGGGATTGAACCTGTGTCTCCTGGGTCTCTTGCGCTGTGGGCGGATTCTCAACCGCTGAGCCATTAAGCCCTTAGTGATCTTGCTAGACTCATTTCCCCCCACAGTCTCTCTGGGCTTCAGTTTCCTCATGCACAAAAAGGGAATAATATGAGACATTCTTACATGGGGCTGTAAAGATTAAGTAAATGGAGGCTGTTACTATCATTATTACCCGGTCAAGTGTCTCAAATTTATGGGGAAACTGAGGCACAGAGAGGTTCAGGGCCTTGCCCATTTAGAGAGAAACCAAACAGGCTTGCAGGAACCTTTTTTTTCAAACAATCAGGTTCATTTCATACTCGGTAGGGACCTCAGCCTTGTCTATGAGGAAGCAGGCAACCAGGACAGAAAACGTGAATTAAAAGAACAGAAAGAAAGGAAGCAAAGGACTCTGGGATTGGGCACTCAAGTGGAGGCTCTCAGAGCATCCCTCACTCCTGCCAATATGACATCTATCTGGTAACAAAGAAAGGCCTCGTAGGGCAAGAGACCTTCTCAGGTAAGAGAGGCCAGGAACCTGAAGCCAAAGGGAGGACTCTGAAACTTTTCTGGGGAAAAGAATAGCAGCTTGAGGGTTCCTTCTCTGGTGGAATGGTCTCAGGCATGCAGGAGTTGCTTGATCAAGGCATTCCACCAGCTGTGTCTGGCCTGTAGCCCTGCCCTGGAAGGGGAGTGGCAGGACCAGATGGATTCTTGGCAGTGAGGTGGGGAGGGTGTGGCAGGGGTGGGGTCTCAGAGCCTACCTATTCCATCCCTATGACCATCACATAAAGGTGCTCCCCGGGTTGTCAGCCCTTCTAAACCCCCAAGAATGTCCCTAACACTCGTCAGGATCCCACTGGCAAAACTGTACACATCCCAGTTCCTGCAAGACATATAAGTTTGCTGAGACTTATAGGGATGACCTGAAATCTCTTTCCAGACCCTTTCCTCAAAGAGGAATTTAAAAAACAATTTGAAACGGATTTTCAAGGGCATGGACTGGCTGGCTTTATGCCTGTAGCAACTTTATAAAACCAGTTTCAAAGGTTGACTCTGCAAACATGCCGCCAGATTTCTGTGAGCTGTAGGCTCATTTTGAATGCCCTTGTATAACTTTATATTTAAAGCGAAAACTCAAAAAATTAAAAACACAAAATCAGCTCCCTGTGGCAGATTCTTTTGCAAACACAAAGAATCCTTTTGCTGATTGATTCTGGGTGAAAAAATAATTTTGTTTTTTGCAGATTAGGTTTGCTTCAAATTGAGTCTAACTGTGGCTTCAGGGAAACTAGGCCCATTATGGCAAAAGTTCTATGACTGAGAGGCTTGTTCCCCAAACTGCGAGGTCAAACGGGGGATGGAGGTGGGACAGGGCAATGGTGGGGGCCCCCTCTTTGGTGATTAAACTTGTTGGCTCCCACAGAGGTCTGGAAGGAAAGTTCCAAGGATGAACTGATGGGTAGCAGACACTACTTCTATTGTACTACACCTAGGGGTGTAAAACAGAGGGCAAAACCCACTACCCAGGCCAGGCCACAGCGGGCAAAGTAGGGGGTTTGTGTGTGGAGGTGGATGTGGTCTCTTCCTGAGCCCTGGGGGACTTGGGAGCTGCTGGGCAGATGTCATCCTGGAGGGCTGGAGGAAGGGTGGGAGGGGGTGCCTACCTGCACTTGCCTTCCCTGGTCCTGGAGACCACCCCAGGTTGGAACGTGATGGGGACTGGGTCTTTGATGCCAGAGTGAATGGCCCAGGTTAGGCAGAAGGTCAAGGCAAGGGAGAGGATGGAAGGGAGAAAAAGAGATGGGAGAAGGAGGGGGAGAGGGAAGAAAGGATGAGGGAGGCTAGGGAGGGGGAGAGGTGAGAACTGGGGGAGGGGAGGGGAAGAATAGAGGGGGAGGAGTAGTGGAGGCAGGGTCTGGGGGGGCAGAGAGAGAGGGGGCAGGAGAGGGAGTCAGAGACAGGGAAGGAGAGAGGAAAGGGGCAAAGAGAAAGAGGGGGAAAGACAGAAATAGGAGCAAGGGAGGGAAGGGGATTTGAGATGGATTCACCCCAGGCTTTTCAGAATTGAAACTTTCTCAGAACCTAGCATGGTTCCTCACTGACCTTGTAGCGGTTGCTCAGATAACTGATGGATGGAGGGAGAAACATATTTAATTACATTCTCATACCTGCCTTTTAAAATCTATTTTTGGGGGAAGAAATTTGTGGTCACTTGATAAGAAACCAATTGTACCTTGTTTATATTTTATATATCTAACTCCAATGAGGCTGAAATTTTTTTTTTTTTGGTCATTTTTATTAATCAGCATTTTGTGAAATTTCCATGTTAAGTCCTGTACTCACTTAACTATTGAGGTTCAGTGTTTCTTACTGATTTGTAATTGCTTTTTATATATGAAGGCCATGGATGCTTTGTTTTATTTGTAGCAATCTTCTCTAATTTGCTGTGCACTTCACTTTGATTATTATTACTGCTAAATCTACAGGACATCTTAATAATAATGTAGCCAAACTTCTTGAATTTTTAAGATGATTGCTATCATTGATGATTAAATACTCAAATACGTTAAAAAGTGGGAGAGAGAAAAGAAGGGGGAGAGGAGGGAGGCAGGAATAAAAGAGAAAGAAAAGGAAAGAGGGTAGAAGGATAATGGACTGAAAGAGGAGGAGAAAGTAGAAGAAAAAGAGAAGGAGGTGGGAAGTCTGGCTGGAGTCAGAAATACATTCAGCCTCCTGACTTTCATGGTACATCTCCACCAGCTCAGAGGTGTTCAGAAACTCTGGAGATTTCTAGCTCTTCTGACACAACTTGACCTCATTGTGTTCCCAGGAGTGGCCCACTTTAGCCCTTAAATTGGAAATGGGTCACCACGCTGGCCTCCTGACAAACCAAGTCCTCACTGTTTGGTCAGGGGGCCATTCAAGGACTCCTCCAGGTCTGCTGGGAGGGGACCAGGAGGCAGAGGCACAGAGGAAGCCCCTGATTTCTCAGTATGTGGGTGAGCTGGGTCTGAGTCCTTTTGAGACTCCTTTTTAGGAATGATCCACTGTGACTGGGCACAGACAAGGTCTGTAAAAAGACTTATTTCTGGATTAGGAGCTGATTAGGTTTTTCGACCCTGCCCCAAACATCTGTGACTTGAGGAATGTACTGCTAAGTTTGCTACCAGGGCCCTAAGAGCTAATGGCTACTCAGCCCTTGGATGCCATCTTGGAATTGTCACCCAGAATTTGGGCACCATCTTGGAATGGCTACTAAGCCTTTGGGTGCCATCTTGGAATGACTACTGAGCCCTCAGGTACCATCTTAAAATGGCTGTCCAGAATTCAGGTGCCATCTTGAAAGGGCTACTAAGCCTTTGGGTGCCATCTTGGAATGGCTGCCCAGAACTCAACTGCCACTTTGACATGGTTGCCCAGAATCTGGGTACCATCTTGGAATGGCTTCTCAGCCCTTGGGTGCTATTTTGGAATGGCTGCCCACAACTTGGGTGCCATCTTGGAGTGGCCTGATGAGACATGACCTTTCAGAGTGTCCTAGGAGAAGTTCAAGACACATGAGGGGAGTCATCAGGTCTAGAATTACAGGGCCTTCAGGCATAGGGTGGGGGTCCAAATTCTCATGCACATTCATTTCCTGATTGTCTTTTTAGGGGCTCCCCAAAGAGACAGCGGAGCTTGTAGAGCAGAAGGAAAATGAGATGTCCTGGTGGGGCTAGTCTACAGAAAGCAGCACAGCAAGGGGTTGGTGGCATGGCTGTGTGAGGAGGTAGAAGGTGGGGGCCCTTCTCCTTCTTCCTCCATGGTGGCCATCATGCAAAAGCCAATCGAAGCTCTTCCTGGTAGCATGCAGATGCCTCCCGCCACCCCAGAGCCCCACTTTCCCATCTCTACATCTCGAGAGCATGTCCCCTGATCCAGTGGGTTGTGGGTGGAGGGATAAAGTGGTAAGTGGAGTCCTCAAGAGGAGACTTACGTGAAGGCAAAGGCCACCAGGGCCCCACTGACCACTATGAAGTCGAGAATGTTCCAGAGGTCACGGAAGTAGGCACCCTGGTGCAGGACGAGCCCCAGGTCGATCATCTGAGGAGGGAGAAGGGACAGTGCTCTGATCCCTCATCCCCACCCTGGGGAGCAGTATCTACCCTTTTAGACTTGGCGGAGGGGCCACAGGAGGAAGCATGGTAGCCAGTGGGACCACCTCATCCTGAGGGGATGGGTCAGAGGCCAGGGGACCTGGGGGAGGAGTGAGAAGCCTCTGCTCAAGGCTGCCTCCCACCTTGGGAAAGGTATTTCGGACTTGCTGGTTCTTAGGTCAAAACCTCAGGGCACCCCCGGCTCCTCACCTCACATCAGATCCATCAGCAAACCTCATTGGTTCTACTTTCCAAACCTTCCAAGAATCTGCCCACTTTTTACCAACTTCTCTGCCACCACGCTGACTGGTTCCCATCATCTCCTGCCTGGACCAGAGCAATCACCTGCTCCCAGTTCTCTTGGGTCTCACCCACCCTACTCCCCGCCTCCCACTCACCCTAATCCCCCCCTCCCACCCTGCTCCTCCTCCTCCAAGTCTGAACTCCCACAGAGGCTAGAGGGTGCCTGTGAACACCTGAGTCGTCACGTCCCTCTGCTCAGAACTTTCCATGGCTCCCACCTCACTTGGGATAAAAGCCCAAGACCGTCCTGTGGCCCCCAAGTTCCTGCTTGATTCATCCCTGTCACCTCTCTGCTCTCATCTCCTTGCTCTGGTTTCCCCACTCTCCTCTCTCACTTTCAGCCACATCAACTTCCTTGCTGTTCCTCAAACACACCAAACATTTCCGATCTCTGGGGTGAGCCTCTTGCACCAAGGTGGCATTCCTGAGAGTGAAGAATCCTGTGGAGCCCTGGCACTCACCTTGATCACCATCTCAAAGGTAAAGACTCCTGTAAAAACGTAGTCAAAATATCGCAGCACCTGCGGGGGATAAAAGCAAGGGGCAGTGGATCATTGGCTTGCTCCAGCAGAGCCCCCGTGAACTTAGCCATGGCCCACTGGGGTATGCGGCCTCTAGCAAAGTCCCCAAGGAACAGAGTCTCCACCCACATGAGAAAATGCTGCAGCCATGTACAGTGGGGCAGGTCCTGCACTGCACAAGGGCCCCCTCCCACCCTGTCCCGGTGCAGATCTGTATGTTGTGAATGAAACTGTCCAGCAGATGGCAGCAAAGTCCTAACAAAATCATTGTTAAGGCTAGTTTGCTTACCAATGGGAAGGGTGCCTTTTTTCACTTTCCCAAAGCTCTATGTGGACTAGAGGTGGCCTCAGGGAAGTTCAGGAAAGACTCTTACCTCTTTTGGCAGCAAGTCTGATCCCGCAGTGTTTCTGACCTTCTGGTCTCCTGGGTGAACAACTGTTCCCACATAGAGTTTCCTAAACATGATTAGCCTCCAGGACAGACACTGGGGACCAACCTTACTGAGGCATCCATTTCCTCCCAAGTACGCAGCCATACCCTCATCAGAGTGGATTGATTCTCCCTCTCCCCGCTACCTTACACAAGACCAGGTATTAGTGGTTTCTGGATGGGCAATGTTTGCACTCTGGCCTCTTTCCTGGCCATGCCATAGCACATCCCTGGTGTGACCTGGGCGGGAGGATGTTGACTGGCATGAAGATGCTGGCAAAGTGCCCAGCACGCGGTAGCCCCAGGGGCTGACCTCAGATCTGCCTTGTAGTGAGGGCTGTTAATTACTGAGCAGGCCACCAGAGGGCGCCTGTGAGCACAAGTCCCATCACTGCCCCCTTCTCTGCTCAAGAACCCTCTATGGCTCCCACCTTACTCAGGGTGAGCGTCAAAGTCCTCTGTGACCCCACAAGGCACTGGAAAATCTGTTTGGTAACCTTCCTTCCCTCACCTTGTCCCACTCTCCCCTGGCTCACTCCACTTCTGCCACCCTGGATAGTCTTACCTCAGGGCCTTTGTACAGGTTGTTGGCCTGGACTTTCCCATGTTCCACCTGATATTCTCTCTCTCCTCCTTACGGCTTGGCTCAAATATCACATTCCTGACTGCCTGTTTAAAATTCCATTTTCCTGAAGCTTGCAATCTTCCTGACCAAGTCTACCCCTTCCCCCACAGCCCTCACCCCTGGCAATTATCACTGCCTGGCAAACTATTTGTTACGGTTATTAATAATGTCAGTGTCCATCTCCCCTACCTGAATGTCAGTCTCCCAGGGGCAGGGATGTCTGCCTGTCCCTCTGCTATCTCCAGCTTATAGATATTCAAGAAATGCTTGTTGAATGAACACATGAGGCTGGGGCTGAACTGGGTCATGCAGGAGCTGGGCTCTGAGATCTGTGTGATCACAGCTCACATTCCCATCATGTGTGGTGCCTGAAGGGCCCTCCGAGACCAGAGTGGCCAGGATAGCTGACTTCCTGGGATGGGTGGCAGGTACAAGGGCTTAGAAGGTTCTGGAAAGGCTGAGGGGATGGTGGTGGGAGAGCATTTTAGGTGTACCAGGCAGTTGAAACAACATGGATAAAGGTCTGGTGCTCTGTGAGCTCTGGGAATGCAGGACTGTTGTACACCTTATCAATCCTTGATGTTTGGCTCAGCACCTGGCACATAGTGGCTGCTTATTAAATAATTACTAAATAAAGCAATGAATGGAAAGAAGAAAAGCAGCAAGGGGGTAGAGGAAAGATAGGCCAGGTGGTCAGATGAATCAAATTCTGGAGAACTTAATTAATGGAGCAGGAGGAAATCAAAAGACCAATAAATTAGGTTCAACCATATCTAATATGTAGATCCTTTTGACTGCTACAAATGGCAATTTTCTGTGACTCAGTGGAATCCAAAATTCTCAGTCTCATTTATCATAGGGAAATACAAACCAAAATCCTGATGAGATTCCAGACCCACCAGGTTGGCTAAGTGAAAGAACCAATAGCACCAAGCGCTGGCAAGACTGTGGAGCAGTGAAGGCCTTGTATGTTGCTGGTGCGTGTCACTGTATCACTCGGTAAACATTCTGGCTGCAAATTTGGGGCTGACCATATGCAAATTCTATGATCCAGCAACTCAATTTCTGGTTTTATACCCTGGAGAGAGTCAAGCCCAGGGACCCCCACGTCAGGAGTAGGGGGTATAGTGACAGCATTCTAAACTGCAGACAATCCAAATACATGTCAACTGGAAGACGGATAAACAAATAATGCCATAGAGTGGAATATCACACAGCAATGGAAAGGAATGACTGTTGCCACCCAAGAAAATAAGAACTCATCTCAAGGTTGAGTGACAGAGGAGACGCACAGAATTATTCCATCTGTTCAGTGTTAGAAGTGGGAAGAAATAAATTCTAGTGTTTAAGGACGCATGCGTAGCTGGGAACATTAGAGGAACTAAGAAACGTTCTTTCCGGAAGTGAGGGTTGGGATACCTCTAGGGCAGGGTTTTTAAATGCTATTGACAGTTGGGGTCAGATTATTCTGTGGTGGGGCTGCCCTATGTACTGCATGGTGATGAACAGTGTCCCTGACCCCTACCCTCTTGATGCTAGTAGCAACACCCTGCCTGCTCCAGCTCATGATACCTGAACGTGTCTGCAGACCTTGTTCCCGCTTGTGAACCCAGCTTCACAGGGAGGGAGGAATCGAAGAGGGGCCTGTGGTTGAGGTCTGTTTTGTTCTATTAATACTTCTTGCCTTGGGTGGTGCTTATATGGGTGTGTGCACTTTACAATCCTTGATAAATGAATGGATTGTATGTGTTCTGTTCATTTTTCTGAGGCCTGTTCCAGACCAGCTAATGAACAGAACTTGTGAGGGGTCCCAGGGTGTCAGCTGCCAACAAGGGGCCACCATGCACTCGAAAAGGGAGGGCTTTCAAACTGTTTTTTGGCTGTGGGATCTTAGCTCTCCAGGGATCAAACCCACACCCCCTGCAATGGAAGTGTGCGGTCTTATCCCCTGGACCATCAGGGAAGCCCGGAAGAGGGAGGGCTTTGGGGAGAGATGCTTCAACTGGGAGAAGGAGTGATGGGGCGGGGTAGGGGAGCCAGAGCTTTGCAAATGTTCCACAGGGGGCTGCTCCTAGACCTGTCAGGGTTCTCTACACCCCCAGGAGCTCAGGGGTTCCCCTGGATCCCCCCATGCCCGTCCTCTCCCTGCCAGAGATGAAGCCTGCTCCAGTCTCCTAGAGTCAACAGAGGGTTTGCTGACCTCTCTCGGGATGCCCCCTCCCCGAGCCTGGGCTCCCTGGGTCCTGGGGGGTGGGGAAGCGGGCAGCAGGAGATAACAGAGTGCAGCCTCAGCCCTGCCCTGGTACCAGGTTCCTCTGGGAGCCTTGTTCTAATTATTTCCTTCCATCTCCCCTATCAGGTCCCCAAGGGGCTTGCCAGGCCTGCGAAGGCAGGGAAAGTGCAAAGTAAGCTGCAGACAGGCTTGATTTATGGGACTTGCCAGCCTCGCCAAGGCTCCTAACCTACTTAGCGAGGGCGGCAGGCCTGGCTCCCAGTGGAAAATGATTCCTATGTGTGGGGGGTGATGGGGGTAGAGAAGGGAGCTGGGAAGATGGTACAGCCATCAGTCCAGCCTCTGTCACTTCCTGGCCTGCTAGTGCCTTGGTTTCTCCTCTCAACCCCACTCATTTTTGCTCGGCAGGACTCAAGCGGGGACATGCACACACTAAGTGCTTGGTAAACGGAGACAGTTGAGGGAAGCGTTGGGAGATCTAGGGCGGGCAGAATTGGAATTCTGCTGTGTGGCCCCAGACAGGTCACTTAACCTCTCTGAGCCTCAGTTTCTTCATCTGTCCAATGGGAATTACCCCTAGCATCTGGGGTTGTGCCTGAAACACGGCAAGTGCTCAGTGGACAGGGGCTATTAGCAGACCCTGGGTCCCCAAAAGGAGAGTTTTTTTTAGCTCTCTTAGCCCTCTAAACGGAGAATGCAATGGCAACCCACTCCAGTACTCTTGCCTGGAAAATCCCATGGATGGAGGAGCCTGGTAGGCTGCAGTCCACAGGGTCGTATCCAACTGAGCGACTTCATTTTCACGTATTGGAGAAGGAAATGGCAACTTACTCCAGTGTTCTTGTCTGGAGAATCCCAGGGATGGCGGAGCCTGGTGGGCTGCCGTCTATGGGGTCGCACAGAGTCGGACACGACTGAAGCGACTTAGCAGCAGCAGCAGCAGCCCTCTGAAATCTCAAAGTTTAGGCTGTGCCTAACTAAAAGTTTAGTTTGTGACTGAGTCAAAGGGCTTCCCTGGTGGCTCAGATGGTAAAGAATCTGTCTGCAATGCAGGAAACCTGGATTCGATCGATGCCTGGTTCAGGAAGATCCCTGGAGAAGGGACTGGCAACCCAGTCCAGTATTCTTGCCTGGGAGAATCCCATGAACAGAGGAACCTGGCAGGTTACAGTCCATGGGGTTGCAAAGAGTTGGACACCTCTGAGAGACTAACACTTTCACTTTTCTGAGTCAAAACAATCCTTTCTTTCAAAACTTCAAGTCAGAATGAAAAACTCTGTTTGGTGAGACCTGGCTGCACAGGGGATCCTGCTGGAGCACCCTCTGCCTTCAGACTCCCCCACATTCCATGCAGAGCGTGTGCCCTTCCACATCCTGCCAGCGTCACTCTCCTCATCGGAGATTCCAGCAATTTTCAGCCCCAGCCACTCTTGTGCCGTGTCTTCCCCACCAGGCACACAGAACCACTGTCTCAAGGAACACCCTTCATCAGGACCAGAATCAGAGCCTCCCCTCCCAACCAGTGGCCACGGGGGCTGTGCCCAGGGGTGACCCTAACATTCCTTCCACCCCAGCTATCAGCTTTTTACGAGGCAGGAGAAAGTGACGGAGGAGCTGGGCTGGGAAGGAGCCTCCTGGGTGAGACTTACGTTGTTTCGTGGTGCGTTGGGCTGAACAGGATCCTCAGCCGCCAGGGCGATGCTGCTCATGGCGATGACCATGAGGATGCACATCTCAAAGTAGCGCAGGTTCAGGATGTAGTGGCACAGGCGGCGAAGGCTGTTGAGGACAGGCAGACATGCAGAGGTCCACTCAGACAACAGGCTCTTGAGCCCTTTCGTTCTGCCATCTCCTTATATCACTTACCACTGCCTGAGATCTCTAACTCCCACCACATCCAACAGAGTATCAAGCTCCTACCCCTGGGGGCCCTCTTGGGGCAGGGGAGCCCTCCGCAGAGGAAGATAATTCCCATCTCTGTTTATAAGCTGCTGTCACTTCCAAACCACCCTCCTGGAACATCTTAACTCACAGACGGAGTTGAAATACTGTCCTTGAATCTGTAGGAGATGAAAAAGCTTTTTATGCATAAGATGTCATATAGTCAAACCAAACTGGGAAATTCTGGGTTAAGTAGATTTCTTTTTTTTTTTTTAATGAGCTGAGTGACCTTAGGCAAGTTACTGTACCTCAGAGTCCTCATCAGTGAAATGACCATAATAATAGTGTCTAAATAATAAGAATGTGAGGATCAAAAGAGTTAATATATGCGTGGTACATGGTAGGGGCTCCAAAAAGTGAGTTACTTAAATTATGAATTGCAGGCCTTATCAGTGCCTTTAACACACTAATGAGACAATAATGAGATAATTAACTTAAGTGGACTAATAATGATAAAAAATATCATGAGATTGTATGAATGGCGGCAGGGCTGAGTGGCTAAGAATAGGGATGTTGGATTCAGTCTGTCTGGGCTCTCCCACTCGCTTGCTGTTTGATTTTACCTCTCTGGACCTCAGTTTCTTCATCTGTCAAATGGGGATAAGCAGAGTACCAACCCCTATAGGGTTATTGTGTGAAAGTTTTTTTATTTGTAAAGCATTCAGAACCGTGCCTGGTGCTGAGTGCCACGTAAGAATTTATTTATTAAAATAGAGAATGGCAACCAAATAAAAAAGTAAACACACAGGCTGAGTCTCCGAGAGGCAGGTTAGAGAAAGCCATTTCCTCTGCGGCTTATTTGACGTGATTCTTCTTGGTGTCAAGAAGCATTTTGAGGGACAAGAGTTTCAAGAAACACCCTTTGGAAAAACGCTATTCTAAAACAACCTTTGAGCCAGCAAGACATAGATGGGGTAAATTTCTCCCCTAAATAACCTGGCCTTCTCAAGGCCCTCCCAAGACAAAGGGCCATGGAACTCAAAGACCATCTACCCAGAACCCAAACCCTCATGGAGCAGAAGTTGGGAGCAGAACTCAGGAAACAGGGTTGTCATGTACAGTTGTAAATGCCGTGCACTGCACAAGGCAGCCATTTCTACAGGACACCTCTCACAGCACAGTGTAGATTTGGGTATTTATGATAATGGTTTTCTAGCTGATGGCAGGAGGGGGTCTTTTCCAACAAAGCAGTTGGAATCAGTTTTTTGAAATAAGTACTTTGTGATAAGTTTCTATCTTATACAACTTAAGAAAGGGACATCATTTTTTAACTGCCCAAAAGTTCTCTGTGGACTAATGATGGTCTTAGAGGCGACTCCCCCCCATTACCCTCTGTCTGGGTCTGCCCGCTGGCCTGACTTCCACTGTCCCAGTGAGAGCCCTGGGCGCCCTGCCCTGGCCACGGGCCATACTCACGGGTTGGTCGTAGAGAGGATGAACATGGAGCTGTAGGGGGGCATGGGCTTGGGGCCGTCTTCCCCGGGGCCGTCTTCCTCCTCCTCTTTCTTCTCTTCCTCCTTTTTTGGCAGTGGGTCTGGGTTGGCGTTTTTGTTCACTGTTGGGACAAGAACCAACACAGGGCTCCCTCCATGGTTTCCCACCTCTGATCTCCTGCCTAATTCCCAAAGCAGGCAATAAGCAGCTGACACAAAGTGTCTACTATGTGCCAGGCACCATATTATGCCATTGAATCCTCGCCTGACCCTATGAGGACCCTATAAAGTTGGTACTTTATGATCCCCACTTTACAGATGAGGAAACTGAGGCACAGAGAGGTGAAGAGACTTGCCTAAGGTCACACGGCTGGGATGTGGCAAAGCTGTAAGTTGAACCTGGGCAGCCTGGCCCCAGAGGGCTTGCTCTCAATCACTCTACAGCCTTGAGTCTGCTGTGATCTTTACTGGATATGAATACAGACCTGTCCTCAGTCCCTGATGACCTTCATACTATCACTTGGAGGCAGGCAGGGTGAGTCCCCAAAGCCCCACTTTACAGATGGGAATACTGAGTCCCTCCCATAGTCAAAATGCAGGATTTCCCCCATTAACAACCCTCTCCTGACTGAGGCAAGGCACCACCCTCCTGGGCATTGATCCTGCAGCCTAGTTGCAGTATGGGTCTATGGATAAGCTGAGCCTTACTGAACCTCAGTTTTTTCATCTGTGAAATGGGAACAATGACAAAATTTTACCTTATATGACTGTGGCAAGGATTTACAGGGTAATCTTATGGACAGCTCTTGCATAGAACTGGGCTACTGCTATCATCTTAAAAATAATAAACCCAGGGGATAATTTCCAAATTTCCAGTGTTTCTCGGATCATGATATTACATGTGGGAGGTTTTGGGAAGAGGCAAAAATAGCCAATTCCTCAAGGTCCTAGACCTGCACTGTCCGGCATTTAAAACATGGCTAATCCAAACTGCGGTGTGCAGTGTGAAACATGCTAGATTCTCAAGACCAAGTAGGAGAAAAAGAATGTAAATATATGTAATAATAATTTAAAAAGCATTGATGACACACGGGAATGTTAACATTTGGGATATAAATCAGTAGCATTTGGGTTAAATACAATTTATTATTAAAATTCAGTTCATGTGTTTCTTTTTATTTTTTAAACTTTTTGGTCACACCCTGAGGCATGTGGAACCTCAGTTCCCTGACCAGGGATGGAACCCCTGCCTCCTGCATTGGAAGGCAGGGTCTTAACTGCTGGACTGGCAGGGAAGTCCCTCTTTTTATGTTTTAAATCACTTCTGCCTTTCTTCCTTCTTCCCCCCCACTTCTTCTCTTTTCCTCCCTTCTCTTTTTTAACATGGCTACTAGAAAGTTTAAAATGACACAGGTGAAAAAGAAAAAAATTACACAGGTGGCCTGCATCACATTTCTTTTGGATGGCGCCGGCCTAGAGAATTATCTCATTCCCCCCAAATTTCCATCACAGGAATGTGCTGACCCCTCAGATATGGGGGCTTCCTGGCTCCCCTGTGGGAATCTGGGATGCAGGAAAATTTGCTAACCTGTTGAATACTTGCCAGGCATCATATCATTTAATTCTCCTAGCAGCTCCTGTGGGGGCAGGAACTACATCTCTACCCATTTTCCAGAGGAAGCAATTGAGGCCAGAGAGGTGGAGTCGCTGTGTGGAGCTCCTTAGCTGCGCCTCTGGGGAGGAAGCCCAGGAGGCCGGATCCCCGGCCCAGGGGTGTGTGAGACTGGGGCTCGTACCTTGGACGACGGTGTGGTTGAGTGGGGGTGGGCAGGCCGGGGGGATGTCCACCGTGGTGTGGTCAGGTTTCCTGGCAGTCTTAGCTGAGTTGGCCTGGGTGCTGCTGGGGTTGGTGACGATAAGGCTGTTCTCAGGGGTCTTGGGGGGGCCGGGGTTGGACGGGTTCCCCGGGTTGTTGGCTGTCCGGCGGCTGACGGCATTCTGAGGGTTGGTGACTGCGGTGGTGGGGGCCGGTGTGGGGCCAGGGTCCGTGCTGTTCCCCATCTTGGCCGGGCTCTGGGGCAGGCCGGCGTGGCTGAGGCTGTCGTGGGGACTGGCTGACTCTGCGGTGGCCAGTTTGTTGTTCTTCATGTTGTCAATATCCTCGGCCAGTGGGGGGTCTTGGCGGCCCAGGTCCTGCTGGATCGGCCGCGTGGTCGACAGGTTGGGGCCCGACACGGGGACCCCGGAGCCCTGGTTCTCTCTGCAGCAGGCAGGCCGACAAAAAAGAACCCGTGAGTGACTTAGAACATACAGGGGACATGTCTGGATCCTGCCTAAGATTCCACCATGTAACACTGGCTGTTGAGGGGCTGTGTTCTGAAATTCTCCTGTGCCCAGTCCATTCTTGTTAGGGATCAAGATGCCATGAGGAGGGGACATCCCTGGTGGTCCAGTGGTTAAGGCTCTGCACTTCCAATGCAGGGGATGCGAGTTTAATCCTCGGTTGGGGAACTAAGATCTCACATGTCATGAGGTGCAGTCAAAAGATTAAAAAAACCCAAAAAACCCCATGGGAATGTAAGTGCCCACCCTTGCAGGTTTCAGTGTGGGGTTTCTCCTGCCAGAAGGGCTGCTTCCTAGGAGATGAGGCTACTCCTTCATGGAGAAATCAGAGCGGAAAAGAACTTTCTGCCAGTGCCTACATCTCTCCAACCCAAACCCTCCTGCTCCTGTGTGTGTGTCTCCCATTAGCTCCTTGGCAGGATAAGGACACACACTGCTTCCAGGGGTGGCTAAAGCAGACCCACAGACATCACCTCTTTAGTGGTGGAAATGCCTACAGCTTTTTTTTTTGGCCCCATCACATGGCATATGGGATCTTAGTTCTCTGACCAGGGATCACACCCGCAAGCCCTACAGTGGAAGTGCTGCCTTAACCACTGGACCACCAGGGGAGTCCCTCCCTCTGGCTCTTCTGAAAGGCAACCCCCAATTCTGTACCCCATGCGCTCCATGGCTCCTCCTAAGAGCTCACACTCACTTAGTGCTTGCTGTGTGCCTGACATGACACATGTCAGCTCATCTTCAAGAAAAACCACAGGGAGCAGGTGGTATTGTTATCCCCATTTTAAGATGAGGAAACCAAGGCCCAGAGACAGGAAGGGCCCTGCCCCAGGCTACACAGTTAGTTGGTGGCAGACGCAGCTTGGACCCAGACTACATGGCTCCCGAAGCCATGCTAACCCTAACCTGACACTGCAGCTCTCTTACTAAACAGTCTGAGATCTCCCAGGGGGTTCAGCCCACAGTTGCCGGATGCAGGGAGATCTTTGACACACTCTCTGTAACCACCAAGAGAGTGGGCCACCCTCTCTTCCATTTCAACTCATTAACTTCTGCAGCAAGCTTATGAGGCCCAAATGGTTACTGTGTCCATTACAGAGATGAGGAAACTGAGGCCCAAAGAAGCTGAGTCAGGTATACTAGAAAACGGTTTTGTCAGGCTATCTCCATCACACACTCACTCAAGAGACGAAAAGCGAGCAAAAGACAGCCCTCAGATTGTATCCGTTCATGGAACACCTGGGAGATTAGATGCAATCACAGGAACCAAGGCCCCTGGACAACATGGGTTTGGTTCGCAAGGCCCTATCTGGAACCCTGAATCTATCTAACACTTAAACAATTAAAAAAAGTCGGCCTCTGTAAATCAACTATACTTCAATAAAAAATAAAGCAATTATCCTCCATTTAAAAATTTAAAAATTCATAAAAAAAAGCTGACGTCTCCCAGAGGTCTTTCCACTGGCTAAACCACCAGTACCATATTCCTTGTTTTAATTTTAGATTTTAACTTGCAAAAGTCCATGTGTGTTTTTAACCAAGCAGAAGAAAGATGAGGTAATTTACTTTGGGGTTTGTGTCTCTGAGGCCTCACAGGGAGAAGGACAGGCCCAGGCAAATTCCTCACTTGCAGGTGCTAGACTGACACTTCAGAAGGCTGACTGATTTGGCTTTGAGTCTCACCAAGGCCATTTTACTAGCTGTGTGACCCTCTGTAGCTTGAGTAACCTCTCTGAGCCTCAGTTTCCTCATCTTTTTTTTATACTTTAATTTTTGTCTGTGCTGGGTCTTTGTTGCTGCGGGCAGGCTTTCTCTGGCTGCAGCGAGTGGAGGCTACTCTTTAGTTGTGATGTGCAGGCTTCTCATTGCAGTGCTGACTTCTCTTGTTGTGGAGCGCAGGCTATGGAGAGTTCGGGTTCAGTAGTCATGGCACACGGGCTTAGTTGCTCCGTGGCATGTGGGATCTTCCAGGACCACGGATTGAACCCGTGTCCCCTGCATTGGCAGGCGGATTCTTAACCACTGGGGAATTTCCCCGGACCACCAGCGAAGTTCCTCGTACCCATCTTCTGGACAAAGGGTCTTTGCAGATGTAATTAAGGATCTTGCGATCATCAGGGATGAGGGTGAACCCTAAATCTAATGGCAAGCATCCTTAGAAGACAAGGGGAGAAACACACAGAGAGGAGAGGACAGCGTGAAGATGAAGTCAGAGACTGGAGTGATCCTTCTATCAGCCGAGGGATCGCAAACACCGCAAACACCGAGGACTGCCAGCCGCCCTGGGAAACTGACGCTGATCCCTGGACACTGAGTATCAGCTCTGATGGTGTGGATTAAATGAAATAAATCTTAAACCAATATTTCCTCAACCTCTTCCACAGCCCACAAAGAGGCTGCTAATGCTAATCCCCTCCTGGTATCTTTTTAGAAGTTGTACATCAGTTGAAAAGCTGGTTGGGGATATTTCCTCATCATTTTATGTATTGTTTTAAGTAGAGATCTACCCAAAAGCGGGCTCAATGAAGTTATCATTTCAAAGAGAATCTGAATCCTTTGGTCACCACCTAGAGAGACTGTACTAAATAACACGGCGGCTGAGACCACAGCGTGCCTTTTGCTAAAGGGACAGCCTCATGCTCGGGACCAAGAGCCCCTTGTTCAGATGAAGGGGGATCTGAGAGTCTTTGTTTTCCCTTTTTTTGTTTCTTCTTTGGCTCTGCTTGCCACGGAGTTTTAACAAGCTCAGCCTAATATCAGTCTCCAGGATGTTTTATTTCCAAGTGTCTCCAAGGAGAACTCAAAAGGGGCAGAAACTTTGAAGTCAGGCCCCTTCCCCCTTCCCTCTTGGGGATCTGCCATCATCTGCCTGGAATAGGCAGCTGATTGCATGACTCCCGCATCCCACTGCCAGCTAATCACTTCAGCATCTGGTTGCTAAGGATTACGGAAAGCTTGCCCCGGGGATGCTCAAGTCCCTAGATCCAGAGGATGGATGGTCCTGCTTCCTTGTGCTCTCCTGTCCTTAGGACGTGTACCTATTAACTCATGGAGTCCCCACGAGAGCCACTGTGAGATGCTGCTATTAGGAGTAGGCTCATTTTACAGATGAGGAAGATGAAGCCCAGAGAGGTAAAGGCCTGGTGTTACCCAGCTGGGAAAAGGCTGGGCTGGACTCTGGTCCTACAGCTCTTAAGCTACAGAGCCATTCAGTGAAGACCACGGGGGCAATGGATGACTTGGGGTGCATGGGATTAAGGTGCTGAGGAGATTGGCCAAAGCAAACTGGGGATACTATAAGAATCAGTATTAAAAGACAGAGCCCCTCCTTTCACCCCATCCCATGAAGGATCAACTGTGAGGCTCAGAAGTCCAGTCTCTCTCTTCTCGCTCCTTTTGGGAAGTAGGTTGTCATGGTGATGGGAGCAGGTGGAACTAGTATGCAAATAGCTGAGATATTAATTCTCGGGTGGTACAGGTCTTGGCAAAATGTCCTCTGGCTCAGCCAAATCAAGCAGGAGGCACTGCCTGGTGATCAGGGAGTGGTGGATGCCCTGCAATCCACAGATTTTTGCAGCAATTCACAGAAAGATCCATTTGCATTTTGGTGGTCCTGGGGTGACACTGGGCTCAGCTGCCTGGTACGAGGAATCGGGGGCCAGCAACTGTTTAATCATACAAAATAGAATATGCCCCACTCACTTTTCACTGGGGTAAGCCAGTTAAAGTTTCAGGGGAGGGGGACATTTAAAGCTGAAGGGTTAGAGATGAAAGTAGAAATGTGGGGGTGGGGTGAAGGCTGGGGCAACAGAAAGAAAACAATTGTACTTATTGTCAATGCTCTAGAGAATCAAAAACAGAGCATGTCTGGGGAAAGACTAAGGAATGAAAAGAGCAGAAATGCATGAGGCAGGACTGTTGGGGTCACTGGCTTTGTCATAATATAGAACTGAAATGCTATGTCCTTGAATAAAATTTTATCTTCGCCACTCTTATTTTTTTGGTCATGCCATGCGGCCTGTGGGATAATATTAGCTAATATCATTGAGACTTTATTCTCTACCACGCATTGTTCTAAATGCTATATGTGGATTTTTTTTTTTTTTGGCTGCACTGCATGGCATGTGGAATCTTAGTTCCCCTGATCAGGGATGGAACCCGTGCCCCCTGTAGTGGAAGCGTGGAGTCAAAACCACTGGACCACCAGGCAAGTCCCTCTTTTTTTTTTTTTCCTTCAAGCAGATGAATGGCTTTTCTTTTCTTTTTTTTTTCTCTTTAAAAGTGCCTGAATCTTTATGAAGTTTTATTTCCAGTGAGCATTAGAACCTTTTTTATCAGCCAAATGAATAACGCCTCTCCTGGCCAGGGCATTTGACACATCTGTTAAGAAAGGAGTGAGCAGAGTCCTCCTGATGTGGATCTGGGGGTAGATGTGGGGAAGTACTTTGGAGAGAAGGGGGAGCAAGGGCCACCTGTGGGGTTCAGGAAAGCTGGGATCTTATCACACTTCTGCTATCGGCCAGTTGCCCTCTTCGGGAACACCCTTCCCTCCCTGGGCCTCAGTTTCCCCATCTGTAAAAAGAGGCAGTTTGAGTGGACAATCTAAAGGCTATGGATTTAAAGTTGGTTTTTATGTCAATTGATGCAAGTGTCTTAATAGTAATGACAATATAACAATAGAAAGAGCTAAAAGTTATTGAATGCTTATTACTAGTGCTACTACTAAAAACAGTTAACATTTGAGTATTGAATAATCATATTCATACTAATAAGAGCTAATATTTCCTGAACACGGATTATAAGCCAGGCACTATTTAAAGTGTTTTACAAGTATTAACTCATTTGAACTTTATATCTACACTAGGAGGTAGGTACCATTTTAAAAATATAATTTGTTTATTCCACAAGGCATGTGGAATCTCAGTTCCCTGACCAGAGATTGAACTCTCACCCCCTGCAGTGGAAGCACAGAGTCTTAACCACTGGACCACCAGGGAAGTCCCAGTGAATACCATTCTTATCCCCATTTTACAGATGAGGAAATGGAGGCCCAGAGAGGGGAAGTAACATGCTGAAAGTCACACAGCTAGCAAGCAATGGGGCAAGAGTGTGACCTCTTGGCTCCAGGGCCCTTGCCCTTCACCACCAGACTGTGTTGCCTTTCTATCCTTGTCATTCTGCCTCCTTCAATGATAGGAGGAGGTATAAATATAAGGATGATAACAACAGGAATATTAGTCATATTAATAGCACCAGTGATCCATTGGTTCTTAATTATGGTGTGTATGTGCTCAGTCGTGTCTGACTCTTTGTGACCTCATGGACTATGGCCTGCCAGGCTCCTCTGTCCATGGAATTTTCTGGGCAAAAATACTGGACAGGTTGCCACTTCCTTCTCCAGGTCTTAGTCATGGAGTCCTGTGCTAGACTTTATTCCACCTAAATCCCCCTCAGGGGCCTCCCCTTTCCCAGGGAGGTCTCAAGACTCTACTGACCTATTATTGTCCCTTCAATTTCTTCCACTCTTTCCTTACCTTCCAAACTGCAAACTTGCCTCCTTCTCTTCTATCTTGGGGACTTTGCATATATTGTCCTTAGCCTAGAACACTATTCCCTTCTGGGAAACAATGGATTTTCAGAGGGCTGTTGTGGAGCTATGTGGCGAACTAACACCATAATAATTAGGGGGCACTGTGAGCATTTAGGAAATGGGAGGCAGGTGTATAAACATTTTACCATGTGCAAGGCGGTCTCACTGGGGAAGAATTATTCTTTTTCCTTCACGACTTTCTAATGTCCCTCACACAGATGAAAGATCTGCTTGGAATGATCTGAACCTTTAGGTATTTTTAAAATTCATTTGTTTATTTGGCTGCCAGATCTCAGTTGAGGCACATGGGATCTTTAGTTGTGGTATGCGAACTCTCAGTTGCAGCATGTGGGGTCTAGTTCCCCTACAAGGGAGCAAACCCAGGCCCCCTGCATTGGGAGCACAGAGTCTTAGCCACTGGACCCTGGACCACCAGGAAGTCCTTGAGCATTTAGTTTTAACCTAAGTCTGTTTTACAGATCAGCATAAAGTGTTTGTGTTTTTTTTTTTGCCACACTGTGTGGCATGGGGGGATCTTAGTTCCCTGACCAGGGATGGAACCTCTTCCCCCTGCAGTGGAAACTCGGGTTCTCAATCACTGAACTGCCAGGGAAGTCCTGCTGCATGTTTTAAATACTCATTGCATCTTCCTGGAATGCAAGTATTAAACAAACTGAAGGAAGAGTAGACTAAGTCACATGGACCTTCACCATTTTGGAACATCTCAACACTCATGGTAACTCCCTCGTGTCATCTGAATTGTTGGCACCCTGAGGCAGCTGACGTTTGCACCTATCGCATTCATGGTGATTCTGTGCATAGGTGCCTGCATCAGAACTGCTTCACTCTGGGGAACTTCCTGGGCAGTCCAGTGGTTAAGAATCCACCTCCTAATGCAGGGGATGTGGGTTCCATCTCTGGTTGAGGAACTAAGATCCCACGTGCCACGGGGCAAGTAAGCCGGTGCATGGCAACTACTGAACCCGAGCACTCTGGAGCCCGTGTGCCACAACTAGAGAGAAGCCAGCTAACGGCAACAGAATGTTCCCCTCCACCATCACCCCTGCCCTGACCACAGCCAAATAAATAAAAGGTGGTGGTTTAGTCACAAAGTTGAGTCTGATTGTTTGGGAACCCATGAACTGTAGTCCACCAGGCTCCTCTGTCCATGGGATTTCCCAGGCAAGAACACTGGAGTGGGTTGCCATTTCCTTCTCCAGGGGATCTTCTCCATCTAGGAATCAAACCTGGGTCTCCTGCACTGCAGGCAGATTCTTCACCAACCAAGCCACCAGGGAAGCCCAAATAAATAAATATGAAAACAAGAAAAAGAATTGCTTCATTCAGTTCTCTAGTCTCATTATTCAAAGTGTGGTCCCCCAACCAGCACTGACTCCTTAGAAATGCAGAATCTCAGGCTGAATCTGAGACCTACTTATTTAGAATCTGTATTTTCACGAGATCCCTGGGGATTCTTGTACACATTTAATTTTGAGAAGTACTGGCTTAGTATATATGGAGTATAACAGAAGCATTTAAACACATTATTAAAAACCAATATGGTGCTGACATATGTAAATTAAATCATTATGCCATATTCCTTACACTTATACCATTAAAGTGAAAGTGTCAGTGAATTCTCCAGGCAAGAATACTGGAGTGGGTTGCCATTCCCTTCTCCAGGGGAATCTTCCTGACCCAGGGATAGAACTTGGGTCTCCCACATTGCAGGCAGATTCTTTACCATCTGAGCCACCAGGGAAACCCAACACTTAAACCATGCTGCCTGACAATTATATCTCAATAAAACTTGAGAAAAAGAAGAATACCTAATGTCGAAAAAATAAAACATAAAAACTTAGAAAAACTTTTTTTCTTTTTAAAAAAGAAAAGAAATAACCGAGATGATGTCCTAGTGGCAGGTGATAGAAAAGAAGAGGATGCTAATTAATAAAAGATCATTGGCTGTTTCAACATTTAAGTTTTTGGGTTCCTCAATGTACAATCACTGTAGGATCTTCTAGGTAGTGTTATGGAACATTGTTATAAAAAAAAAAAAGGCTGTCATTTCTGATTGGGTGAGGTTCTGGCTTGGGAGATGCCTCCAAAAGCCTTGAACCTTGCTCTTCCTTCAATTCTGACCCAGAGTGCCTTTTCAACAACCGTTTCCCGCCACCCCAGCAGAATAATTTAAGGTGGAAAAATGATTGACTCAGTAACAGCTAAAAGGATCTAAATTTCCCAAGCACTTAGTAAGTGTGGGTTGCTTTCAGGCCCTTTGCATCGACTACATCATTTGATTCCCGCGATGACTCAATTAGATACCACTATCTCCATTTTACAGATTGAGAAAACTGACGCCCAGAGACGTGGAGTCCCTTGGCAAGGGACACAGCAAGCATATGGAAGACCCATACCATTCTGGAGGAAAGTTTTTGTAGTTTCCCTGATACAAGGGCGGGACAGTTTGCAGCTTCTGGTGCCAGATGACCTGGGTTCAAGGCCACTTATTAGATGTGTGACTTTGGGCAAGTCAGCTCTGTCAGTTTCCCCATCTGTGAAATGGGCTATGGCAATGCCATCTATCTTCGCGGGTCGGCGAGAAGCTGAAATGAGGGGCTCAGGAGAGTGTCAGATAGCTAGCAGACACGCCTTGGTTTTCACCGCTTCCACTTACTTCCTCCTGCGATGCCTGCGCTCCTTGTCCTCCCGGCGCATGTCCGCGTCGTATGCGGGGGGAGGGCCATGCCGGTGCCGCCGCCTGCGCTCGCCGCCGCCGTCTGGGCCCTCGCTCTCGCCCTCGCCGCCCCGGGCCGGCCGGCTGCCCTCGCGGTGCCGGGACCTCCGATCGGCCTTGTCCTCCGGGCCCTCGTCGCCGGGCCTGCGGTGCGCCCGGTGCCGGCGGGGCTCTCCGTCGGCCCCGGTGCGCGGGGACCCGCTGCGGCTCTCGCGGCTGCCCGCCTGCCGGTGCGCGTGCCTCCGGTGCGGGTCGCCCGCCTTGCCCCGCTCCGCCTCGCCCTCCCAGAACCCCGGCTGCTCCAGGCCGCCCTCCCGGGCGTGGTGGTCCGACTCGCGGCCGTAAGGCCCCTCCCGGCTCAGCTCGGCCTCCTGGCTACCCGCCCAGGGCCTCCGGGTGTCCAGGCCCGCGGAGCTGCTGGGGTCCCGGGCCCGGTCGTGGTAGCGGGCCTGTTTCCTGAGGAAGTCCTCGGCTCGCTGCTGCCCGAGGCGCTGGTCCACCGTGGGCTCGGCCGCCCGGCTCTTGTTGGTGTTGTTGTTACGGTTCTCCTGGGGGTCGACCACCAGCGGCCGGTCCAGGTGAGTCTTCATGTCGGGCCGCAGGTGGCGGGCGTAGGCTGCCTTCCAGCGCTCGTCCGGGTCCATCTCGTTGTAGAGCGCCTCCCGGCTGGCCAGAAGGTTCTGCTTCCTCATCTCGCTTGTCCGCTGCTCCCACACCGACTTGGCGGGCTTCTGGTTCTTCTGCTGCTCCTTCCTGAAAGGAAATCGCGCCGGGGTTATGGAACTGCTGGGCGTCGCGGCCTGCAAGGACCACTCAGGCTAACAGAAGTGTGGGCCCAGGTGGACATCTCAGCTCAGTAGGTATTTCCAAGTGGGCATTTTCACCCAGATACCTATCTCAGCCCAGTGGGCATCTTGACCCAGGTAGGCAGGCCCAGACAGACATCTTGACCTAAGTGGGCATCTCTGCCCAGGTGGGTGTAACGGCCCAGTGGGCATCTCCACCTATGTCGGTACCTTGGCTCAGAAAGGCATGTTGACCTGGGTGGGGGGGGGGGGGGTGGCCTCTTGGCCCGGGTGGGATATCTTGACTTGGCTGGGTATCTCCACCCAACTAGGTGTTTTAAGGTGTGTGGACAACTCAACCTGGCTGGTCATCTCAGCCTTACAGGAGTCTTAGCCCAGGTGGGCATCTTGGTCCAGTAAGGTATCCTGGCCTGGCTGGGCATTTCGTCTAATGGGGGTCTCAGTCAGGTGTATGTTCATCGACTGACCTCTCTATTCCTCTTCAAGTTGTAGTACATGGCCCCTGGGGGTGGTCCTGATGTTCAGAATACTTTTAACCTCTGAGACAGCCAAAGCCTGACTTGCAGCAGGTTCTGGAAGCACTCGCATAGGCACTTGGGAGTCTTGAGACAGTGCCTGTCTATGCAGTGGTGAAAAACACCAGTGGGATTGTTGCTGGGGGTGCCAACTGAAGCCGTCAAACATTCAGATTTTTCCAGGCATTCTGTGTGTATCTATATTTGTATACAGACCATCAGCTCCTATGGGCTTCCGTGTCTGAGCATGTATCTCCCTGTGTTCCCCTTTCACAGCCACCTCCTCGCATTCTGGGAAAGCAAGCCCCCTCTACATTGTCCCGTGAGGCACTGCCCCACAGTGTTGCAAAGTTCCGGGACTACCCAATAAAGGCACGATTCAGAATATTGGTGTATCAGTGTTAATGAACCTTTCTTTAATCAAAACACCTTAGCTCTCACCACCTTACGACCTCTGATCCACCAGCAAATTCTGTTCATGCTTACCTTCACGATCTGTCTAAAGTTCAGCTATACCCATCACCGCTCTGGCACCACCCCAGTCCATTCCTTACTATCTCTTTTGCAGGGAACAATGCAGTCCTTTTCAACCTAGTCTCCTGCCCTTGCTCCCCTGATAGCACCTAGAGGGCACCTGAGTCCCTATTCCCCCTTGAGAACTGTCCATGTGTCTCCCCTGGCTCAGAACAAAACTCTCAGTCTTTCCCATTGCCCAAAAGGCCCTCCACGATCTGTTCATCACCTTTCTGCCCATACCTCCTGCCGCTTCCCCACCCCCACTCACTTTAGTTACATGGGCTTCTTTCATGTACCCTAACCACACTTGCACGTTCCTGCCTCAGGGCCTTTGTACATGCTGTTCCCACTGCCTGAGATGAGCTCCTCCCTCACCTTCTTCAGGCTTTGTCACCTTCGGGCTTTTGACCGTCCTTGACAATTTCACTTAAATCATAACACTCACCACTCCCAGCCCTCCCTATACACCTCAACCTCTTGTTAATGCTGTATTTCCAGCAACAGTGTCTGGCACATAGTATGTGCTTATTAACTTATTTCTTGACTGAAAGTGGGCGGGAGGGCAGAAGTACTTTTTCCTAAGGCTCAACCCAGTCAGGGACTGCTCCCTGCCCCCAAATCCTTGACTGGGAGGGTGCAGAGGCTGAGGAGCCCAGAGAGCATCTCAGAGCTGGTGGCACTTACACAGCTATGGACATGTTGGCTGCAGACAGAGGACTCACTTCTGCCACCTCTTTGGCTTTCTGGAGGGCGAGTTTCTGGTTGGCAGCCTCCTCTTCTTCTTGTTCATCCTAAAAGGCACACAGGATCCCTGCTCACAAACTATGAACTGGGCCTTAGGGCCTCATCTCTGACCCTACTGTTAACCAGGGGCATCATTTGAGATCTTTACAAACAGGTCTGGCTTGGGTGTCAACCAATCAGAGCTGAGGCCCCCTAATCAGAATGTATACTCATTGGTTAAGTGTACTGCTATCTCCTTCATGTCCAGGCTTGATATCCAGCTCATTCTGAACCCTATTTTAACACACGGAAGAAAAGGAAAGGAAAAAGACTGCCTTCCCTTCCCACAATGGAGATTTTTCTGTAACTCTGTCTCAGTGAGCTGGAAATTAGTGCAAAGATTTTCCTATCATTCTACTTCCTGGGTCATTTAAGCTCTCTGAACCAAGACTTTAAATAAAACACCAACAAGCCCCCACGTGCAGAAAAATCTGGCACCCACAGCCCATCCCATGCACTGCCAACAGCCTCCAGAAGGGGAATCAGGAGAGGAACTTAGATTCTCAGCCGGTTAGGTTCAGAGAGGAGGAGGATGGGGGAAGATGTTTTATAAAATACATACAGAAAAAGACGTTTTGGGGCTTTAAATCCTTCTTCAGCCTTCATGCAGGGCCTCATTCGTAAAACAGAAAAGCCAACAAAGAAAAAGCAAAGAAAAAGAAACGAGAAAGAAATGGCCAGAGACAAACCCGCCAATAAGCAAGATCATGCGGTGGCAGGGCGCCTCTCCCGCTGCGCTGGGATCTCTGGGGCAAGAAGCAACCTTACCACCTCGGAAATGGTCAGATCAGGACTCTGTGTTAGTGAGAACACAGGGCTGCACTCGACTGGCCACCCCGCTCTCCCAAGTCCACCCCTCTTCCTGGCATCACATCCAAGCATTTCTCAGAGCCGAGTCCCTGGACCACCTGCCTCGGATACACTGCAAATGCACAAATGCAGATTCCCAGGCCTCCTGAAGACCCTGGCCTGGGCCCCAGCATCTGCGTTTTCAACAAGCTCCCAGGTGAGTCTGAAGCATGCTCAAGTGTAAGCCGCACTGCATGTGGTTAGAAGCACAAGTTCTGGATCCACCTGGGTTCAAATAGCAGCTCCTCCACTTTCTGCTTACCTTGGACGAAGTCTTTCTTTGTACCTCACAATCTTCATCTAAAATTTCAACTCTCCTCAACTTCTCTACTTCATATTTCTCCTTAGCACTTATCACTAGCTGACAAGTTAGGCAGAGATTTGTCTGTTTTATTCCTGGCTATTTCCCTGGCCCCTAGACCAGGCCCTGTTCACAGCAGGTGCTCAATAAATGCTTTTCAATGAATAACAGAATCTGTAAAATGGGGCTCAGAGAATTTGCCTATGAGGTTTTCTGTAGGGCTAAATGAGATAAAAACCTATCTAACAACAAGGTCCTATGATGTAGCACAGAGAACTGTAGTTAATACCTTCTAATAAACTATAATAAAAATATGAAAAATAATGTACGTTTGTAATTGAATCACTTTGCTATACACCAGAAGCTAATACATTATAAATCAAATATACCTCAATCAAAAAAAATTAACCACATCAGGGGCTGAGTGGGGTCCCTGCCACATTTTAAATGCCCAAGAAATGCTTGTGGAATAAATGAAGTAAAGAATGAGGGTCTGGAGGACATTTCACAGGAGATGAGCTTTCCCCCTCCCTTTTCCCACCCTCCTGGGGGTACCCCCTCCCCCACGACAGCCCTTGGAACCTAGATGAGCTCATGGTTGAAATCAGCCCCTGGAACCGTGACGCCCGTCAGCCCCATGGTGGCCAGGACTGTGGCCGTATGCTTGGGGGTGGCAGAGATTTCCGTTTTCCTCCAGTCAGGGCTGGGCCTGGGAAACTCTCTCTCCCTCCTGCCATGGCTGGCAGATGGACGGTTGGCAAAGTCTTCTCAGTTTGGTTCAGTTCCCTGAATACGGCCTGTGTACCTTACGGCATGGGGGATGGGGGTGAAGCTGAGGCGGGCCCCAGGCCTGGCCCCCTGCATGATTCTGCACATGTTCTCTTGATGGGATACGGCTGCAGGTGAAAGACTTAGGCTCGATCCACAACCACCTCCTAACATGACTTTGTTCCAGACATCTTCCCCTCAAACTGCAAAAAGGTGCTCGGCTTCCCTTGTGCAGTGTATTACCTGTTCAACCGTTCCCAGCGGCCCTGCTTATCGGCTATCCCAAGGGCATAAGCTGTGTTCCTGAAAGCAATGTTGACTTCTCTGTGCCTAGCTGAGGTGGACCTGAATCCCAGTGAGTACAGGGCTATCCTAAGGGCATTTGGCATAAGATTTTGCCCAAATAATCCAATACCACTGACCATGAATGAAACCTGGGCTGCTTCTTCACATGGACAGTTCGTACCCCCACACCCCAAATTCCTTTCTGATTTCATTTCCTGTGTTCTGCTCTTTGAGGGACCACACCTCTGCTCTTTCAGTTCCTAGCTATGTGGCAAGGTCCTGGCCTCTCTGGGCCTCAGTTTTCCTATCTGCAAAATGGGGATAACAGTTACTCCCTATCTCTTATGCTTTCTGGTGTCTGGCATACGAGAGGGGCCATCATATTTCCTCTGGTTGTTGTTAATTTTTATTTTGATCATTACCTGCTCAGCTGGGGCTCAAATGAAAGTTGGCAAGATGTGTGGGTAAAGAACTCAGGCTCTGGAACTTGCCAAGTCTGGGTCTGAATCCCAGCCTTCCCTTTCCCAGCTCTCTAAAACGAAGAGCTGTAGCTCCAGATCTCTGGTCATGCAGTGACTTACAAACGCTCCCTTTATTGATCACTCCTGTATGCCCCAAATTATGCTGAGCTCCTGACATGTATAGCATGATGCTGTCATCATCCCCTCTGGGGTCTGTGATTCTGCCTTTCTGAACCTCAGTTCCCTCTTCTGCCAAAGGGAAATAACAGTTACGCCTGGAACCATGAGCATCATGTAATTCTTCACTGCTGCCACTCTGTGGTGAAGTGCAGCCAGTTCCCAAGCTCACGGGGACACACACTGAGCCTCGGAACCTTGTCTGGGTTACTCTCCATCTGTCCCCTCCTTCCGGGTTTAGGGTGGTGACAGTGCCTGCTAGCCTGGAGGCTGCCGCATTCCTTGGAAGTCCCTCGACACTGCCCACTCCCTATAAACGGGCACTCTGGTGGAGTTTGCCATCTGTTTCCTGCAGCAACCCTGCTGCCTTAACCACCCCCCACCTCCGCCCTCCTTTGCTGTAGAAGCCACTTGATCAGGGACAGTCTGTTTTGGGGGTGGGGGAGGAGGTACCTTTCTCCCTGGTGCAGTGCCGCCAGGACAAAGGCTGTGACCCCAGCTCCTCTCCTCCACCCCACCCCACCCCCCGCCTGGCACCGTCCTGATCTGCCATGAGCAGGTGGTAACTTTGCACAGCAACATTCTCCCACCAACTCCACCTTGGTGAGCTCCTGGGCATTGGCCAGATTATCCACCGCGATGGCCAAGAACACGTTCAGGAGGGTGTCTGCAAACGCTGGAGTCAGGGAAAGCATTGCCACACGAACCCTGATATCTGGGACTCCTGAACCCCTCCCCTGTGCTTCCCCTGCTCTCCCTGAGGCCCCGGGCTCATCACCCCCCCAACCCCGCCAGAGGATACAGTTCCCGAAGAGCGTCAGCACGATGAAGTAGATGGAGAACACCATGCCGCCTTGCACGCCCCCCTGAGACTTGATGCCGTCATACATGACCTCGTTCCAGTCTTCGCCCGTCAGGATCTGAAAGGGGAGGGAGAAACACACAGCCAACCCCCCCTCAACCTTGGGCCCCTCAGAGATGCAGTTGTGGAGCCGGAACCTGCCGTGTGGGCCCTTTCTCGGCCCTTGTCTCTGGGTGGGGATGGTCTTGGCTGTTTGTAAGAGGAAAGGGCTGTCCTTGCATGGAGGAGCTCTCAGCCTATCCCAGCAAAAAGTGACCCTGGAAGAGGAGTTTCAGATCTTTCTGGTTTTCTCTGATGTGATAGGGAGATAATGCTATAGGCTGAGTTGTATATGTTGAGGCTCTAAACCCTCGTGTGATGTTATTTGGAGATGGGAGGGAATTAAGATTAGCTGAAGACATGATGGTAGGGCCCTCATGAGGGGATTGTATGCTCAGTCGTGTCCAACTCTTTGTGACCCCACGGACTGCAGCCTGCCAGGTTCCTCTGTCCATGGGACTTTCCAGGCAAGAATACTGGAGTGGGTTGCCATGCCCTTCTCCAGGGGATCTTCCCGGCCCAGGGAGAGAACACAGATCTCCTGCATTGGCAGGCGGGTTCTTTACCACTAGTGCCACAATGAGGGGATTAGTGCCTTTATAAGAAAAGACACCAGAGAACTTGGTCTCTCTCTGCCTCCCTGTCTCCCTCTCTCCCCCTGCTGTGTGTGAGAGAAGTGAGAAGGCGGTCGTCTGCAAGCCAGGAAGAGAGAGTCCTCACCAGGAATCAACCCTGGATGCACCCTGATCTGCCTCCAGCCTTCAGAACTGTGAGATGTAAATTTCTCATGCTATATATCCACTGGTACTTCCGGACTGCTGTATCTGGGGGTGGGGATGGTGGTGGTACAGGTGACCAGAGGAAGCCTCAGGTAAAGAGATGCAAGTGCTGGCAAACAGACATGATGCTAATGTGTTTGGGAAGGGCTAAAGGGATTTGTGTGCAGGATCTACACGGTTGTTAAAAAAATATCCAGCTTCCCTCCTCTGCGTTATTTCCATGAAAGTGAAAAAAAGTGAGAGTGTTAGTTGCTCAGTCAAGTCCAGCGCTCTGCGACCCCATGGACTGGAGCCTGCCAGGCTCCTCTGTCCATGGAATTCTCCAGGCAAGAGTACTGGAGTGGGTTGCCATTCCCTTCTCCAGGGGGATCTTCCTCACCCAGGCATTGAACCTAGGTCTCTACTGCATTGCAGGCAGATTCTTTACCATCTGAGCCACCAGGGAAGCCCCGTTATTTTCATGAGGATAGAGTAAATATGAAAGAACTCCAAAGGTGTTAATCCATTAATGTAGGGTTTTTCAGTCCTGGTGCTGCTGGCATTTGGGAACCTCCTCTTGTCCTGTGCACTGTAGGGTGTTAAGCAGCATCCTTGGCCTCTACCCATTAGATGCCAGTTATACCCCCATGACCCATTTGTGATAACCCAAAAATGTTTCCAGATACTTCCAGGTGTCCCTGGGGGACAAAATCTCTCTTGGGCAACAACCCCTGTGCTGAAGACATATGGGTGGTGATTACTACTATCAATAATCATTTATATAAAGGCTCAGAATTTCATGGATGATTTCCCTTTCCAACCCCCTGTCTACAGGTCTCATTCAGAAGCTCCCCTTCTCCTAGGAGAAGAGAGGAGTGAAGTCACATTTTCCCATAAACTTTCTGTTCCCTAAAGAGACAGAACCCACATGGAACGGCTCTGGAAGTCCCAGCTTGGCCAGTCCTAAATCTTGGGTGCATGTGCCTACATGGGTGCAGAAGTTGATTTGGCGGGACCACCCACGGTCAATCTGTTTGCTTTGGACTATGGAATTGGGGTGTCTTCCAGTCACGGGGAAGATGGTGTATTATCCATGTCTATTATTTTCTATATCCTGATGCTTTGACATATGGGAGGGGTCTTGCTGACCCTGAGGGGAGTAGCTAATTCTTAGAGTTAGCAAACAACTTGCCTGTGAATGTGGTTTAAAAAATGAAAACCAACCAATTCAGAGCCCACACTCCAAACCATCTCCACCACTGTTGGAATTAGCCCAGGGTCAGGTTCCATACAACTCAAGACAGCTCCAGGGTCTGCTGAAATTATTCAAACTAGCCAATCCTAAGCCTGATTAACCTGCCTTACCCATTTCTTCCTGCAGAAGAGCCACAATAAAGGCTCCTGCCCACATTTCCTGTCCCCCTCCTAATGAACCCTGGTGCTTCTCCATAGGGCCCTGCATTCATGGGACTGGGTGAAGGTTGTACCTGAAAAACTGTCATTATTGCTGCTGGAAAAGTGTCGAAGTTGGTAGGAGGAGTCCCTTCATCGAAATTAAACCTGTGGAGAGGGCACAAACATTTCACGTTGGTCCCACCCTAGGTGTGTGAGGGCTTGGTTCAGTATCTTGTTTCCAGGGCAACATCTCCAACGTCTCTGTTTCCCCTAGAAGGACACGCTGAGGGGCACCCAGGGCCCTGCCCATCTGGGGAATGCACTGGGCCTCATCCAGGTCATGAGGAAGGCAGACTGTGATGCAGGTGGGCCTGGGTCTCTGGATCACTGAGCAAGGTAAGGGCTGGACCCCAGGGAAGCAGAAGTCAGAGAAGCTGCTGAGCACTCACTGGCCGCCGAAGAGTTGCATTCCCAGAAGGGCAAAGACGACGATGAACAGGAAAAGGAGGAACAACAGGCTGATGATGGATTTCATGGAGTTGAGAAGAGAGACGACCAGGTTCCTGAGAGATGCCCAGTACCTGCCAAGAGAGGCCAGGGTTGGGGTATGGGGTTCAGGCTGGGGCCAGGGTGGCAGCAGCTGAGCCCATCTTCCCAACATAGGAAGGAGGTGGCCCCACCCTGACCCCCATCCCCACGGTGGGATGCCAGGGAACCCGAAGACTTACTTTGTGACTTTGAAAATACGCAATAACCTGAGGGCTCGTAACACACTGATTCCAAAGGATGTGCCGGGTTTTATGACGGCCCAGATGACCTCAAAGATACTCCCGATGATGACCTAGAACACAGGATCCCGGTCTTGTGTCCATGCTCCTTGCAAATGTGCCCTGGGTCTGGACCTTGCAGGAACCCACTCCAACTCCCCCCGTCAAATAGTGAGAGTCTCACACGCCTCTTATCCCTTCTCTTTTTTAACTTATTAACATGAGTGCAAAGAATTCCTGAAACATATAATTACAAAGTGAATGCCCATGCAATCACCATCTATGTCGAGAAATAGGGCATGTCAGCACCCTGAAAGCCTCTGGGGAACCCTAGACACAGCCATCACCCTAAATTTATAATAACTATTTCCTTGCATTAAAAAATTGAGGTGAAATTCACACAACAGAAAATTAACCAGAATGGTTCATTTAAAATAATGCAGGATTCAGTGCCATTTAGCATGTTCACAGTGTGTAACCATCACCCTTCTCTAGTTTCAAAACATCTCCATCGCCCCCAGAGGAAACCCCAGACATGAGCAGTCACCCCCCAGCCCCCGGCAACCACTAATCTACTTTCTGACTCTGGAGAGTTGCCTGTTCTGGATATAAATGGAATTATGTAATATGTGACCTTTTATATCTGGCTTCTTTGACTTATGTTTTCGAGGTCTTTGCCTTAAAGTATTCAAGGATCCTCTGTTATCCATATAGCTTAGTTGTGTCCGTCTGAAATTTCCTGAGCAGAATCATGCGGTATGGACTAGTCTTGCCACTGTCTGCCTCCTTCTGTGCAATATCGTGTGGCTGATGGGTATGGCTGCTGTTGGCTGCCTCTCGTTGGTGCAGAGAATTGCATTATTTATATACAACTTATTTATCCACCCTACTGCAAAGGGAGATTTGGGTCATTTGGTTTGGGACTAGCGAAGCCACTCAAGGCATTGTTGTATGTGTCTCTTAGGTGTCCGCATAAGTTTCTCTAGAGTGAATCCCCAGAAGTGGATTCGCCAGGTCATCCCTTACTTTCCAAAATGGGTCCGTAAATTTCCCCTCCCACTGGCAGTGGTTCGGGAGGGTTCTGGGAGCTCTGTATCCTCATCAAAGTTGGGGATTATCCTCTGATTCCTTTCGCACTCAGCAGAGTCTGTCATACCCAGGCATGACCCTACTTCTTTCTCTCCTGTGTCCGCAGGTATTAGCCATTCTAAGCACATCAGCTGGGGAATGAACTCCTTAGAAACCAGAGCACTTACCCCACAATCAAAACAGTTGAAGGAAGAGTGGAAGTAAGGCCGCGTCCCAAGCCCGTACATTTTTATAAACATTTCGGACATAAAGAGTCCTAAGAAAATGAATTCTGCATAGTCTAGAAAGGGAGGGGGGGAAACAGAGAGGAGATTAGATTTGTGGAGGGAGCGTCCAGGCGGCTCTGACATTCCTATTAACTGAAATCTTGGCTGGTGGGTTCCTGGGTGCTTACTATGCTTTTTTAAAAATTAACTAAGAAAATTTAAAATTGAAGTATAGTTGTTTCAGGTATGGGCTTCCCAGGTGGCTCAGTGGTAAAGAATCTGCCTGCCAGTATAGGAGATGCGGGTTCGATCCCTGGGTTGGGAAGATTCCCTGGAGAAGGAAATAGCAACCCATTCCAGATTCTTGCCTGGAGAATCCCATGGACAGAGAAGCCTGGGGGGGTGTAGTCCATGGGGTTGCAAAGAGTTGGACATAACTGAGCAACTGTACATGCGCGCTTATTCCAGGTATATAATTGAATCAGCAAACTAATTCAGTTATACATACATATATATGTATATGTGTGTGTGTATAGATATTCTTTTCTATTATAGGTTATTACAAAGTATTGATTATAGTTTCTTATGCTATACAGTAGATCCTCATTGTTTATTTTATACATTTTACTATGTTTTTAAAATGAACAAGCCACTATATTCCAATAAAAATTAATTAAAAAGAAACTAATGAATGAATGAGCTAACTGGCTAGCAACTGACTAACTCAATAAGTAACAAAGTATTATTACTAAGAATTATGTAATAATACATAAGGATTATGACTCAACTGCTTTTATATGCTTGAGCTCCAAAGGAATAATAGAAATATTAATAGAAATTTTTAAGTGTTATATTTGTAATCCTTGTGTGTTAGGGACTTAGTTAGGAGTGCCACAGGCAACCAATCTAAGGTATGGCTTTTCTCCCAACTAGGAAAACTCATTGGATGTTCCCTAGAAATCCTGTTTTGCTAATGTCTAAAAATCTTGATGTAAGACAAAGCCTTTTGTTTTTTGATGAGAATGCATAATGGTGAAAATTTTGCCTTGGGAAGAGGTAACTATGAGTATTTGTTTGCTCCAGCAAAGAAATGGTTAATAGCAATTCCTTTTCTGAGAGGGCTTTCTTGGTGGGGTAGGAAGATGCAGATGCGTGGTCAGGAAGGGCATGAGCAGTCACCTTTCGAAGGGGAAGGAGAGGTAAGGAGAGATTCTGAGAGGCAGAAAGCATATAGAAATCGAAGACAGAGGCCTCAAACTTGTAAGCATTCCATTCTGGTCACATAGCTAGCTCTGTTTGAAGGTGAAGAGTATTTGTTATATCACTCATATCACTCTTTTCTTAAAATGGTATAAGACTTTTTTCTAGTTCTTTGTGATTTTGTTCTATTGGCTGCATCACACAGCTTGTGGGATTTTAGTTACCTGGCCAGGGGCTGAACCTGGGCCCTCAGCAGTGAAACGCTGAGTTCTAACCACTGGACCGCCGGGGAATCCCATAGTATATCATTCTTAAATCAATTTTAATAAATTTATTTATTTATTGGGCTGTGTTGGGTCTTAGCTGCAGCACGTGGGATCTAGGTCCCTGACCGCCTGCATTGGGAGTGCCGAGTCTTAGCCACTGGACCACCAAGGAAGTCTCTATATCATTCTTTTAGGAGGTGATTTGGACTGACTGTCAAGGTCTTTCCCACTCATTCCTGATTATTGAACTTTCCCTTAGTTTTAGGACCCCAGGGAGCTTTCAGTGCCTGAGGGAAACTCTGGGGTCTCCAGAGCCCCCAAGACTGAAATGTCAGTGAGGAAATCTGTCTGTAACATCTGATGCATTCCAAAAGCCATCAGAAGAAATTTAGGGAGGACATAAGAGTTTCCACGATGCTCGTTCCCCAGTTACCATGGAATTGTGAGAGTTGGTGATGCACAAGACTGGAGAGAATTACTGATCTCTAAGAACTGGTGGATCTGGAAGAAGTTTCAGAGTCATCAAATCCAATTTCTCCCAAGTATAGAAGAGAAATGTGAGACCCAGAGAAATGACTACACTTCACCAATTAAAAGACACATATTTTTGTTCATGTTTTGATATCTCCGAAACTGGGGTATAACTTAAAATCGGCATGCCCTAGTTTAGATGGCAGCATTGTTTCATTTCTTAGTGGCACATAAAATAAAAATAAAAGAGTGCCATATAATTGATGTGGTGGCTCAGTGGTAAAGAATCTGCCTGCCAAGCAGGAGACCTAAGTTCGATCCCTGGGTTTGGAAATCTCCTGGAGAAGGAAATGGCAACCTACTCCATTGTTCTTGCCTGGGAAATCCCATGAACTGAGGAACCTGGTGGGCTACAATCCATGGGGTCGCAAAGAGTCAGACACATCTAGCAACTAACAGCAGCAGCAATAACTGAAGATGTGTTCATTTGATGGACAGTGGTAATAATTTGTCCAAGGTCACATGGAGAGTTGGGGGCAGAGCAGGCACTGAGAACCCAGGTTACCTGATGGTCATGGCAGGGATGTACCATCAGATATAGCTTGGGTTCAAATCCTGGCTACATCATTAACTAGCTGTGTGACTCTGGGCAAGTTACTCAATCTCTCTGTGTAACAGTTTTCTCAACTGGAAATTGATAATTAAAGGATGTTTATAGACAGAGAGGCCCCAGGCAGGAAGTCTCAACCCCCTGTTCCCGAACCAGGACAGACAGAGCAAGGTGATTAGTGGGGAGAATATGGGAGATTAAAAATAGGTTATCCGAGGAGGTTAAGACAAAAAGTAAATAGTTCTCATTTATAAGAGACTCCAGGGGGACCAAATGCAATTACTAAGGTTGGAACTAGGTCGGGGCTCTCAGAAGAACTGGCCCCCTGGGGAGTGTCCTGGGGGGGTGGTCAGCCAACGTGACTGGGAACAATAAAGGTTACAAGGAGACAATGACCTGGACCAGACGCCCAGGCCTCACGAGGCTGAAGACTTGATTTCTCCAGTGGTTGTGTGGGTTAATTCTGAACCAGGTCAGAAGGGCAGAGAATCTACAGACCTAATTCAGACAAGCCCAAAGATGCAGGAGGAGGGCAACCAGCAGGCAAAAAGGTTTTGGGGAGTCCTGACTTGGGGCCCATAGGCCAGAGCCAAAGCATCCAATTGCCATCCTCACTTTCCAGCCACTACTCTTGTTGATTTCTCAGAGCTCTTTACTTTTTAAGCCCTGCTCATAGATCGCCCCTCATTTCCTGCTTCTCCTCCCCCAACGTGGTCAACAATTTTGATACTATCTCATGTTAATTCCTGAAATTTGGGAATAGGCCCAGAAGAGCAAAGTCTTGGAAATCCTGGTTCTCACTGCAGGGGCAAGATGTTCTCACAGTTGTTGGAGGCTATCATCTGGGAATGAATCTGAGACATAAGAAGTCAAAAAGGACAGAAGAGGAAAGGGGAAAGAAGCAGAAAGTTTGAAAGAAAAGGGAAGAAGCAGAGAGAAATGAGAAGAAAAGATGAGTACAACATACAGGTTACTTTTTTGTCTCTAATGCACCTTCATTTCTCAACTATAAATTTGATTCCCAGATATGCACCTAGAAATCATATGTATGTTTCTGTCTCTGGCTGTCTTGCAGGCTGACCCTCTCTGTCTTTATTTCAATGCACCTCTATGTGCCTTTCTTAGAAAGTGATCTTGTGTCTGATGGCCCAAATTCCAGCTTCCAGCTCTCAGGCGCCCCCTCCCCCAAACTGGGCTCTGTCACTGAGGCAGCAGGAACATCAGCCTGATCTCCAGTTATAAACGGGCCCAAGTGAAAGGGGAAAGAGGGAACACAAACTGCCAAAGAAAGAGAACTGGAGAAAGGGTGTGAGGAAGGGGTCAGGGAGCTGGTGGGGGTGGGGCCAGGCGGTACTCACAGAGGAAGTCGGAGAGCCACTCGGGCTGGTTGTAGTGAACGATAGCGACACACAGCGTGTTGAGGGCTACCAGACTGAGGACAGTCCAGTAGAAGGCCTGAGTTTTGACCATGCGGCGGATGTAGAAACGCATCCTCCTCTCCTTTTTGTGAAAAAAAGTCGAGTTCTCCAGCTTGGCACTTTTAATGCTGGCTCGGGCGAAGGGAGACCCTGCCAGGGAAAGGATGGAGAATGTCAGGGTGTTCCTGCAGAGGAAATTAACCAATGTGTGGCCCAAGCACAGACTTTGGCCAGGGAACCCATTAGCCTCCCAAGCAGGCAAGCCCCCGGGAACCATTATGACTCATGGGCTTAGCTTTCCAGAGATGGAACTTATGAGAAGGTGATGTCTCTGAAAATAACAGTGCTAGAAATAACCAATGAGTGCTCAGGATGCGGTGGTGGGGGGTTTCCTTGGTCGCTCAGGAGTAAAGAAACTGTCTGCAATGAAGGTAGATGTGGGTTCAATCCCTGGGTTGGGAGGGCATGGCAACCCACTCCAGTATTCTTGCCAGGAAAATGCCTTAGACAGAGGAGCCTGGTGGACTAGGGCCCATGGGGTTGCAAAGAGTCAGAAACGACTGAAGTGGCTGAGCATGGCTTAGAATGGGGAGGCTGACAGCTCCCCATTGCTGAAGTCATCTTTCTGCACCTCCCTCTCCTGGGACTGTCTGATGACTCTGGGGCTCATGCTGCAGGGTGGGATGAGGCTGGAACCTCGGCTCAGGACTCTGAGTGCAGAGGCAGGTGGCAGAGCTGCATGCACTGTTCTTGGAAAGCCTCCAGGAGGAGGTATGGATAGGATCCTAGTTTACCATGGACACTTCACTTTAAAAATAATCACCAAAGAATGAGCCAGCTGTGCCCTCTGCTCACATGTATTTTTGCTTTTAAGCATTCATAAGGCACCTACTATGCCAGGCTCTGTCCCAGGTGTTCAGGATACAGGTCAACAGAGTCCTGCACTCCTGGGACGGATACTCCAGTGTGGAGGCCAGAGAGCAAACATAATATAATAAGTAGGACTGCTCTGGTGTTCCAGTGGTTAAGAATCCGCCTGCCAGTGCAGGGGACTTGAGGTCAATACCTGGTCTGGGAATATTCCACATGCTGCATAGCAACTAAGCCCCTGTGCCACAACTACTGAAGCCCATGTACCCTAGCGCCCACCTGCTGCAACTGCTGAAGCCTGTGCTCTGCAACAAGAGAAGGCACCCCAATGAGAAGCCCCCAAACCACAATGAAGAGTAGCCCCTGCTCGCCATAACTAGAGAAAGCCCACGTGCAACTCAAACACAAATAAATAAAAATAATAAATTAATAGTGTGGTGGAAGGTGCAAAGTGCTTTGGAAAAAAGAGAAAGCAGAGCAAAATAAGGGGACCTGGAGGCCTAGGAGGGACCACTGGGCAAGCAGCAGGATTAAACCAAGGGGTTAAGGAGAAGGGGTTGGCCTGAGTCACCTTAGTATCTTAGGCAGAGGAAAACAAACAGCAAGTGAAAAGGCCCTGAGGTAGGAATATGCCTGCCTGATGTATTTGGGGAACAGCATAAAGAGAACAGTATGGCTGGAGTGAAGTGGCTCAGGTGAGAAGAAGGAGGAGGTGAGGGCAGGGGGGTGGGTCTTGGCAGGTTCTGAAGGGCCTTGGGGGCTGCAGGGACAACTGGGGCTTCTGTTTTGAGTGAAGCAGGAGGTATGGAGGCAAGAGGGGCGTGACCTGACTCAGGGGTTCACAGATGTCCCCTGGCTTCTGCGGCACAGAACAGACTGCGGAAGGCAAGGGCAGGAGCAGAGGGGGGATGACTGCTCCAGTCCAAACAGGTGACAACCGGGGCTAGACTCCATGGTGGCTGAGAAAGAGGCAGGCTGGGCCGATTGGGGTGTATTATTATTTTCGATTTTATCTATTATTATTTATTTTTGGCTGTGCTGGGTCTTCATTGCTGCTCAGGCTTCCTGTAGCTGCAGCAAGTGGGGGGTTACTCCTTGTTGTGGTGTGTGGGCTTTTCTTGCTGTGGAGCACAAGCTCAATAGTTGTGGCACACAAGCTTTGTTGCTCCAAGGCATGTGGGATCTTCCTGGGACAGGGATCGAACCCATGTTCCCTGCATTGGCAGGTGGATTCTTTAATCCCTGAGCCACCTGGGAAGCCCTGGGGCATTATTATTTAAGGTATATTTCAACATTTGTTGATGGACCAAGTGAGTGTGGGTGGAAGAGAGGGAGAAGCCAAGGTTTTTGGTCTGAGCCCCAGGAGGGACAAAGCCGTCATCCACTGAGAATGGACAGGTTTGTGGGGGAGGTTCAGAGCTCAGTTTCACATAGATTGATTTTATGTTCTAAAATACCTCTTCTTGAAAATCTTCCATTGCATTCAATAGTTTATTACTCTTCATTGGCGCATTCATTCTATCATTTATTCATGAGTGTGCTCATTCATTCACCCATTTGTTCACTCGCTGGTATGTTTGTCACACATTCATTCATTCATTCTTTTATTATTTATTCATTCATTAGTGTACTCATTCATTTCTTTTTTTTTTAAATTTATCTATTTATTTTTTAACTTTGCCATACCATGCCACATGTGGAATCTTAGTTCCCCGACCAGGATTCGAACCCATGGCCTCTGTACTGGAGGTGCAGAGTCTTAACCACTGTACCACCAGGGAAGTTCCCATCCATTCGCCTCTTCTTTCATCATTTATTCCCACATCCATCCATCCATCCATTCATTCATTTGTTCATTTACACAATAACCCATGAAGCACCGCTCATCAGCCTCACACCAGCCAAACACAGAAAACATGTCTTGGGAGGCCACTTCCTATCAGCAAAATTCTAAACAGAGGGACCCTCCTACACTGCTGGTGGGAATGAAAACTAGTACGGCCGCTATGGAGAACAGTGTGGAGATTCCTTAAAAAACTGGACATAGAACTGCCATATGACCCAGCAATCCCACTGCTGGGCATACACACTGAGGAAACCAGAATTGAAAGAGACACGTGTACCCCAATGTTCATCGCAGCACTGTTTATAATAGCCAGGACATAGAAGCAACCTAGATGTCCATCAGCAGATGAATGGATAAGAAAGCTGTGGTACATATACACAATGGAATATTACTCAGCCATTAAAAAGAATGCATTTGAATAAGTTCTAATGAGGTGGATGAAACTGGAGCCTATTATACAGAGTGAAGTAAGCCAGAAAAAAAACACCAATACAGTATACTAATGCATATATATGGAATTTAGAAAGATGGTAACGATAACCCTGTATGCAAGACAGCAAGAGACACAGGTGTATAGAACAGTCTTTTGGACTCTGTGGGAGACGGCGAGGGTGGGATGATATGGGAGAATGGCCTTGAAACATGTAAATTATCATATGTGAAACGAATCGCCAGTCCAGGTTGGATGCATGAGACGGGGTGCTCGGGGCTGGGGCACTGGGATGACCCAGAGGGATGGGATGGGGAGGGAGGTGGGAGGGGGTTCAGGATGAGGAACACATGAATATCCGTGGCGGATTCATGTCAATGTGTGGCAAGACCAATACAATACTGTAAAGTAAAATAAATAAATAAAACTGAAACAAACAAATAAAAACAAAACAAAAAAATAAAGAAACAGAGGTTGTGAGTTAGCATCCCAGGGGCCATACTGGTTCATTTGAGATTTGTGAAGGTTGAAATTATTGGTCTACATTTAAAAACTGGGAGATTTTCCATACAAATATGGATTTCAGCTTCTCATGAATGAAAATAACAGCTGACATTTATCGAACATTTAACAGGCACTGCGGGGGATGCAGTTTACACAGTAAGCTCCTCATCACAACCTTAGGAAGTAGGGACCATCACTAATCTCCTTTTACAAGGAAACAGAGGCTGAGGGGAGTCCAGTAATTGACTAAGAAGTGTTGGGTCAGTCAGAGCCTCTTGCACCCTGGCCTGTGGCCACCACACTGCGCTCACTCCTGGAACCTGTGGCCATGAGCAGCAGCTGGCTAGGGTTGGTGGCTGGACTCTCCCTTCACGTCCATCACTTGTCTGATCCTGCTGGAGCCACATGAAAGCTCAGCTCCATCACCAACCACAGAGTGACCTTGGGCAGATGACCCTGGGCAAGTTACCATACGTCTTGAGGCTCCAGTGCCTCCCACCTCACTGGGCCATTGGGAAAAATCAATGAGTTAATGCACCCTGACAGGAATTTCCCTGGTGGTCCAGTGGCTAAGATGCAGGAGCTTCAAATGCAGGAGCCTGGGTTCGATCCCTGGTCAGGGAACTAGATGCCACAAACCACAGCTCAGAGTTCACACACCTCCACTAAAAGATCCTGCATGGGGCAACTGAGACCTGGTGCTGCCAAACGAACAAATAAGTAAATAAACATTTAAAAACTAACCCTAAGACAACGCTGCATGCATGCTCAGCCACGAAGTCCTGTCCGACTCTTTGCGACCCCATGGACTGCAGCCTGCCGGGCTCCTCTGTCCATGGGATTTCCCAGGCAAGAATACTGGAGTAGGTTGCCATTTTCTTCTTCAGGGGATCTTCCTGGCCCAGGGATTGACCTTGCGTCTCCTGCTTGGCAGGAGGATTCTTTTTTTTTTTTTGGCAGGAGGATTCTTTACCACTGAGCTACCTGGGAAGCCCCAGCATGATGCTGGCACACGCTTATTGGACATAAAGTCTTTTACTACAACTGCAAGAGCTAAAAGCAAGACTGTTCTCATGCCAACTCATGGAGGAAGTCTCTCCTGATCACAGGGCCTGGAAATACCTCCCATAATAGGTCCCATGCATCAAGAAAAGAGAAGAAGGTGACTATTAATTGAACACCTACTCTGTGCCAGGCCTTATACCAGTTCTGTACTGTCTCGTCTATTTATTGCATCTTATACTCCCTCTGACCCATGCTCCCTTTGTCAATACCCCCCTTTTTTTTTGGCCACACCTTGAGGCATGCAGCATCTTGGCTCCCTGACCAGGGATTGAACTTGTGCCCTGCAGTGGAAGCATAGAGTCTTAACCACTGGACCACCAGAAAAGTCCCCCTTTTCTGTACACTCTTGTCTCTACCTTTCCTCTGTGGTCTGAAAATTTGCAGGCAATCCTTAGTTTTTAAAAATAATTTTAATAAGCTATTTTATGAAACACC